GTGAGCCCGCTGGGCCCCTCACCCACACTGGCTTCCAAGTTCATTGGTCTCGCTGCCCGGCCCCCACCCTTCCTTTTCCTCTCAGCCCCCAGCTCCAGAGCCTGCCCCAGTTCCGAGGCCAAACCCTTCCCCCGCTCCTCAATGACCTGGTGGGGCCACCCTCCCCACCGCAGCTGGGTGCACTCGCCGGTGCCTCGGAAGCCCCACTTGCTCAGTCCTCACTCCCTCCCGGCAAGGGGGTCACCCTTACTCCTCTGCCACCCAGAGGAAGGAACTGGGGAGGCCAAGTCATGCTCCAAACTCCCCGCAGCAGACGGCGAAGCATAGACTTGCATCCAGCCATTCCACTTGCCTTACTCACTGGGCACCTAGCCTGGCCTCCCTCCGATGTGGGAGGGGGCAGGGCTGGCCTGGGGCCTGGCACTGGGCTACGTTTGCCCGAAGACATTAGCCCAAGACCTAGAAAGCCCAGGCAGAGGGGAGCTGGGCTGGCTGGAGTTGGAAGGGGCCAGGAAGGCTGGTTCACCCTGGCACTCAGCCTGGCATTCGCAAATGACCTTGCCCCTTTCACATCAGGGTGAACAAGATCCTTGGGAGCCCCGAGAGACAAAGCCAGTACCCCTCCCCAGACCCCGCCCCCCACACCTGCGAGGTAGGTTTTTCAAGCTGCTCTTCCAGCAGGTCTTAACCTTAAATGACATCCCAGGCCTGCCCTGCCCCCAGGCGGGGAGTGCATGCCCAGAGAGGCCCACCATTCCTCAGAGGTCTGTGGTGACCGCTCTGCCTCCAGCTTCTGGAGAGGTGAGTCCAGTCCAGCCCTCCTCCCAGGTTTCCAGTCGGCGGGGCAGCCCCCACTCAGTCAGTTGGCTGGAATATTCCAGACGGGGCCCCTGTCTTATCAGACACAGAAGCCCTGTAACCCCTGAGGCTCCTCCGGGGGGGGGCCCCCTGCCCTGCTTGGCCGGGGCCTTTCCGAGTCACCACAGCCCTGCGCCTGACAGAAGCACCAGGACTCTTACTCCCGAAGACAGCGACTTTCACCCCTTTTCAGCTCATGGCACACAAACGGGTTACTGAAATTCTGCAGCACACCAAAAAATGAGGGTTTGAGTTTTTTTTTGTCGATCTGACCGAAAAACAAAAGGCATAATTTTGACTAATTCACCGTGGAGGGCTGTGGGCACTGTTTAATGTGACAATCTCAGGGAAAAGAGGTCAGTGCCCCTGACTACATACCGAGGTATTGCACGTTTTAAAGATTCTTGCCGCGCCCTGGTTGAAATTGCTGACCTAACGCGCTGGGGGTCTGGGAGGATGAGGCTTACCGGGCACCACCCAGCTGGACAGCGATAGGGCCAAGACCCAACCACATCTGTCTGCTGCAGAGGCCGGGCCCCGGGGGACCCCTGAACACACACCAACTCTCACCTCTCCCGCCTCCCCAGGCCGCCCAGCCTGCCCCCTCCGAGGCGGCGATAGGCTCCTCAGCCCATTTTGCAGGAGAGGAGGCCACGGGGAGAGGAGAGGCCAAAGGGAGAGGGGAGGCCACGGGGAGAGGAGAGGCCAAAGGGAGAGGGGAGGCACAGGGAGAGGGGAGGCACAGGGAGAGGGGAGGCCACGGGGAGAGGAGAGGCCAAAGGGAGAGGGGAGGCCACGGGGAGAGGGGAGGCACGGGGAGAGGGGAGGCCCGGGGAGAGGGGAGGCCACGGGGAGAGGGGAGGCCCGGGGAGAGGGGAGGCCCGGGGAGAGGGGAGGCACGGGGAGAGGGGAGGCACGGGGAGAGGGGAGGCACAGGGAGAGAGGAGGCCACGGGGAGAGGGGAGGCACGGGGAGAGGGGAGGCACAGGGAGAGAGGAGGCCACGGGGAGAGGGGAGGCACGGGGAGAGGGGAGGCACAGGAGACCTAGTGAGCACTCCGGCCAAGGACGCAGCCATCCTTCTGGACTGGAGCCATCTGGTCTCATCCCTCCTCCCGGACCCCCAGGGCGGAATCTCGGGGGGCCCTGGAAGTCTAAGGGTCGGACACGGGGTCGGCCGGCCCCCAGGCGCCAGTTCCGGCAGCGCCGCGGCCGCCTTTGTCCCCGCTGCTCCCGCCCAGCCGCGGCCCCTCGGAGGCTGGGGGCGCTTCCGCGGTGGCCTCCGGGCGGGCGGGACTCCGAGGGACGGGAGCGGGGGCCCCGCCACCCGCGGGCGCTCCGGGAGCCCCGCGCTCCTGCGGACGGAGCCGGCGAACAAACCTCCGGCTCGTCCGCTTCAGGCTTCGGGCGTCGGGGCGCCCCCGGCGGCTCCCGGGACGACCCCGCGGAGCCTCTCCCGGACGATCCCCCGGAGCCTCTCCCAGACGATCCCCCGGAGCCTCTCCCGGACGATCCCCCGGCCTCCGGGTTCCAGCGAGCCCCCCTGCAGCGCTCCCCAGAGGAGCGGCTCCCGGACGGCTGGGGGCGGTGCCCCCCGCAGCCTCCGGACCCCCCGCCGGCGCCCCCGGCTCACCCACCGTGCACCAGCCTCCGCATGTCCTGGTAGCGGGTCCACAAGTGCGCGCTCAGCTCCGAGCCGCCGGCGGGGGCCGGGGCGGGCGCGGGGCGCGGGGCGCCGGGGCAGTGGGCGCTGGGGCCCGGGGGGCCGCAGCCGGAGCAGGAGGGCGAGGACGAGGTGGCCCGCGGCCAGCCGTGGCCCGGGCACGGCAGCCAGCGCCGAGCGGCCGCCCGCAGCCCCACGCCCGCCATGCCCGCCGCGCGCCCGCCCGCGGAACCCGCTGCCCGTCGGCTGGTCCGCCGCCCCCGACTGCGCGCCCGCCACGGTGGCCGCGTGCCCCTCACCAGCACCGGCCAATGGGCGCGGCGCGCGGAGCCAGGCCGGCCAATGGGCGCGCCCCTCGGCTCGGGGGGGCGGGAGGCCCGGGACGGGGCGGGACGGGCTCCCAGCCCCCTTCCCCTACCCCGTCTCCCGCGCGGCTGAGGGCTCGGCGCCCCCCTTAGGTCGCCGCGGCGGCTCCTTCTGTCCGCCTCCGGGAGGTGGGGGTGGGGGTGGGGTGGGGAGGATAAGCACAGCCGTTCCCGGGGGCTCCGGACGGCCCCCGTCCTTTCTGCCCCCTCCAGGCCCGGGTCTTCCCGCCCCCTCCTTCTCCCCTCGAGTCCTGCTGACCTTAGCGCCTCCGCACCTCCCCCAGCCCCGCGGCCGGGCCCTTTCCCGCCTCCAGCGCCGAACCACTCTGCCCACCGACCGGGGTCCCTGCGCCCCGTTAGCGAGTGAAGAGCCCTGCCCGCGCCCGCTCCCGGTGCCGTCCCCACGCGCGGGGAGGCCGCAGCGCAGCCTCCCCCCGGTACCGCACCAGGTGATCCCCCTTTAACTCCTTACCTCGGAGCAGCCTGGGCCTCCGCTCGCAGCGGCCCCTGAGCCCCTGTGCCTACAGCTCCGACCTCAGCTGACGGCTGCGCCCACAAACCCCTCCTGGCTCCCCGCGCGGGCCCCCTCCTGAAATGCCTTGGTCTCTTTTGCCACGTCGCCAGACTTTCCCATGAAATTCGCCTTTTCTGCTTGGAACCACTCTCTCCACCATGTTTCTGCCATCCAGATCCGTTTTCTAAGTCCGCACGTGTATCCGTTGATGCCCTGGATGGGCTGTTAGCGGGGAGCTGGCCACCTGGACACTTTGTTTCCCAAAGGGTGTGATACATGTGAGTATCCACGGTGCCCTGGCTGCAGACCTACAATGTGTCAGCCCCTTGCCCGGGTGCGGTGCGGGCTGGAGGTCCAGAGCTGCGCCCGGCGGAGGGATTCGGAGAGATGGGCGGGCCCTGGGGAGCTGGCCGCACCTGAGCTCCATCTGGGCTGGAATTGGGCCCCAGAGTCACCCAGAGAAACGGGGGGAGCACTGAGGGAGCACTGAGGGAGCACTAAGTGGGGTAGTGGGCCGTGCTGTGGCCCCAGAAGGCAGGTTATCCAGGCAGCCTCTCGGGCCTGGCTGCTCAGCCACAGACTCGGACCCTTTCCAGGGGCCCTGCTTTCATTCTCTTTTCCAGCCTGTTTTTGTAGGGTTCGTGCCTATATCACCAAACTTTCTTCCTGGGTCTTAGTTTTCATTTCATTTTCCTTGATTATCTAATAGTTGTCTCTCTTCTCAGAGATAATGAGGTGACGACTTCATTCAAGCCCTCAGCAAACACAGCTCAGCAAGAGTGGAGACTTTCGAGTCAGATCTCTGCTGCTGCCTGACTTACCCTCCACCTCTCAGTTCTCCATCTGGAAGAGGTGATGATGAACATGGAGGCGAGGTCCAGTAGGCTTCGGGATACATATAAAGAGCTAGGGTTCGATAAATCATCATATTGCAGCTAATCTAATTGATCAGTTATTATACTTCAGGCACTGTGCTGCTTTCTTTATTTGTATTATCTCTAAGTCCTAACAGCATCAGAGGAAGATTCCCGTTTTGTGTAGCGAATTGAGGCACAGACTAAGGGACTATGAGGGGGGTGGGTGGGGGGAAGTGGGGGGAAGAAGTAGTTATAACAAAGCCCATCCATGTTGAACTGTTAAGTTCTTTTGTGATCATGAGATGATGCATAAAAAGCACATACAAGTGCCCCATACAGGAAAGCTTTTCGTTAATTTTAGGGTTGTTTGTCGCAAAATGCTTACCTAGACTTTTGTTGTGATAACAAAGTTCAGCTTTCAACAAGGCATATTAAATTCTGTTATTTTTAGAAGTCCGGTCACCGTTCACTGACTCCGAAATAAATGCAAGGCGCTGCGTGATTGCAATTATATTATGGTGCAGCTCACGTTTAGTCCATCACTTCCATCAGGACTTAAAGAAAAAAGATGGCGGTGACAGCGGGGAGGGGTGTGGGTGGGGGGGATGGCGCCGACTCCCAGCACTAGCTTCACCGGGAGGCCCGGGTCCCCGCCGCCACGTGGGAGGTGCCGCGGAGCCCAGACGCCTGCGCGAGCTCTCCAGCCGGGCTCAGCCTCACGGAGCACGCGCGCTCGGCCGCATTCTATTGGCGAATCCCCGCGCCGTGCCGTGCTCTGATTGGTGGGTCCGGAGCTCCGCGCTGGGCTCCTGAGGACCTGCCCGCCTGGAGCAGGGGCCCGGCCGCGATGGCGCGGTGAGCTCGACCGCTGGGCTCCGCAAGGGCAGCCAGGACGACCTCGCCGCCACCCGGGCGCTTCGGTCCAGGGGCTAAGGCAGCTCCCGTTCGGTCCTCGCTGGGCATGTTTTCCAGGGCCCAGGTGAGGCGGGTTCTGCAGTGGGTGCCCGGAAAGGAGCGACTCGGCGTCTACAGGTTTCTGCCCTTCTTTTTTGTCCTGGGAGGAACGATGGAGTGGATCATGATTAAAGTGCGCGTGGGCCAGGAGACCTTCTGTAAGTGGGGGTGCGGCAGCCTCCGTTTCGTTTCAGGAAGGCAGGAGGTGGCCTCGGGCCTTTTTTCCTGGGAGATCGCCATGCCCAGGTTGCAGACCACTCCTTACCTCGGCGCTGAACTGTTTCTTTCTGCGTCGGGAGGGCAAGTGCGATTCCATCCTCTGGGCCCTGGAGACCCACCCGGGCTCACGGGGTCTCCTGTAAGCGGGGCAACAAAGGCACTTGGGCGTCCGACCCCGAGACCTTGCTCTCACGGTGAAGGGAGTGCACGGGACTCCACTCAGGACGCCCCCTCTCCAGCCCGCTGGGGGCATTGTGTGGCCGCCGGGACAGACTTGCTCTCTACACGGGTGGGAACGTGGGGATTGATGGAAACCCCTGCTGACTGGCCGGTCCTCTCTGGGCTCTGTAGTCCAAACCCTGGAGGGAGCTGGTCTGCCCGCTTAGCTAATTACTGTACCAGTTTTTACAGGCAGGTCATTGGCACCAGGGCCCAGCACTGGGAACGGACTGCCGGGCGCTGCTTTGCTGAGCATTATAGCTTCCGCACAGGCTAGTTCGACTCCTGACTTCACGGGAGCAGCGCCAGTGGGTGGCGGAAGTTGTGTGGGGAAGGCAGGGAAGTGAGGAAGGCGAGTGTTTTATCCCTAAGGGGACAGGGGTGTTGCCTGGGACAGGATAGGATCAAGGAGCCGGAGCTAGATGCTATTTTCAGTGACTGAAAAGCAGGTGATGGAGAACAGGTATTACTATAGAGAAGAAAGTGGTAAATGGCACAAGCCCTGAAGGAAGAGGGTGGCGAATGGAAACTGACCTCAACTCCCCACTCCCGGTGTGGGAGAGGGAGCAGCAGAGAGCCACAGCTCGGGAAGTGCCTTTGAGGGGCCACGTTTTAGTTAAGAAGGATGATTTCAGAGAGATGAGAAATTGTGGGGGATATGGAAGTGAGGGAAGTCTTAAAATCTGAAATCATTGCTAAGAGGTATGCTAGGATATGATCCTGTCTTTAATAATACTTTTTAAAATTCTCATCAGAGGATATTTTTCTCATTGATTTTTAGAGAGTGGAAAGGAGTGGGGAGGAAAATAGAGAAATATCGCTCTGACAGAGACACATTGGTTGGTTGCCTTCTGCAAGCACAGGGACCAGGGCCAGGGATTGAACCTGCATCCAGAGTACGTGTCCTTGACGGGAATCAAACCCCAGACCCTCCAATATGCAGGCCAACACTCTAACCCCTGAGCACACCAGCCAGAGTGAAGATACCAACTCTTAACCTGCTATTGAAATCTAGAACTTCATTGACATAGCCTCATTTATCTCGTGTTTTAAATTACTTTGGCATTGAATCCATGTTGAGCCCTAGCTGATTTGGCTCAGTGGATAGAAGGATCCCTGGTTCGATTCCAGTCAAGGGCACATAACTCGGTTGCAGGCTCCATCCTGGTCCTGGGAGGCAACCAATCATTGTGTGTCTCTATCTCTCCCTGTCCCTTCCACTCTCTCTAAAAACAAATGGAAAAATATCTTGGGTGAGAATTTACAAAATAACCCAAAAAAACATTAATGTTGAGATTCAGATATAGTGCCCAACCTATACGACTGGTTAAATTACTTAGATCTTAGTATTTTTAATTCCTCAGTTTCTTAAAAACCTAAGTAGAATTTTTGTTCAATACAGATGATGTCTACCGTAGAAAAGCCTCAGAAAGACAGTATCAGAAGGCTGGAAGAAGCATCGGAGACTGAACTTCAGCAGTCAATAAAGTGAATGTGAAATTTTTCTAGTTTCAAATTCTTTAAAAATGTACATTCATTAAAAAATACATTTGTGCTGGGTGAGTACTTTGTGAAGTGTATGATTGTCTGACCACTGTTCTGTACACTTAAAACTAATCCTAATAAAAGAGTAATAGACAGCGCCGGGACCGGCCTGCAGATTGAAGGATCCCGGGTTCCATTCCGGTCAAGGGCATGTACCTTGGTTGCGGGCGCATCCCCAGTGGGGGGTGTGCAAGAGGCAGCTGATCGATGATTCTCTCTCATTGATGTTTCTAACTCTCTATCCCTCTCTTTTCCTTTCTGTGAAATATCAATAAAATATATTAAAAAAAAAAAAAAAAGAGTAATAGACAAACTGACCATCACTGTAACACACAAGATGGCTGCTCCCATGTAGATACAAGATGGCCAGCAGAGGAGGGCAGTTGGGAGGGACCAACCCTACAAGGGAGGGCAGTTGGGGGTGATCAAGCCTGCAGGGGAGGGCAGTTAGGGGTGACCAGGCTGGCAGAGGAGGGAAGTTGGGGGCGACCTGGCCTGCAGGGAAGGGCAGTTGGTGGGACCCAGGCCTGCAGGGGAGGGTGGATAGGGGGTGATCAGGCTGGCAGGCAGAAGCCGTTAAGGGCAATCAGGAAGGCAGGCAGGTGAGCAGTTGGGAGCCAGCAGTCCTGGATTGAGAGAGGGATGTCTGACTGCCTGTTTAGGCCTGATCCTACCTGGATATCCCTCAAGGGGTCCCAGATTGAAGAGGGTGCAGGCTGGGCTGAGGGACACACCCCATGCATGAATTTTGTGTACCAGGCCTCTAGTACAAAATAATATTGACTATATTAGTAAACTGTGATTTAAAAAACACAAAAAGCTGGCGTAGCTCAGTGGTTGAGTGTTGACCTATGAACCAGGCGGTCAAAGATCAATTCCCCAGTCAGGGCACATGCCTGGGTTGCAGGCTTATTTTGCAGTGTGGGTATTCGAGAGGCAGCCAGTGGGTGATTCTCTCTCATCATTGATGTTTCTCTCCCTCCCTCTCTGAAATCAATTAAAAAATATAAAAAAACCCCACATTGCTAACATCCTAGCAAGTTCCTCCTTTCCTATGCACTTATGGATGGTGTTCACCAGGCTCTAAGGTCTGCATTGGAGAAATTGAACATGCTTGGGGAAAAAACTGCATCCCATATTTTCTACTTTAGTGACATATCAACATATCTGTGCAGTCTACATTTGAGGGGAGAATTAAATTGGAAGCATAAAAAACATTCTTAGATACTTAGTTCGTGCTAGGCAGTTTAATCTGGAATTTGCATTCTCTAGTTGCGGGTAAATGGCATTTCTGTACATTTGGCAAGGAGAGGGATCAGGACTTGTGTCTGATACAAAGACATCTGAGTCAGTTTAATTTCTGACCACCTTCAATAAAAGGTGAACTATTAACCATAGAGAGGCAGCTTTACATTTATAATTTCCATAGCTATTCCTTAGTTTTGTTTTTTTTTTAATTTTTTAAATAAATTTTTATTGTTCACATTATTACAAATGTTCATTTTTTCCCCCCTCCATTGCTCCCTTCCACCCTCTGCCCTTTCCCCACCCCCCATTGTCCTCATCCATAGGTGCACAGTTTATGTTCAGTCTCTTCCTGCACCCCCCCCCCCCACTCCCTTTTCCCCGAGAATCGGCAGTTCACTCCCTCTGATTCTATTATATTCATCAGTTAATATTGTTCATCAGATTTTTTTTAATTCCCTTGGTTTTTAGATTCACTTGTTGATAGTTACGTATTTATTGTTCATACTTTTTATCTTTATTTTCTTTCTTTTCCGAAAGAACCCCCTTCAGCAATTTATATAATTCTGGCTTGGTGGTGATGAACTCCTTTCGTTTTTTTTTATTTTATTAGTGAAGCTCTTTATCTGGCCTTCGATTCTGAGTGATAGCTTTGCTGGGTAGATTATTTTTGGCTGTAGGTTCTTGCTATTCATCACCTTGAATATTTCTTGCCATTCCCGTCTGGCCTGCATGATTTCTGTTGAGAAATCAGCTGACAATCGTATGGGTGCTCCTTTATAGGTAACTACCTGCTTTTCTCTTGCTGCTTTTAATATTCTTTGTCTTTTGCTCTTGGAATTTTAATTATGATGTATCTTGGTGTGGTCCTTTTTGGGTTCCTTTTGTTTGGGGTTCTCTGCGCTTCCTGGACTTGTAAGTCTAATTCTTTCACCAAGTGGGGGAAGCTTTCTGTCACTATTTCTTTCAATATGTTTTTGGTATCTTGTTCTCTCTCATCTTCTGGGACCCCCGTAATTCTGATGTTGGTTGTTCGCTTAAAGTTGTCCCAGAGGTTTCTTACACTATCTTCAACTTTCTGGATTCTCTTGTCCTCTTGCTTCTGCGGAGAAGTGTCCTCTGGCTCTTTGTTCCAAGTCTTTGACTTGATTCTTGTGATTTTCCATTCTGTTTTTAGGACTGTATAATATTTTTTTATTTCAGACAATGTATTCTTTATTTCTAGTTGATCCCTTTTCATATCCTCATAGGTCTCATTTATTTTATCGGCCTTTTCGAGAAAATTCTTGAAAAACCTTATAAGTGTGGTTTTGAACTCTATATCCAGTTGATTTTTGTCCTCCATTTCTTTCATTTGTGATGTGTTTCCTTGTCTCAGCATTTTCCAGCTTCCCTGAGTTAGTAGCCTTAAAAGTCTGTGTTCAGCTTTGATGGGGCGGAGTTTCAGAGTGGAGGCACCTCTGAGAGAAAGGAGCCCTCGAGTTTCGCCTGCTGCCAAACAATCTAGGCTCTCCCCCAATGAGCCAGGAACTGGGGTTCAGTTCAGTTGGAAGTGGGGTTCAGAGCAGTCCGGAGCTTTTGTCTCCTTCCCACTAGGGCAATCCAGTGGCACAGTCAACTGTCCGTTTTCTGTGAGTAATGTGTGCACTTCCGGACTGCCTTTCGCCGCTCCGGAGATTCCGCCTTACAGCCCAGGCTCCCTCTGGCCTTGAACTGGGGTTCAGTGCTGTTGGATCTGGGGTTCAGCTCAGTCTGGAGCTTTTATCTCCTTTCTGCTAAGGAATGCCAGCCAGGCACTCAGCCTCCCCCTCCTCTCCAGCTCCGTCCTCTCTGTGCGCGCACAACGTGTCTCCGAACCTTAGGCTTTTACAGCTCCTCTGCTTTTCCTTCTGGTTTTCTCTTTCCTTCTAGTTGTAGAATTTCCAGCCAGTCAACTTTCCCGTAGTTCTGGGTAATGTCCATTTTGTATTTTAGTTGTATTTTATTGAAATTGTTGTGTGAGGCTGCAATTAGGTGTTACCTATGCTGCCATCTTGGATTCTCCTATTCCTTAGTTAAAAAAAAAAAAAAAAAATATATATATATATATATATATATATATATATATATATATATATATATATATATTGATTTTTTACAGAGAGAAAGGGAGAGGGATAGAGAGTTAGAAACATCTATGAGAGAGAAACATCGACCAGCTGCCTCCTGCACACCCCCTACTGGGGATGTGCCTGCAACCAAGATACATGCCCTTGACTGGAATCGAACCTGAGACCCTTCAGTCTGAAGGCTGATGCTCTATGCACTGAGCCAAACCTGTTAGGGCTATTCCTTAGTTTTCAATTTTTTTTTTTTAAATAATATACTGACCAAGACAACCAAAAATAAACTGGACAACTTATATTTTACTGCAACTCATTACATTGTATTAAAAAATTGGCAGTCTGAGTAAAAGAAATTGATACATCGTTTTAATGTTGGACTACAACCCTTTAGTTCTTACAAAAAGAAAAATGAAGCACAGTGCGTGTGGCTCAGTGGTTGAGCATCGTCCTATAAATCGGAAGGTTAAGGTTCAATTACCTTACTTGGTCAGGGCACATACTGGATCCTCAGTAGGGGGTGTGCAGAAAGTAGCCAATCAATGATTCTCATCATTGATGCTTCTCTCTGAATCAATAAAAATTATTTTAAAATAAACAAGGAAAATGAATAATGACATTTAGTAAGTATTGAATATTCTTTTGTGATAATATTAGACAACTATATAGGAACTGTTTTTCTTGAATCTACTAATGGTAGATTTTTTCCAGTAGGCAAGTTTTTGTTTGTTTGTTTGTTTTTTAAGAGAGTGGGAGAGGGAGAGACAGAAACATGGATGTGAAAGAGATATCAATTAGTTGCCTCCCACACACCCTCAATCAGGACAGGGGGCCTACAACCGAAGTATATGCCCTTGACCAGAATCGAACCTGGGACCCTTCAGTCCGCAGGCTGATGCTCTATCCACTGAGCCAAACCAGTTAGGGCCATGTATATGTGTGTGTGTGTGTGTGTGTGTGTGTGTGTGTGTTTATATTTCCTCCTAAAACATACCTACCCATTGAATGAATCTAGTCCAGGAACTATTCCCTAAACAATTCAAGGATCAATCAGGATGCCTTTCTGTGCAGCCTGAATTCGTAAAATTCTTTAGGCAAAAATTTTAACTTTATTTTTTTTGCACAATGCACATTTCATCATGGACATCAAAGACGTATCTAAGTAAAATTTGATGCAGAATGATTGTGCAGATTACATTTGTCAGCTGCCACTTTGTACAAACACTTTGCTAGGGTGCTGAATTCCTGACATGACACTACTTGCTCTTGGGAAACCCTTCCCTTGCCAGGCTCCATGAACATGCAGGGGCCGGACCCCCTTGAGGACTGGGGTGGGGCGGGGGTGGGAGACAGGTCTCACACACTCTGTGATAAAAGATACTGCTTTCAAACAGCTGCTAAATAAAGATAAAGAGGCGGCTCTTTCCCTAAGAAATGTAAACGTCACAGTGTAAAGCAACCATAGACTTTGCCTAAGTCACAGGCTCAGTCTATTGGTAGAGATTTTGTAATTTGATCCAGAATAAGTTTGGGTCAGCTGATGGAAAATGAGAAGGCCTCTTCCCTTGCTTGGATAACCATATCCTGCATATTTTGAAACAAGAAAATAGCTACATATTAAAGAGTACTTGTTTAAAAATAGTTTATTTTTTCATGAATAAGAAACAAAAGATCTCTATCACAAACACATCTCTTCCTAAACGGTTTAGGGATTTTTCTAATTTTATTATTATTATTTTTTTTACTTATTTTTTTAAAATATATTTTATTGATTTTTAACAGAGAGGGAGAGAGACAGAGAGCTAGAAATGTTGATGAGAGAGAAACATCAACCAGCTGCCTCCTGCACACCCCCCACCGGGGATATGCCGCAACTAAGGTACATGCCCTTGACCGGAATCGAACCCGGGACCTTTCAGTCCGCAGACCGACGCTCCACCACTGAGCCAAACCGGCCCCGGCGGATTTTTCTAATTTTAGTCCATTTATGTTAGAACCATCTCAGTATAAAGAGCCGCTGATTATCTCATTAAGGTACTGCCTGAAGTAAACTCAGAATCACTGCCCAGAGGGGACTGTGGAGACCATGATGACTGGCAGCCCCAGGGAGAGGAAGGTGGTTCTCAGGTGCACGAGCATCACCTCAAGAACTGTTGGTGAATCTCCTCACAGGCATTTTTAAAAAAAATATATATTATTTATTTTTTTACAGAGAGGAAGGGAGAGAGATGGAGAGCTAGAAACATCGATGAGAGAAATCATCGACCAGCTGCCTCTTGCACAACCCCCATCGGGGACGTGCCCGCAACCAATGTACATGTCCTTGACTGGAATCGAACCTGGGACCCTTCAGTCCACAGACCAATGCTCTACCACTGAGCCAAACCGGTTCACAGGCATTTTACTGGTGGGACTTCGGGCATAAGAAAATTGTGGTATGATACAATTATATGGCTTTATCCCAAGTTCCTCCACCCCCACCCCGATTTAGAAGTTTAATATTTGCTACAAATAGAGAATATTTCATCCATTTTACAAAGAATAGTTATAAATACTAATAAAATAATCTAACTTCTATGTCTGCTTTTGGTCCCTTCCCTGACCCACCTTCCTGACTCCTAGAATCACTACTCTGAAATTCGTAATCTTCCCTAGCTTTCTCCACTCCTCCCCCCACGTACCCCCAATATATTTTATTGATTTTACAGAGAAGGAAGGTAGAGGGAGAGTTAGAAACATCAGTCAGCTGCCTCCTGCAATCCCCCCACTGGGGATGTGCCTGCATCCAAGGTACATGTCCTTGATCAGAATTGAACCTGGGACCCTTCAGTCTGCAGGCCGATGCTCTATTCACTGAGCCAAACCGGTTAGGGCGAGCTTTCTTCTTTTTAAATATATATATTAGAGCACTGGCCAGGTAGCTCAGGGGGTTAGAGCATTGTCCCGATATGCCAAGGTTGTGGGTTCAACATCCCTGGTAAGGGCACTTACAAGCAGCAAGCAATGAATGCATCAATAGTGGAACAAATCAATGTTTCAGATCAATAAAAAAATGTTTTATTAACACATACACATGAGTGCCGATTTACTGAAAGGCAACAAACCTTTGAAGATGACAGGTTAATTTTTGACTCCAAGGCAAGGACACTAGCAAAGCAATTACTGTATTAAATTTAAGATACTTTCAGAGCACATTAGTTTGGATGCTATAGAGTAGGGATGGGGGACATCTGGCTCTTGGTCAGTAAAGCCTGAGAAATCATTTGATCTGGCTCTGCCAATAAATCTATGAGCTTTTTTCATAGCACCATAAATTTATATCAAGTGAACTATATTAAGCAAATGGTATTACATCCAAATGGCCCTTGGCAGACAAGGTTCCCCATCCCTGCAATAACTTAAAAATTAACTTTGTTGCTGAAACCGATTTGGCTCAGTGGATAGAGCATTAGCCTGTGGACTGAGGGGTCCCGGGTTCAATTCTGGTCAAGGGCGTGTACCTTGGTTGTGGGCACATCCCCAGTGGGGGGTGTGCAGGAGGCAGCTGATCAATGTTTCTCTCTCACCGATGTTTCTAACTCTCTGTCTCTCTCTCTTCCTCTCTGTAAAATATCAATAAAATATTTATATTTTAAAAGTTTTGTTAACCAAGTTGCAAACTTTCTTTTGAACTTTGCTTCAAAACTTTTTTTTTTTTTTTTGTTAACCCTCACCCGAGGATATTTTTTCCCATTGCTTTTTAGAGGCAGGAGGTGTAAAAGATAAACATCTAGCCGAAACCGGTTTGGCTCAATGGATAGAGCATCGGCTTGGGGACTGAAAGGTCCCGGGTTCGATTCCAGTCAAGGGCATGTACCTTGGTTGCAGGCATATCCCCAGTATGGGGTGTGCAAGAGGCAGCTGATTGATGACTCTCTCTCATTGATGTTTCTATCTCTCTCCCTTCCTTTCTGTACAAAATCAATAAAATATATTTTAAAAAAAAGATAAACATCCATGTGAGACATATTGATTAGTTGCCTCCTACATATGTCCCAACTGGGCCAGGGAACAAACCTGCAACCAGGCACATGCCCTTGACCAGGAATTGAACCCAGAATCCTTGGGTGCAAAGACCTGATGCTCTATCACTGAGCAATACAGCCAGGGCTCAAAACAACTTTAACCCTCCTAAGGAATATGACTCTACCCCATCAGACACTGGAACGATTTAAGAGAATTTGAATAAACTTAAAGGACATTGTGCTCTGGCCAGTGTCCTCAGTGGATAGAGCATTGGCTCAAATACCAAAGGGTCATGGGTTTGATTCCTGATCAAGGGCATGTACCTGGGTTGCAGGTTTGGGTGTGTATGGAAGGCAACTAATCAATATGTTTCTCTCACATAGATGTTTCTACCTCCCCCACTTCCACTCTCTAAAAAAAAACAATGGAAAAAATATCCTCAGGTGAGGCTTAACAAAACAACAAAAAGGCACTGCTCTTCTATGCTGATTATAGGACTGCAGTGCCCCCTAGTGTCAACTACACGGCAAATATTGAACAACAAACCCCCACCCCCCCTCAATTTAGAATGACAGGCTTAATTAGCACTGCAGTGTTGTGGAAAGAATTTGGGCTTTGGAGCTTCACGTTATCATCTGAACTGATAAAATACCTAAGTTAGGAACACAGTAACTTTGTTCATCTTGCAGTCCTATTTTGGAAGTTTTGTCTAATCTCTCTGATGCAAATTACAATAATTACATTAATATCTTTTTGTAAGTTTGATTTTTTTCCAACTGAATAACCTCTCTTTAAAACAAAATGCACTTGGGGAACAGGAGGCTTTCCAAAGAATTTATCTCCTAGTAGAATATTATCAATTTTTTAGTCTTCACACGTGTGAAAGTTCTTGCCATTTTTATGTGTAATCCAATGAATACATATATTTTTGGGATAGAAATAGTCTGTTAGGTTATAAACTTTCCTTTAGCTGACCTAGCACACTTCCAAACCAAAAAGAGAGTCATACTTGGCAGTATTTGTTTGCTCACAGTGTTTAGTTTATACATCACTGATCCAAAATATACTCATGAGCAAAGATGTACGCTTAGCCCTAAGCTCTTAGGAAAACAGAATCACTGGGATTTGCAAAGTGATACTAGAGGAAAGCAGTTGGTTGATTTTACCAACACTTTCTATTAGAAGTGTGGTCATGTTTTAAGAGCTTATAAGCATATTAAAGACACACCTGGGACATATCTCTTCTGACCACAAACAACTGACTATTTGAAATGGGTTATACTGCTTTATGATCTAGGACATGCTTTCCTTACCTTGTGCAATCAGTAACTCTTTTTTAATTTAATTTTGCAATCAGTAACTCTTTAATTTTTAACTTAGACCTGCATTTCTGCCCACCCTGAGGACAGCAGTGTGGCTACATTTGGCTTCTGTGTTGATGCGCCTGAGCCCCGGACCAGTGTCCGGCACTGTGAGGAGCTCTCTTCCCCTAAACTAGCAGCGGTATCCCTGTCAGCACAAAATCAAGCTTTGCAGGAGTTAACCTGTTTGAAGCTAACATCTGAGACAAGCTTTAACAGAACAACCAAATCTGGTTAATCCAAATCACTTTGCAAACTCCATTTTTATTTGGATTAAAAAGCTTTAGATGAACAAACATATGATACATACATGTTATAAGTCTAGTTACCACGTAAAACTCTTTTGATACAGATATTAGAATAAACCAAGTTTTGATATAGAAATTAGAATAACCAAGTTTAAATCAAGTCTGAAAATGTTCAATTTCAAAAGTCAACACCACCAATTTGGAAGTTTTTCACAGAGAAGCATCTCCTCTCAATTCTTCCTCATAGGAAGACCAGGGTGGCTTCAAAAACAAAACAATTAAAGGTCTTTTAAATCAGTTGGCTGACATATTATTTTAAACCTATAGGTTTCCTCCACACACATAAACAAAATTCTTTCCCACATGAACTTATATTTTGAAAATACGTAGGCCATTATGCTTTCTAAGCCGTATCACTACAATTCCTAAATCTCGTGGATAAAGGGTGTATAGTTAACTTGTACTTTTTTAAATGAGCAAAGAAATTTTTTTTTGAAGATCGCTGACCTCAAATCTTATTTCCTAAATATTAACTCATATTCTCCAAGTTAATATACCGAAAGACATGATTCTAAAATAAATTATTTTTTGTAAAGAAAAACTTAATTAGAGCCTGCCTAGTGGCCCCCTGGCCCGACTCTGCACTGCCTGAGGGACGCTCCCGGCCAGGTCGATGGTTCCGATGGCACCTCCGGACACTGGGAAGGAGTCCGGAGGAGGAGTGCTCTGGCTTCTAATGCCCCATGTAGCCCACAGAAAAAACAGTTTTTAGAGGCTTCCCAAGAAGTCTCATTCAGACCTTAAGAAGGGAAAAAAAAAATGGACACAAGAAATAAATAAATAACTTAACCAAAATTAAATTTCAGGTTCTTTGGTGTAATTCAAGGATGTCTAGAAATAAAATAATCTGATTGTATTATACAGTCCATGATGATTCAATGGCCCAAATAACCAGGAACTGAAGATTTCTTTATCTGATTCAGTTTAACAATAGGTACTGATATACTATTGCAATACATTTTTTTAAAAAAATTCAGAATTATTTAAAATACTTGATGCAAACTGAGATCCAGTGGTTGACTACCGGCAATTAAGTTACAAGGGCCTTCTATGTAGATAACAAGAGACTTTTATCCATTCTACACACTTTTGTCCCCATGATTTAATAAGAATGGTAATGAAATATCTAGGTACTGAGTCATACCAGACTAAAAGAAAAAGTATCCTCTGAAAGTCACTTTCAACTTGCAAACAGCAGTGGAAGGTCAACCACAATGGCAACGACTTTGCTACAATAAAGCAGGTTTCCAAAAATCCTAGAAACACTGTTCCATATCTGCTGCTTTCTACCTGTCTGAGCATCATACACTGCCTCCAAATGTTTATTTTAGGGTCATATAAGAGACAGGGTCATCAAACCCAAGTGTTTAGGATCTGTAATAGTCTTTTTCATGAGTATTTTATTAAATTATGATGCCTTTCTCTTGAAATTTAAAGGCACAAGCTGAATTTTAAATATTTTAGGAAGTTTTGAATTTCTGATTGAGAATTACAATGAAGAAATTTAGAAGAAAAAAGAAAGCCACATCTGACTAGGGAACAAAGAATACTAAAACATTTGCATATGCAGGCCGTCTACAAATTTACAATCAGGCTTCTGATGCAGCTCATATCTAGTGATGCACTCCCTCTGTTAGTTTAGGTATTATGCTGAAAAATAAATCACCTCCACTGATGCCTCAATGCTTTCTTCGAGACAAACTTCCAATTTTTTTTCAATGTAAGAGATTTAAAATTTTAAATCATCTAACACGTATAAGCATTAATTGTGAATTATTATAAATAGATCAAAAGTACCTTTAAACTTACCTGCCAAGACTAAATATAATTCAGGATTGTGCACATATTCTACAAAAATAACTGACACCACAGACATCTAACTCAGCACAAGAAGTGCTCTCCCCACTGGGAGCCGCACCAGCTGCAGAAAGACGCACAGTACTGACTTCAGATTTCTGCAGTGAGCCTCCGAGTTAACAGAGCGAATGTGCCATGTCTGCCAAACACGTATAACCTAAACAACAACCTTTCACTTCACCTGTAACACACTTTTTGTGAAAGTGGCTTAAGATATTCAGGCACATGAAACAGACACAAATACACTCCCTTCTCTAAGATGTAAACTAGGACCAACTTCACATTTCATTGTCAACTTAAACTAATCTGTAAACTCGTGTGTGTGTGTGTGTGTGTGTGTGTGTGTATTTTTTTCACTGTTTGTTCTTTTATAAAAACAAAAACCAAAAAACCCTAACCCAAGACAAAACCTTTGATGGTTTCAGTTCCATGGCAACAAGTAAAAAGATGAAACTCCAAGTCTACACATAGACAACCAATTATGAAACTGGTTTTAAACGAAGGAAACGTATGCAAAAAATCTTTGTGTATTTGATAAAGTCAACTTAATATAACAAAAACAAATTGAAATAGCTTATTAAAAGTGTCCTTATATAAAAATGGCCTTGTGATGTACAGTAAAATGCAAAAATTATCATCCTTTGCTCCTCCCCCCCACCCCCTTTAACTATGTGGCTACTATTCCACAAAATTCGTATGCTTCTATAAAAGAAACGTAATAGATGTGATTAAAGGTTTTCTAGATTGTAAGCTTGGCGAATGTTGAGGGTGTCTCGGAGCATCAGATCCCGGAGTCGCCAGAGGGCGTCTGCCATGGTGGTGTGAGCCCCTTTACTTTTCAGCCAGTGAGAGGGCAGGCGGCTCTCTTGTTCTTTTGACAAATGGACATCACGCCTTCGAGCTAAAAATTAAAGTGTAGACAGAGGAATATAAACAGAAATGTTAAGGTAACAAATTTTCCCTCAGTCCTAAGGTTTGATAGATTAGAACATAAAAACATAATGATTTATTAAATATTGCAAATGTTAACTCTGCAGAATAATTCCAAACAAATTTCTTATATAATTTTATTAGACATCTTGAAAACTACTTCACTTAAGCAAGTAACTACCTAACTGGGAATGTGTTGCTTTATGCTTTGTATTTTAGAAATTACCTAATTTATAATAATGATTTCACCAAAGAGCTGTACAAACACCTAAAAGATTAGGTTATTAATATTTTGTTGTAGCCGCTCCTGGTAATGAATAATTGCTTCCATGTGAAGAGAAACTCCTAAAAAGGTAAATGTGAAGAAAGGGAAAACATACCTACTACTTTTATAAAAGAAACCAAATTATCACATTTGGTTTAGGAATAAAGAATGAATAGAAACTTCAAACTTCAAGAGACTAGGCAAGTTATTTTAGTTTGTACTGAATAAGTCTGTTGAACTAAATGACTAACTTGATAGGTTAACAGAAACATATTTTCTAATATATTTTTCCCTTTTAAAAATTGAGGTGAGCCAAAACTGGTTTGGCTCAGAGGATAGAGCATCGGCCTGAGGACTGAAAGGTCCCAGGTTCGATTCCAGTCAAGGGCATGTACCAGGGTTGCGGGCACATCCCCAGTAGGTGTGCAGGAGGCAGCTGACCGATGTCTCTCTCTCATCAATGTTTCTAATTCTCTATCCCTCTCCTTTCTTCTCTGTAAAAAAATCAATAAAATATATATTTTTTAAAAAATTGAGGTGAGCCCTGGTTGGTGCTGTTCATTGTTGGAACATTGGCCTGTGCACTGATGGGTCTTGGGTTCAATTCCTAGTCAAGGACAGGTACTTGGGTTGTAGGTTTGATCCCTAGATGTGTGCCAGAGGCAACCAATCTACCATGTCTGCCTGTCTGTGTCTGTCTGTCTGTCTGTCTGTCTGTCTCTCTCTCTCTCTCTCTTTCTCGCCCTATCCCTCCCTTCTACTCTCTCTAAAAATCAATGGAAAAAAGTATCCTCAGGTGAGGTTTAACCACAAAAAAAATTGAGGTGAAATAACTTTAATTTATTCAAATGTATCTATGTTTAATGTCCAAATGCCTAAAATAGTAATTTAAAAAATTCAGAATATACTTAAAAAGATGATGATGATATTTATGATAAAATTAAGCTTTGAGATTCAGCAAAAAAAAAATTTTTTTTTTCAAATTGTGATGTTAATATACAAAGAAGCTTCAAACCCTTGTATTAAATATACCATTTATTTTACTTGTATAAGAAAATGGGTATTTGCCCTGGGTTATAATATGGCAATAGCAGCAAGAGGACCTGAACAAAGCGTGGATTTCATACTTGGTGAGAAGGACTCTTCTTACCTGCCAGGGTCTGGTCCCACTTGCTAATGCTGTTGGAGTCCGCACTGAGTCCTTCGATGTACTTCAGGTAGGCCTCTGAGTGGAGAAGCCGTTGGGTCTTCGGTGGAGGAGCCACAAACATGGGCGTTGTTGGCTGCTGTATAACAGGGGGACCAGCTGGATGTGGGCCAGGATATGGAGGTGGTGCCTGCTGTCCTGGAGGCCCCAAAACTCCTACCTGAAAGAGTACAGACCACATAGTGAGGGGAAAAAATACTTATACATATTTTATGAAAGAAAATAATGTGAACTCTGTCAAGTCCTAGAAAATCCAACTGGGAGACTTACCTGCTGTCCATATGGACTTGCGCCTGGTGCTGGAGTCCCTACCATAGGGGCCACCCCTTGGTTCATTACACCTGTAATTCAGAATGCAATGTCTTAATTAGAGGCTCTGGTGGACAAGACTGAAAAACTGATAAGAAATTATGCCATTTATAATGCAAGCCTATGGATCTCTCTGCAGTTGAGTCTTTGTGGATAGGAACCCTATGCACCCAACACAGGATGTAGCATTCAAACAGAAATTCCTATTGTTTTTGTTTCCTAGGTTTTTGACAATGCTAGTTCAACTTGTCAGATGTGTATTAATTATTCATGGCTTAGAAATTATTTGAACCCTGCAAAAATTCTAGTATTTCCCTAGGTAAGCTATACTCAGAATACACCTATATTTTTAAGGTATTTTTCTTCTGACAACACATTCTTCTGTCCTGAAGCCTGTGTTTAAGGTCAGCAGTAATGGCATTCAATCAGGCTCAGCGGTATGCAGTGTGGTAGGATACAAGGACACAGGGGAGAGGCTGTGCAAGTGTATAGTTAAATGAACTCTGTGGAGGTTGGAGGCACATCCTTGCGGTCCCCTCCCAGGCCACCAGCACCTCTAGTTCTGACTGGAGTTACTAATGTTGGCTGAGAGAGGACACTTCCATCTGATAGATAGCACTTTGAAAAGGGCTATCACTTCAAATGCAAAATGAAGGAAAAGGGAAAGATATGATCCTACAATATTTGAATATGTATCGGATAATAATTTTATAAATTACTTTTGGTGACTCTTCATAAATAATTTCTGTCTCACAGGTACTAACTGATAATAATGAGATGTCCTAAATTTAGTATTAGGGTTATTTTAATAATCTCAGGACCATTCATTTACTGTTCTCAAAACAAAGAGATACAAGAAAACCGGTTCATTAAAAACTACTGTACAACAGAAATCCTGGTGAGTTGTTGTTTAAACCTGAAACAAATCCTACTGGCTGCATAAAAGGCTCAAGAGGAGCTAACTTTATATTCTATATAGTTCCTTTGGATTCAAAATGTTAATATTTTGACCAGGCAGAACCAGCCCAATATTCTAAGGTTCAGAACTACTAAATGCTACTTCCAGGAGGTATGAGACATTTGTTAGACAGAAAATAATAAAAATAAGCTTTCTGTTTACAAAGCAGGAATTTTTATATTTCAAGTACTCAGAAGGGTAGGTACACCTGGATCACCATAACAGGATCCTAATGATTATTCATGAATGAATAAAGAGGTTGTTGTGGGTAAGCTGCAACATATTAATGACCCCTACCCCTGCCTTCCAGACACTCACCAGACTTAAGATTCCACAATACAGTGGGCCCCCCTGAGCTGCCAGTACCAATCTTTGTAGAGTAGCACAAACTAATCAGCAGACCCCTCTCCTTCCTCTACAAATGTCACGCTAGTGAGCAGCAGGTGAGAATGTGGGCCAAATCCCCAGAGGAGTTCACCGAATTCTCCTCTCAAAGCTTGATCAGAAATGTGTGGATGTAGGCACTAAGAGTGTTTCTTCCCTGTCTTCCTGTCTACATCAGGTGTGTTGTTCCTTTCAAACACAATTTAAAATCTGAAGAGGAAAAGGCAAATAGCAGTGCCCCAACACCCATCAAAGATATCTGCTACATACACAGTTCTGGTCTTAGATGTGTTTCCCACTGAGTCTTAGAAGTCAGCTCTAACCTGGTCTACTGACTCAGTGAGCTACTCTTTGCCAAGATGAGAAGGCACTGAATTAAGGCCAATTCTATTTGACACATGGGCACATCCATTTTGTGACTGACTTCTGTTTCAACAGCAACTCACTCACAGTTCACCATCTACATAATGAAGCATGTTCTCCCACAAAGTATTTCCTGCTTTGGATACATCTGGATCACACACTTTTGTGGAGTTATGACCATTCTGTAGTAACTCTCTAGTAATAAGAGTGTGGCGGGAGGCTCTAGGCCAAGCCACCGCGTTTACTCACCCTGCACATTGCTGGGTGTGCCCTCTGAAGCATCCTTTGGAAATCTTTATAACCCTATGATCGGTAGGTCCAACACTGGTGTAAGCAAATCTAATGTTGTTACATTTTATCATCTGGGCTGAGCCTTTAGCTTTTATTTTGGATAATGGACCAAATGAATTCCAAGTTGTGTTAAAATCACAATCTCTCCAACCGGATTATAGCTAAGGGTCAGTTCTTTTGAATATGATGACAATTAATATGGGAACTTGTGATTTTCCTTTCATAATAAACTTTCAACTTACTAATTAATTATAAAGTTACACTGTAGCTAAAGCTGGATTTCATTTATATGTTTCTATGTAAAATAACTTCTGAGCTTCTGTCCACAAACCAGTGTCTACAGTTAGTAGAGTGGACTATGTTGTTCTTTAACATGTTATGTCATGCTTCTTAGGGAACTCAGATACAGAAAACCAGTTCAGTGCAAATTTGTTCCCTCCCTCCTTTTTGTTCCTAAAAGGAATGACTGAAGGATTTCTGACAAGTTCCATATTAGTGACTTCAATTCAGAAGCAAGAGATACAGTAGGGACCCTTTATAAGATCCTGTAAGATAAAAACTACATCAAAGGAAGTAATGCACTCAGGAGCAAAAAGTGCTTTTAGTGTCTCCCAACTAGCAATTTGAGAAATTTTATTCATTCATAAAGAGGGCACAACTTTCTAGGCTGTGTCTGAGTTTTTCAGCACGCTAAATTGTGTGTTTTTAGAGTCTGCCTCCTGCCCTGTGCTGCTGCTAGGAATCCAGTTGCTCTACACACAGGACAGGCCCTGCTGCTGACATCTCTAGGGTTCTCAGTGTGGGAAGGCCTGCTCATAACGGGCAGGGAAGTGCCTCCTAAAACAACTGGTTGAGGGAGAAAAAGAACATAAAGATGAGATTAATGAGTGAATGAGGATGAAGTTCTTACCCGGTGGTGGGATGCCCGGGAGGCCGGGCACACCTGGCGGAAGATGGTGGGGTGCAGGCCCCCCAGGGTGAAGTGGCTGCATGCTGCCCATGCTAACAAGGCCATCAACTGGGCCCTGCAAAGGTGGAAGGCCTGGCGGATAGCCACCCATCATGCCTTGAAGGACACAATAAATTTCAGACATGCATCATTAACATGCAACATGAGCTAAGTAATAACAAACCTCCCACATGCACTACTAATGAATAAAGCACCCTTAGTATTGCATGATACAACAGCAATTAGTGCAATTATTTTGTTGCAAAAATGAACAAAATAAAAAGTTACAAATATGAAACCCAACATTTCTGGATGAATTAGTACTTAGTATATTATTACTTGTAGTTATTTTTCCTGGGATAAACATACTGCATGTTTTCAGATAAAAATAAAGAGTAGTTCCAGTAACAGCCTTCCCAAGGTCATGATTATTGCAAGCTATTCAGAGTGACCAGTTCTGCGACTGTGTTTCTAATTGAGCAGTAATAACCCCATCATTTCACTCTGCCCACACTCATATGCCTATCATGGGTACACACGAGGGGAAACTGGAATGGAGGGAAATGAGGTGCACAGCCCTGATCACAAAGCATGGTTCTCCAGCTTGTGGGAGGATGGGAAGAATTTTTCATCCACTCCTCCTCCCTTCTAGCCTCACCACTGTCGCTAAGAATGGATCATGCTAGAGCTTGTCTGACAAACCACTAAGAGCGATCACGATGTCTGATATTTCATCTTTAGGTCTCAAACAAGTTAAAATAAAGATAAAAACTAAACCCTCCCAAGTCAACCTAAGCCCAGGTCACTCGAAGCCTGCATGCAGACCTTCGGGAGGAATGGCTGGAGAATCAGGCTCTGCTGACATGAGAAAATGCCAATTGTCATCGTTGTCTCCACACTCACAAATGTCCTCACATAAACCTTCATTTAGCAGGGAGCATTTTAAATGTGGTACAGAATTTCTGTGAACACTCTTTTACTCCTTTATTTTCAAAGTGCATTTTCACATGACAAAATATTTTCTGCTGGCTAAGGAAGAGTTTCAAGAAACAAGTATTTTTGGCAAAAGGAGTGAAAGGAAGAAAATAATTTCAAAATGTCGAAGACTCACCTATCAAAAGACCTTTGAAGCCACACATTTTTTAAAAGCAAGAAAAACAACTTGACTTTTCTAGGATTTGAAATGATCACAATGAACAAAACATAATACTTCCCCCCAAAATGCAATCACCTTTGGCCACAACTTCTTGCACAAAGGGAGGGTTGAGGGACTGGTGCCAAACCTCATTTTTATAAAGACTCTGTAGAGAGACTCGGGGAAATAGAGAAAAACTCCAAATTCTAAGAATTTTACTCTTTGACTTTCCCTAAAGATTTGAAAGGTATTTATTTATACAAGTTTAGTCTCTTAAAGCTATAAAATTACTGATAATTCTTAGATTCAGCCTGCATCATGAGTTACATCTAAGCTGACTGAAAAATGTAGTTATATGAACCAATAAAACACATTTAAAATAATACTTATATACATGAAATAGGATTATGAGTTTTAAAAAATGAGAGTTCAGAGTAAAAACTACTTTGAACAGACACACCTTGAACATGAGGAGATCCAATGTTGCCAAACTGCCTTTTAACACCACCACCAGATACAGCTTTTCGGGAATTTAAGAATGTTAGGAGACTTTGCTTTCAATTACAAAAGCCCATCTGAACGCACCCTTCACGGGCTGAAGTTGAAGAAATTAAGAACTGAGAGACATGACACTTGTCTTCATTAAACTGTACTTTGGCATTTATTATCCCAGTCACATGTGTTCAAATGAGCTTCAATGCTTGTAAGCAAAGCTGGTCTCAGACAGTACCCAGGCTAAGACTTAGGCCCTGTGCAACTTGTAAACCCACGAAAGATCACCCTGAAAGCAGAAGTTCCCACTGTAGACTGGTTCCTGCAGAGAATCCTTGCCCTTCACTCCCATGGCCCACAAGTCTGGGCAGTACACACTCAACAATGGAACAGGGGTTTTCTAAAAAGCGGCCCCATCCTCCTTACCCTCAGAGCTCTGTGATGTTATTCCCCAACAGGGAGCTAAAATGCTGCAGCTGCTGGTTTTGTACCCCAACCCCCGCTTTTTTCTTTTTTTCTTTCTTTTCCTTTTTATGTTTTTAGCTGTTTGAATTCATTTAGGTAATGTGCCCCTGAGCTTTTTAGCCAAGGGCATAGTGCTACAATATCACAATCAAATAGAACAAAACAGGATGCAAATAAGGGAATCTAACTCTCAAGGTCCCCATGTTCGAGGCCTGATTTCTAAAACCTTTGGAACCCCATTAACCAAAATGGGCCATGGAATAGAGCAGGCAATTACAAGATTTGTTAGATCAACATCAGTTACACTGAAAGTACTGAACAGCCATGATTCAGATGTGCTTTGGCGAGTGCAAATGCTAGTTCAGCGACAGTGCATTTGAGAACTTGCTATCATGAAAGGTAGGAGCAATAATGGAAAAGTTAGCTCATGCTACTCTTCCTCACAAAGCAAATACAAAAAAAAGCAAAAACAAGAACAAAAACAGCATCTCAACGGAGCCTGCCTTGAACAAGACTGTCTTCGACTCCCTTGGAAAAGAGGTCAGATGCTTCTGCTTAAGGAGAACGGGGGCTTGTATAGACCTCACCAGGTTTAGAGAAATCAGGAAGAAGGGATTCAAGAAGTTGTCTGCAGGCTTCTTGTTGGAGGCTTGTCAGACAACGATATCCAATTCTAGATGAGCCAATTTGCTATGGCTACCAGATCAAGAGACAACACACACAGACAAACCACATTCATCATTTTTTTTTCTTTTTTAAATATGTGACTGGGATACTAACAGAAAATGCAGTTTAATGTAATTAAATAGAAAAGCATTACAGAGTGGGCACAATGAATTGAATAGGACTTTGTATTCCACTTAGCAGTCATGCACACTGGTGACCAAAAAAGGATTTATAATTCGTTGTCAAAAATCCTTTTAAATGGTCAGTCTTTTAAAGGATGGCTGCAGCAGAACAAGGCAAACTGAATACTGGAATGAGATGGAGAAGTCAACATCACCTAAAGAATAGTTTTGTGTTTTCTCTTGGATGTCTCTCCAGAAGAGAATTCAGGGTCTATTTATAGTGTCTGCTATAATGCTCTATCAAGAGCAGTCCGGGGTGGAGAAGAGCACTAGGCTCAGCCCACAGCTAGCTCCCTACCAATTCCCAGGATTGGGCCCAGGGCCCATTTCTGGGGCAGAGGGGAGGCATTGCCCATATGGGAAAGGCAATGTAAGGACAACATGGATGATTTCAAACTTTGAATCTCTCATAGGAAAACCTAAAGACTGTGGCCTACTCCTCATTGGAGAAAAAAAAAAAAAAAAAAAATGAAGGAATTTCTTAAAGTGGAAAAAAAATGGTCTTAGCTCCTGTTTTTACCTGCAACAGGTGTCAACTGCTGATTGAGCATCCCCATTGGTGTTGGTGGTGGCACCACCCCCATGAGAGCCCCCACAGGGGTGCCTGCTCGGGGAGAAGCACTCGGCTGTTGTTGCTGTGCTGCTCGCTCTCTCTCCTGCTGCTCAGCAACTTTAGCTGCCCGCTCTGTAAAGGCATTTCAGATTTTCAATTCTGTTTTTAACCCAGGAATTCAAAATACCATCCATTGCATTCAACAGGACTAATAAAAACACAGGCAACAGTTCTGTCTCAATGGAAGGAACAGTAGATGACTAGTCTCAACACAGGAGGATTCGGGCCGATTTCACTTGGTAAACTAGAGTCCAGCTTTCCTATCCCATCTTGAGAACTGGTCTGCAAAGATTTCAAGAATGTTAAGACTGCAACACACATTCAGAAAGCACAGGTTTTATGTAAACACGTCACCAGCGTAACTAACGTGGTTAATCTCACAAGGCACCCTGAAGATGAGAAGCACTACCATTATTCTAGTATTAAAAGCATTGCAAATTATTTATAATTTCAACGTGAAGCAATTCCATGGCCCATTATAATTTTTGGCACAATTGTTACTTACTATATTTTCCTGACTTCTTGCACCCAATTTTATTAAGATTTGAGGCCTCTGTTATTAGTGTTATGGGATTTTAGCAGCTGAAGAAAATTAACTCTGTAAGGGAAAAGTACTTCACTGCCTCTCCACAGGTTTTAGAAACATTAAATGCTAATTTCTACATTCTAATGAAGCAAAGAGGTCATGTTTAATAAACCCCAACAGAAAAAAAACACCCCATGATACTCCAGGCTATAGTCATCAAAAGAAGGGAATTAAATATATACATATGAAGCAATGGACAATAGTGATAGAACCAGGTTTCCTGAAGCTGAGCAGTTCAATACTGACATAAATCAGCCTATATAAGCCTAAGTCCCAAAATTCACTATTATTTCATCTGAAATGCAAGAGGAGCATTTGCTTGTGCCAGTTCTGGGCTCTGGAACACACCTTCCTATATCCCTCACTCCTGTGAGCTACTCTGCCTTAACCTCCATAGCCTGTAGCCCCAATGATCACATTCCATCTTTTTGAGAGCTAATAGGCTGGACCATTACTAGGGAACTCTAGAACTGTGTATTCCCAAAGCTCCCACAATACAGGGTTTATTTTGCTTCACCATTAATAAATAAGCAATCTATCCCACTCTTCATCTGGGCAAACTGAGGCTGGAAGACAGGCAGTGACTTGTCCAAAGATACAGAGAGAACCAGCAACCTGTGGCCCCGACTCCCAGTATCACACTCCAACTACTACACATTGACCCTCCAACATGGAATTCAGAAGGCCTACCACTGGCTGATCAATGGAGGGGAAAAAGAATTCCAGATCCTGTGGCTTTAAAAGAGTCAAGAAGCAATAGCTCCAATCCCCCTTTATGTAAGAATGTGAAAATCCAACGAATCAAATCTTCTTCAGCTTTGACACAGTTGCCTGCACAGACTTGTCATCACTCACTAATACTGTCCCAGTTTACAGATCCTCTGTACAATGAACGTGAGGGATAAAGGCCATTTAAACAACCTATTTATTTCCTTGAGCTATCAGTGATCTAGACCCCGCACATTAAATTCTATTATAGTATTTTCATCACACAAATGATACAGTAAAATGGGAGAGCAAAGAAATGGAGCTGAAAATAGAAAAATTCTGGCCTGTGGGTCAAATACAAGACTGGCTACTGTTGGCTCTAAGGAAAGCCCACTTGGGCTGTCTTAGAAAAGAAAGTTATTAAGTGAACCCAGCTAAACTCCAAACTTTGGGTTTTGAATTCAATGAGTCAAAACAAAAGTTCAGTTTTTGTGTCTCAGACAGACATTGCTGAGTCTCATAACTCACGCTAACTTGGTTCTCATGAATCTCAGCCCTTTAATTTTAGCACGATGGCCTAGGAGCTATCATTTCCTCCTCTTTTCAGCCCTGCTCCAGCGTTTTTACTTTTACAGTTTCTCCAGACACTTTTCTCTCTCAGTTCACACTTTGAGTAATCAGCCATGTAGTATTAGCTTCATTCCAACACTTTACCAACTGAGTGATATATTTGGTTTTAACCTTTACTAAGGTCAGAAATACCAAAGCTCTCCAAAGTTCTAGGTTCTTGCAAAACTGACTAGGGCTTCTCAAAGTATGTTCTATAAAATATTAGTTCTTTAGGATATTAACAGATAATATCTGAATACTTGGCCACATTTTAGAAAATGCCAGGTGAAAAACACACACAGGTTCTTTACTGTAGGTCTTAAATATTTTAACATAAGAATAGGCACTATAAGTTGCCAAGAGAAAAAAATGTCTGGAGTGCTTCTCAACCAATTTTGCCACAAGTGCTTTTTAGCTGAGCATCTTGTAGGATGAGGTTTCTGCAGAAGATCTTTGGAGAAACCTGTCAGGTAATTTTATAATAAACAATCAATTACAATAACTGAAAAGAATTTTTTTTAAAAGCCCTTTAATTTTTGGAAACTCCATAAACTTTAATAAAGGAGGCAGTCTTGCCGAAACCGGTTTGGCTCAGTGCACAAAGCGTTGGCCTGCAGACTGAAAGGTCCCAGGTTCTATTCTGGTCAAGGGCATGTACCTTGGTTACGGGCACATACCCAGTAGGGAATGTGCAGGAGGCAGCTGATCGATGTTTCGCTCTCATCGATGTTTCTAACTTTCTATCTCTCTCTCTTCCTCTCTGTAAAAAATCAATAAAATATATTTTAAAAATAAATAAAGGAAGCAGTCTTAACAACTAATTCCTTTATGTTTGATGGAAAATAATGGATTTGGAATTGGCCAGCAGAGTAATAGTGGACCACTATGTTCAACCACTGAGATGGTTCTAAACTGGCAAAATAAACCATTACATATAATTCCAAATGGAAATAATACAGTTCTAAGGGCAACAGTTCTGCCGAATCTAATGTTTACTACGTATTTCTTTATTAAAGGCTTGTCTGATAATAAAAACAAACAGAAAAACAAAAAATTTCTCTCAAGTATTTTATTCCTAATGGCTAAGAATCACCAAATCCTTAAATGATATAGCTCATGGCCCCAAATGATTTCATTACAGAGTATGAAGGCAGATGAGCTTTACCAAAGAGACCCCAAGTGCCTTAAAAGTAACAATAAATGCAGACACAGCACAGGCCAGGACTAGCCTAGGAAACCAAGTGCTTCAGCCAAGTTCAGGATGAAGTTTAAACATTTGGCTTATCAAGAGCCATAATAGAAGACCATTGATACTGAAAGCCCACTTTCAGATGAATTTTAAGCAAAATTATATTTAATATCCTTGTACAATCATTCCCCAGCTTAACATGTATGCTCACAGGACTCAATGAAAGAAGAAAATCATGCAATTTTTAATAACAAAATACTGGTTTGAGAGATTTAAAAAACACACACAAAAAACCTCAGGATCAGAGGCCAAGTCAGGGGCAGTGCTTGTTCAGTCAGGACAAGGCTGGTATTTCAACTGCTGGATGGGAGCCATCTGAGACAGTCTTCAGCACAATGTTCATGTACAAGTGGTAATAATAAGAGAGTAAAACCTGTCTATGCACATGCATTCCTGAAAACATCCCCTTGCTTTGGAAGCCGAGACAGTTGTGCCTCGTCTCTATTTACCTTCATATTCTGCTTTCTTAGCTGTCTCAAGATTTCTCCATTCTGTCCCCACCAGTCGGCTAAGCTCCCCAAAAGAGTAGTCTGGATGCTGGGCCTTAATCACAGCTCTCATCTCACTGCTGAACAGGATGTAGCCACTCATGTTGATTTTCCGTTTGGAGCTTTCCTTCTTTGCACTGCCTTTGGCAGACTTTGGGGTAGACTGTAAGACAGAAAGCTCTTAGAGTGCATCAGAACATCATATTTGGTTAACTGCTCAAAGTTTCTGGAAGTCAGGAACTTTTGATTCAATAGTATCTATTTTATAAACATGGTCAGTTTATAGAAAGCCATTTCCTTGATTAAAACACAAAGCTCTTCCTTGCCTCTTACCATATAACAAATAAACGGGAATTTCACTGAATTCCATGACTGTAATCTGTAATGGTGACCTCATAATTAAGTCTTGAGAAAAATTCTGAATGAGAAAAAAAACACCAACAGGGATCACCTCAACACAAAAAAAGAGATCCTAAAGAAGAAACTAAAAAGATAGAGGAAATAAAAGATAAGAGTACCAGGATGATGCTGTTCCTCACTGCTTTTCTTCAACACAAGGCAAGGAGAACTTTCTAACTAAACTTGCCATTAAAAGCAGCATTGTATGAAAAAATTTAAATTTTAAATAATTAATGGTGTTGAGAAAAAGAAATGTTTCTTCCTGGAAAATTCTAGGTTGAAACTCACATATACAGGAGCTGGACATCTCTTTACTTTGGTTTGAGTCTGCAGCAAACCAAAGCTGGGAATAAGACAAGTAACAGGAACTTGTCACCTTCACCTGTGGGGGTGTGTATGGCATGAGATCCAGCTCACTGGACAAGGGAGTCTGAAGTTGAGGCAGAGAAGGAGGCTCAAGGACCTCACTATCCTCTTCTCCCATCTCTTCAATATCATCATCTCCACCTTCTAACTCAGCAAATTTTGCTTCTAGTAACTGGATCTTCTTTTCCAACAAAGGTGAAGGCTCCTTCTGCGGAACAATTGGTTTTCTAAAAGAAGTGACAAAAAAAGACAATCAGGTAACAAAACTCCAGAACCAGTCAGAAAGCAAGTGTTCTGCTTTAATGTCTATAAATGACTGCCTACAATCTGCAATGCACACTCTAAGTCAGCAAGGAAAATAACTTAAATGTATATTTATAAAGTCACACCTACTTACAGATGCTTTTTAATTAAAAAAAAAATATATATATTTCATAGAAAAAGGGAGAGGTAGAGAGAGAAAAATCAATAATGAGAGAGAATCATTGATTTGCTGTCTCTTGCATGCCTCCTACTAGGCAGCAAGCCTACAACATGGGCACATGCCCTTGACTGGAATCGAACCTGGGACACTTCAGTCCACTGAGCCAAACAAGCTAGGGCCAGATGCTTGTTTTTAAATGATTTTACTGAATACCCACAAAAGTACTAGGTCTAAAGTTGGGATCTAGTTGCCTATATAGTGAAAAGAGTTTTCGTAATTTGTGAACCGTGCAATCTTAACAGACTATGAATCAGAACCAAAGATTTTTGCCTCCACATTATAATTACTGGGAGTTTAGGCCAACAGGCACCATTAGAGCAGTTACCACATCTCAGCAGATTCTGAGGATTTCTTTTAATCTTTAACTAGCCCTGGCTGGTTTTGCTCAGGGGTTAAGAGTGTGGGTCCACAGACCAAAGGGTTGTGGGTTCAATTCCCCATCAAGAGCATGTACCTCAGTTGCAGGTTCAATTCCTGGCCCCGATTAGGGTGCAGGAAGGAGGCAACCAATTGATGTGTGTGTCCCATGTCAATATTTTTTTCTCCCCTGCACTTCCCATCACCCTTTCCCTTCCCTTCCACGCTCTTTAAAAATCAGTGGAGCCTGGCTTGATCCCCAGTGTGGGATATGCGGGAGGCAGCCAATCAATGATTCTCTTTCATCACTGATGTTTCTATCTCTATCCCCCTCTCCCTTCCTCTCTAAAATCAATAAAAATATATTTTTAAAAATCAATGGAAAAAATATCCTCACTCTTGGGGTGAGGATTAAATAAAAAATTTTAAGCAATTAGTCGATATTTTCTATTTAAAATGTATATTGATCTAGTTTAAAACAAATTTAAAAAACAAGCAAAAAAACACCCTGCACTATACTACTTTGATATCAGTTTTACTATTAAGAAAGTGTTCTTTCTTCCTTAGTTTTTCAAGCTTTACCTGAAGTAATAAATTTCATCATCTACCACTTTAGCAGAGAGTGAAAACCTCTTCAGTCCCTTGAATTTCTTCATCTGCTTGTCACTCTCGTTGTAGCGGCTCTCACAAAGCAAAACGTCATTTTCTGGTATTTCAGTTGGTCTGCAGGAGAGGAAGTCCTTGAATGACAACACAGCACACTTTCCTGAAAGAGCAAATTGGAGAGAAGTCAGAGTACATTGTGGTCATAGCTAACAATTATTTTCAATTTTTATTCTTTTTGAATTAATACAATAATCTTATTCAAAAGGGTATGCACAAGCATAAGGATAAACATGTAGATCAATGGAATAGAACATAGTAGAGAAACTGATACAATTAGACTTTTATGAAAAATTGATAGACGAGGGTGCTAAGACAATTCACTGGGAAAGAATGGTCTCTTCAACAGATAGCACTGGGATAACTGGACTTCCATATGCGAAAGAACTGAGTTTGAAACCAACTTCATACCTTGTACAAAAATTAACTCAAGATGCATCAAAGATCTATATATAAAAGCTACAACTCTTAAAAACTCTTAATATAGCCCTAGCCGGTTTGGCTCAGTGGATAGAGCGTTGGCCCAGTGGTCTGAAAGGTCCCAGGTTCAATTCTGGTCAAGGGCATGTACCTTGGTTGTGGACACATCCCCAGTAGGGAGTGTGCAGCAGGCAGCTGATCGATGTTTCTAACTCTCTATCCCTCTCCCTTCCTCTCTGTAAAAAAATCAATAAATAAAATATATTTTTTAAAAAACCCTCTAAATATAACACAGAGGTATAAATCGTTGTGACCTTTTATTAGGCAATAGTTTCAAAGATGTGATATTAAAATCACAAGCAACCAAAGATAAACTGGACTTCATCAAAATTAAAAACTTTTGTGCTTTGAAAGATACTATCACGAAAGTGAAAAGGTAACCCAATGAATCCAGAAATACCTGCAAATCATATGTCTGGTAAGAGTTTAGTATTAAGAATATATAAAGACTTCCTACAACAATAACAAAACAAATAATCCAATTAAAAACAGGTAAAAGGCCCTACCCATTGTGGGTCAGTTGGCTAGACGTCAATCATGTACTAGGAAGTTGCTGGTTCAATTCCTGGTCAAGGGCACATGCCCAGGTTGTGTGCTTAATTCTCAATAGGGGGCGTGCAGAAGGCAGCCAACCAATGTTGCACTCTCCCATCAATATTTCTCTCTCTAAAAGTCAAAAAACTATTGCTTCCTCTCTCTGAAAGTCAATAAACTAGTCTTAAAAAAAAAAGTTAAAAAAAACAGGCAAAGGCTTTGAAGAGACATTTTTTTTTTTGAAGAGACATTTCTCCAAAATAGATATACAAATGACCAAAAGATGCTCAGCATCATTAATCATAAGGGAAATTAAAAAAAAAATCATAATGAGATAGCATTTCAAATCCATTAGGATGGCTATTATATTGAAGAAGAAGAGGAGGAGGAGGAGGAGGAGGAGGAGGAGGAGGAGGAGGAGGAGGAAGGAGGAAGAGGAGGAGGAGGAGGAGGAGGAGAAGAAAAATAATGTGTTGACAAGGATGTGGAATAACCAGAACCCTGGTGGGAATGTAAAATATTATAGCTGCTGTGGAAAACAGTTTGGCAGTTTCTCAAAATGTTAAATATAGTTGCTCTATAATCCAGCAAATCTACTTTTTTTTAAAACATGGTTTTAAAAACATATTTTTATTGATTTCAGAGAGGAAGGAATAGAGAGATATAGAAACATCAATGATGAGAGAGAATCATTGAAGAGCTGCCTCCTGCACGCCTCCCGCACTGGGGATTGAGCCTGCAACCCAGGCATGTGCCCTTGACCGGAATCAAACCTGGGACCCTTCACTCTGCAGGCCGATGCTCTATCCACTGAGCCAAACCCGCTAGGGCAGCAAATCTACTTCTTGATAAATACTCAAAAGAACTGAAAGCAGGAACTCATATAGATACTGTACACCAACCTTCAAAGCAACATTATTCATGTAGAAATCTCCTACATGTCCATCAACAGATAAATGAATTAACCAAATATTAAAAATATATACAATGGAATATAATCAACCTTAAAAATGAATTAAATTCTGATATATGCTATACCATAAATTAATCCTGAGAACATTACGCTAAGTGAAATAAGCCAAAAACAGAAGGACAACTATTGATTCCATTTATATGAGGTACTGAGAATAGGCAAAATTCAGAGACAGCAAGAACACATATTATGAGGGGTTGGGAGAAGGAGAAATGGGTAGTCATTGTGGTGATGGTTGCACAGTACCTATGTCAATGGATTTACTGTCACTGACGCATACACTTAAAACTAGTTAAAATGTTGCACTTTATGCTATATGTATTTTACCACAATAAAACTTACAAATAGCAGCATATTATTTATATTTTTTGCACCTAAATTTTGTTGCAAAGTAATATATCTTGCAGATTAGTGGTATTAAGAAACTATAGTTACTGAAACTAGTTCCCTACAGATATTTAGGCTGTTTCCAAATTTTTGCTTTCCCACTGTAGCAAAACACTGCTGATTCTCCTAAATTCCCATCTACTTAATTTCCTTATTTTAAATTTCTGTTTCTTCTAACTGAGCTGGCTAGTGCCTCCAAAACAAAGTTTAATAAGTGTGGTAAGAAAATCCCTATTTTGTTCTTGATCCAATAGGAGTGTTCATTACTAACAATTTAACAATACTTGTAAAACATGTAACAACAGGTCAGAAACATTTTAGAAGCTTAAATAGCTATAATTACCATCATTTCCTTGGAGTTACATAATACTTTACTTACATTATCCAAGGCTTTTCAATTCAGAGAAGGAACGGTTTTAATTTTCTATATTTCACAGAAGAAAAAAGAAAAATTTGGAAAGGGTAAAAATTCTTCTCACAGCTAAAAAGTAGAAATGACTGATGAACTTGAAATGCATATAGTATCTCTGTGCCCTGACTGGCCCTCAAAAGACAGAGAAAGATAAAAGTTTAGAAAGCATCATTTAATAAAGCATAAAAAACAGCAAAACAATAAAAAGATGTATGAGACTCCTGTACACGCACACACACAACAATAAGAAAATTAGTAAGAGAAATTAAAGAATACCTAAAAAATGAAGTAATCTATCATGTTTATAGCTGGAAGACTCATAAAAATATCAGTTCTCCCCCAATTGATCTATAGGTTGATTGTAGTTCCAGTCAAAATCTAGCAAGTCTTCCAGTTTGGAAGGAGAGCAGTTTGTTTTCAAACAACTATGGTCATTTCATAGGACCTAAAATTCTCTCCTTTTTGGATTCCAAAGGTCAGAGAAATGGCTTTGGTAATTTTATTGTAAACACTTCAAAGCAAACAAATCAGCTGCTGCCAACTGCGGAAAAGGATGTCAGTTGGGGAAAACAGCAGACATGCTGAAAAGTCCAGGAAGAAAAAGCTGGGAGTCAGTTTTGAAAACCTTCACGTATTCCTGGGAATTTAGAAAGCCATGCCTCAGTGTGCAGGCTCAGAAAAGACCTGAGAAGGCCCTAAGCTCTCACCTTTGGTTGATTGTCAATCCCTGTGGAAGCAGGAAATAAAGGCAAAGCAGAGTTGTAAACTTCCAGGTTGTGTGTTGAAGGTATGCTCCAACACAGACACAGTATCCAATTTCAAAGACTAGGAATTTTTTGTTTTTGTTTGTTTTTTGATCTAAGCATTTAAGAAAATCTCTTGCCCTGGCCATTGTGGCTCAGCTGGTTGGGCATCGTCTCTTGCACCGAAAGGTTGCCGGTTTGATTTCTGACCAGGGCATATGCTCAGGTTGTAGCTCAAACTCTGGTAGGGGGCTTGTTGGAGGCAGCCGATAGACTATATGTTCTCACATCGATGTTTCTATTTCTTCCCCTACCTTCCTCTATTTCTAATCAATTAAAAAAAATAAAAATAAAGTATCTGTTAAATCACTAGCTGACTACTAAGGTAGCAGAACAGAGACTCCAGTGACCACACACAACAAAAAAAACACATTCTTTAAAAAACAGTTTAGAGCTTTGGCTGGGATGGCCCAATTGGTTGAGTGCTGTCCCATGCACTGAGAGGTTGCTGGTTCGATTCCTGGTTGGGGCACATGTGCGGGTTGTAGTCTTGATCTCCAGTGAGAGGCGTGCAGGAGGCAGTCAACTGATGTTGAGCTGTCTCACTGATGTTTCTCCTCTCTTTCCCTCTCCCTTCCTCTCTCTCTAAAATCAATAATAATAATAATAATAATAATAATGATGATGATGTCACTAAATAAGCAACTACAGGTCACAGTAAGGAGTAATTGCAAAGCCTGAGGAGGGAGGAGAAACTAATTTCCAGAGTCATCACATTATAATATCCAAACTGTCCAGTTTTCAACAAAAAACTATGAGGCATGCTAAAAAACAAGAATGATTCATTCACAGAATAAGAAGAAATGAAAGATACTGTTCATAAGGAAACCCAAACACTAGACTTACTAGACAGAGAATTTTTAAAAAATATATATTTTATTGATATTTTACAGAGAGGAAGAGAGAGGGATAGAGAGTTAGAAACATCGATGAGAGAGAATCATCGAAGCTGCCTCTTGCATACCCCCTACTGGAGATGTGCCTGCAACCAAGGTACATGCCCTTGACCAGAATCAAACCCGGGACCTTTCAGTCTGCAGGCTGATGCTCTATTCACTGAGCCAAACTGGTTTAGGATAGACAGAGAATTTAAGTCACTGTCTTTAATCTGTTCAAAGAGCTAAAGGAAACCACAAAGAAGTAAAGGAAACCAGAATGCTGTCTCACCAAACAGAGAATATAAATGGAGAGAGAGAAATTGGAAATACTAAATGAAAATTCTAGAGCTGAAACTGACTAAAATGAAAAAAATACATTAGAGGGGTTCAACAGAGGATTTGAATAGGAGGAAGAATCAGCATACCTGAAACAGATCAACTGAAATCACCAGTCCAAGAAAGTGAAAGAATAAAGAAAAATGAACAGCCCTAGCTGGTTTGTTAAGTGGTTAGAGCATCAGACTATGGATTGAAGAATCCCAGGTTTGATTCTGGTCAAGGGCATGTACCTCGTTGCAGGCTTGATCCCCAGCCCTGGTTGGGGCATGTGTGGAAGGCAACCAGTTGATGTGTCTCTCTTGAATCAATGTTTCTCTCTGACTCTACTCTTCCCATTCTCTTAAAAAAAAATTAATGGAAAAAATATCCTCTGGTGAGGATTAGCAAAACACAACAACAAAAAACAGATTCTGAGAGACCTGTGACACATAATTAGACATACTAACATAGGCATAATGAGAATCCTGAAAGGAGAATGAGAAAGGGGCAGAAAGAATATCTGAACTTGCCAAATTTAATGAAAGAAGACAAATCTGTTAATAGAGAATTCTATATCTATCAAAAATATTCTTCAAAAATGAAGAAGGGATCAAGACATTGTCAGATAAACAAAAGATGAGAGTTTATTACTAGCAGACCTGCTTTGTAAGAAACGTTGAAGGGAGTCAATAGACAATACCTTGAAACCATACAAAAAAGTTAAAAACACTAGTAAAGGTAACAACACAGATAAATATAAAAGCCAATATTGTATTTTTGGTAACTAACTCTTCTTTTTTCCTCTAATAAGATTTTAAAGACAAATGCATAAAGCAATAATTAGAAATCTATGGGTTTTCTGGTTAAGATGGCGGCATAGGCAAATGTGGTACTTGCATTCGCCTACAACAACATCAAAATTACAAGTAACTACAGAACCACCATTATTCAGGACCGACTGACACCTAGTTGAATGGTAATCCTAAAACTAAGGATATAAATGAGAAACCACATTAAGATTGGTAGGAGGGGAAGTTCCTACACTCACATGTGGAAGATAAAAATTTGTAAGGATATCTGGGCTGTAGAAGTACTCCCTAAGAATCGATAGGTCCCAGCCCAACACCAGGACTCCTAGCCCATGGTTCCAGTGTCAGGAAGAGAAGTCCCCATAACTTCTGGCTATGAAAACTAGTGGGGATTGTGGCTCAGTGAGACAAAGGGCTGTTGGAGTCACAGATAGTTCCTCTTAAAAGGTCCGTGCCTGGACTCACTCCCTTTGAGCACTAGGGCAACAGCATGAAGTTCACTAGTGACATACAGGGAGGAACTGAATGGTCCAACATCAGGGTAAGGGCTGAGGTTGGGGCGAGAGGGGTATTTTCTCCCAGACAGAAGTGCTGGCAGATGCCACTGTTCCTTTTCTGAGCCCTCCCAACACAAAGCCAGAAGGAGGGCAGCACAGCTGAATCTCCATCAACCTGGCTATCACTGTTCGCCCCGCCCTGGGGGTTCCCTGAGACTCCGCCCTGCCCCATCCACCTTTGCGGCCCATCCAAGGTGTTTCCTAGTGGCTTTTCCATATAATGGCCTGTCTTGGTTCATGCTTCAGAATTTCATAAATCTCTCAAACAAGCAGTTTCTGGTAAGGGAATGCTCCATACCTCTTGCTAAGTGGCCCCAAGCCATGCACTAGCAGCCTTGGTTTGCAGTTTGGCCTCTCTAGGATAACTCCAACACCAGCACAAGTAGCAGCCATCTGAAGACTGTTTTATAGCTTGTGCTGGGTAGCCCTGGGCAGAACACAAGTAGCATCTGACTTTGGCCTGCACCTTCCAGGGAAGCTCCAGAGCCAGTGCACCCCGTGGATAGCTACTGACCATGTTGAAGCATCACCCAACCACCTCTACAAGGGACAGTCAAGGGGTGGATTCAGGAGACACCATAGCACTGCAGAAGTTCTGTTCCATGGGGTGGGCCCCACACAATTGCTACTCCACAGTGGTCACAGCTAGTCCTTATAGCTGACTGACCTGGGGGCAAATCCCTCCCAATTGACATGTCAACAGCAATTAAAGCACAATTACAATAAAAGAGTGTGCACAGCCCACACAGGGCTAGAGGTCCACTTGAGTTCACCACCACCAAACTATCGATAGTATTACATGAAGGGTCTTTTTGAAGAAAAAGATAAAAAAATATTAATAATAATATGCCAATAAATCCATGTCTATCAACAATTGAATTTAAAAATTCAAAATAAATAAATAAGATGAACAAAAACAGAGTCATAGATAGAGAACATTTTGACATTTGCCAGATGGAAAGGGAATTTTTGGGGACAGGTGAAATAAGTGAAGGTATTAAAAAGTATAAATTGGTCATTACAGGATAGTCATTCGAATATAAAGTACAGTACAGGGAATATAATTAATAGTATTGTAATAACTACCGTGTTTTCCCGAAAATAAGACATCCTCCGAAAATAAGACCTAGCGCATGGAAAGATAAGACATCCCCTGAAAATAAGACCTAGCGCAACTTAGGGAGAAAAAATTAACGTAAGACACTGTCTTATTTTCAGGGAAATAGGGTATGTATGGTGTCAGATGGGTATTAGATTTATCAGAATGATCACGTAGTAAGTTATATAATATGTATTTACTGAGATGTACACCTGAAACTAATGTAATATTGTATAATCAACTGCAATTGAATTTTTTTTAATGTAAAATAAATAAATAAAACCATGGGGGAAAAAGATATCTATGTTAAAGTACACGCAGAGTATAAAAAGGTTATTCCTGACAACAAATGGAGAGAAATGGAGCTGTAGAGAACAGTGTCTGTATAGTAACAAAACTAAGTTAGTATTAATTCAAACTAGACTGTCATAAATTTAAGATGTAATCTCCAGATTAGCACTAAGAAAATCAATAAAAAACAATAAATCAGCTGAAACCAGTTTGGCTCAGTGGATAGAGCGTTGGCCTGTGGACTGAAAGGTCTCAGGTTCGATTCCGGTCAAGGGCATGTACCTTGGTTGCAGCCACATCCCCGGTAGGGGGTGTGCAGGAGGCAGCTGGTTGATGATTCTCTCTCATTGCTGTTTCTAACTCTCTATCCCTCTCTCTTCCTCTCTGTAAAAAATCAATAAAATATATTTAAAACAAAAAAAACAAACAAAAAAAACAATAAGTCATGTGGTTGCTTTAACTAAAGAAAACTTTAGTCTCATCTTTGTTATGGTTCCTTTGACCGCAGGCTGGGTTTACAGTAGGGAGTAAGGCTCTAGTGCACTGCTTTAGAATGAACAACAAGTTACAAGGAAGACATCCTCTGCTGAAGAAACTCAAAAAGTATATAACAACTTCACTAGCCTTTGCAGAGTCCCTCTCTGCAGAGTGGAAAGAAGAGAATGTGTTGAATTACCAGGCCATTCAGAAATCTTCCACATCCAATAATGAAAAACCCACAGTACAAAAAACAATCTAGCTGAAATGATGGCAATATGTGATGTATATATATCTAGATCTGAAAAGCAGAATGTTACTGTGGAAACACTCAGGAAGATGGAACAGAAACCAAATTATGAGTCCTTCATATTTCTGGAATGGAGATAATAACTGGGGTTAAGTGCAACAGGCTGTAAAAGTCTTTTAACTGCTCTTCCAGCTTCCCACCTTATTCTTACAACATACTCTCCAATCCAAAGCAAGCGATTCCATTTAGACATATGTGGGATCACACTGCCTGTCTGCTCAGACCCCTCACAGGACTTCCTATCTGCTCCAAACTCAATCTCTGCACTGACCATGAGACCTATCATGATTGGGTGCCAAGACCCCTCAGAGGGCCGATCCCTTCCACACCCCCTTCCTACTCCAGCCACCCAGCTTGCTTATTGAGTCTCAAACAAGCCCAGATACTCTACCTTAAGGTCTTTGAATTTGGTGTTTGCTGTGCCTAAAAGGAGTAAAATCTTGGGATAGTCAAATGGTTTTCTTCCTCATTTCCTTTAGAACTCTGTTCACATGTCACCTATCAGAGAGGCTTTGGATGACCATATTTACTAAAGCAGGACTGCCAAGCAACATGAATCTCTATCTTCCTTCCTCTGCTTTATTCTCATTTATTGCCCTATCTAGAGGCCTGGTGCATGAAAATTCATGCACTGGTCCCTCAGCTCAGCCTGCCCCCTCTCACAGTCCAGGAACCCTCAGAGGTGGGAGGCAACTTGGCAATCAGAGGAAGGAGATGCCCCATCACACATCTGCTGCTGCCGCTGCCAGCAGCACAAGCCTCAGCCAGTCCTGGTTACCTGAGCCTTGGATGGCTCTGGGTGGCTGGGCAGCCTCAATCTGAGACTTGCCTGCACCTTGGGCTGGCCCTGGGAGGCTGGGGGGCTGAGGGGATTGGAGGATTCCCGAGGCAGGTGCGGGGCAAGGCCAGGCTTCCCGCATGCCTGCCACCCTGGCGGGGCTGAGGGGACTGGGCATTGCCATCTTTGAGGGCATGACAGTCAATTAGCATATCCCCTCCTTATTGGCAGTGGGTGCCACCATCTTTGCGACGGCGTGAGGTTCAATTAGGATACTCACTCTTTATTAGATAGGATAACTATCTGAGGTTCTATATATTTAATTTTAATTTATTGAATCCCCCACCTCTGCCCTATGATAAGTCGACTTTCGCGTTTTATTGCTGTATACCTAGCACCTAGAACGGAAGCATTTAATTGATTGTTGTGGAATGCATGTGATTAAATGAAATGGCATATATACCTACCCAGAATACATGTCATGGGGCAGGTTTCTTCCAGATTACTCAGAAACACTTCTTTTTTGTAGAACATTTTTGTGGGCTCATGTTCCGTCTCTTCTGGGTGAATGAAGATGGGGCCATAAAAATATGCAGCTCCATCTCGAACCCATACCTTTTCAATTCTTGGGTGGTGAAAAAAGGATAAATTTCATTAAAATAAAATTCTAATAAGTTTCATTTTTGAAGGATTAATCTAACAAAAATTCTGTTAACCAAAAATTAGTATGTAGAGAAGTTTCACTGGTTATTTTGATAAGACAATTTCTTTGACAACCCCTGCCCAATCCCATTTAAACACATGAGAAGATACTTGGGAAAAGACAAATGAAGATTTGACTATTCACCTGGGGGGAAAAAGTATTTTAACATGGTATGTACTATACACTTAACTTATTCACGATGTTTATTGTCTGTCTTCCCACTAGTACAAAGATCCATGGGACTAAGGATATTTGTCTTATTCACTAATGTATCCTTAGACCCTGGCAAATGGGAGATTGTAATAAATAGTGAATGATGAAATGAATACCAGGAAACTGACTCAGAGAGGTAATCATTTGAAACCAAGATCTCTTGGAACCAACTAATTCGTTTGTTCATTCTTTCTTATTTATTTATGTAAATCTTTATTGTTGAAAGTCTTCCTTTTTCTCCCACTGACCCCCCATCCCTGCCCCAGGCTCTCACTTCCCCTTTGTGGCTCTGGACATGCATATAAGTTCTTGGTTGATTACTTCCCACCCACCCAGCCTTCCCTCTGAGATTCCGCACTCTGTTCCATGCTTCCATGTCTCTGGATCCACTCTATTCATCAGTTTATTTTGTTACTTAGATTCCACATATGAGTGAAGATCATGTGATACTTGTCTTTCTCTGACTGACTTATTTCACTTAGCATGATATTCTCCAGGTCCCTCCATGCTGTCCAAAAAGTAAGAAATTCTTCTTCTTCTTCTTCTTTTTTTTTTTACTGCTGCATAATATTCCATAGTATAAATGTACCACTGTTTTTTTTATCTACTCATCTACTGATGGGCACTTGGAACCAACTAGTTCTTAAGTACTGTCAACTGACCAGCTCTGTCCCTGACTCCTTTACTGTTGTTTTATGCCATCCAACCATTTATATTTCATCCATTTATTTGTTCATTCAAATATCTGAGCCCTTACTTTGTTTCAAGCACTATGTTTGGAAGAGTAAATACAAAGGAGAGCAAAAAGAGAGGATGACGACTCTCAAGGAATTTGCAGTCCAGTATAGAACCTGAGAATAATGTAATGTGATATGTGCTCCGAGAAGGAAATTCATGGTGCTTTGAGAGGCTGTAACAAGGACACCTAACCCAGTCTGGAGGAGACAGAAGGTTTCCTTAAAGAAGTACCATTTCAAATGTAAGCTGAAGGAGTTCACCATATGAAGTGGGCAGAGAGATTTCAGGTTGAGAGTTCAGTAAATAGTAGCAGAAGGAAAACAAAAAGATTTCATGGAGGGAAATAAAAGAGGAAGTATGGCTAATGGCAAAAGCAGGGGAAGTGCAATGTAAGAGAAAGCTGGGTAAGTTACTGGGAGAGAGACTTTTGACTTCATCCTAAAGAGTGATGATTTTTTTTTTTTTACTGGCTCAGCATCTCTCAGACCCAACCTCATCCGCCCTACTTCAATAATACTCACCTGGCCGAGACCGGTTTGGCTCAATGGATAGAGCGTCGGCTTGGGGACTGAAAGGTCCCGTGTTCGAATCCGGTCAAGGGCATGTACCTTGGTTGCGGGCATATCCCCAGTAGGGGGTGTGCAAGAGGCAGCTGATCGATGACTCTCTCTCATCGATGTTTCTAACTCTCTATCTCTCTCCCTTCCTCTCTGTACAAAATCAATAAAATAAAAAATAAAAAAATAAAAATAATAATAATAATACTCACCTGCCCACGCGAGGGCGAACCAGGCCATGGGACTTGATGAAGACACAGTCCCCAACCTTTAGCCACATGTCATTGTAACGGAGCTGCTCAAAGTAGTGGCAACCTGGTTCACCATTGGACATTTCCACAGGGACATCTTCTTTCTCCTGTTGTAAAGGAAACTGGTTGAGGATAGGCAGTTGACAATCAAGAAGTAAAAAGAGAAGGTAAGAAAGAAAAACAGATTTTCATAATTAACCTAAAAGAAAAAATAACAATAAATAAAAGCTTTGATGAAGAAAAAAACCCAAAAGATTAGGTCACTAAAATCAAACTAAGTCTCATCAAATATTATATCTATTTTAAATTTCAAGTTAATTGACATAAAATGTTACTCCAGGATGCTTTTATCACCTCTCCATCTTTCTTCTAGTCCCATAGCCTTTAGTAGCAAACTAACAAACGAACAAAAACACTGGCGAGGAAGGACTTAGCATTCAGAAGCAGACTTAGTCAATGCATTATTATCCTATATAATAAAAGGCTAATATGCAAATTGTCTGATCAAGGAGTTCAACTGGCAGACCAGGATCTTCCATAGCTCACTATGACGTGTGCTGACCATCAGGGGCGGTGCGGATAATGGCGGACGACCAGCAGGGCGCTGAGGAGTGAGGAAAGGAGAGGGCAGAGAGGCTAGGAACCTGATCGGCCGATCACAGGCCAGACCTAGGGACTCTAACCGTGCACAAATTTCGTGCACTGGGCCTCTAGTAAAATATAAGCAGCAAATTCTACAGAAGCTTCCCCTTCACTACATTTACTGAGCTGGCCACTTCTTAATATTAACCAAGAATAGTTTTATAATGTATCATTTTGAGTTATTCCAAAATAGAAGGGACTAGCAAAGTCCCCATGACCTAAAGACACATATTCTGTTTTTGAATAAATTACAGGGTATGTCACCAACTGGCTGTTGTAACAAATTACTTGACCTCTTATGCCTTAGTGCCTTCATTAAATGGGATTGTAAGGAAGCTTAAATGACACAATGAAGTTGGGACAACTAGTAAACAAATGTTAGCAAGGATTTGGAGAAAAGGAAACCCTTGTGCATTATTGATGGGATTGTAAACTGGTGCAGCTACTTGGAAAACAGTATTTAGGGTTATAAAAAAATTAAAAATATAACTACCATACAACATAGCAATTTCAGTTGCGGGTATCTATATGAAGAAAACAAAAACACTAATTTGAAAGATACACACACCCCTGTGTTCACTGCAGCATTATTTAAAATAGACATGAAAGGAACCTAGGTACCCATCGGCAGATGAATAAAGATGTGATCCACACACATACAAATATACAAATTGAAATAGTGCTCAGCCATAAAAAAGAAATCTTGTCCTATGCAACAACGTGAATAGACCTGGAGATATCATGCTAAGTGAAATAAGTCAGAGAAAGCCAAATACCTTATGATTTCACTTATATGTGGAATCTAAAAGAACAGAACAAACAAAACAAAACAGACACATGGACACAGAAAACAAACTGATAGTTGCCAGAGGGGATGAGAGAAACCGTGAAAGGGAGTAAGAGGTACAAACTGCCCTAGTTGGCTTGGCTCAGTGGATAGGGCATCACCTTGCAGAATAAAGGGTCCCGAATTCGATTCTGGCCAAGGGCACATGCCTGGGTTGTGGGCTCGATCCCCAGTAGGTGGTGTGCCAGAGGCAGCTTATCAATGATTCTCTCTCATCATTGATGTTTCTATCTCCTTCTCCCTTCCTCTCTGAAATCAATAAAGAAATAAATATATATATTTTAAAAAAGAGGTACAAACTTTTAGTTATAACATAAGTAAGTCATGGGGATGTAACCGACAGCACAAAAATACAGCCAACAGTACTATAATAACTGTACAGTGACAGGTTATTCCACTTATCAAGGTGATCATGTTGTTAAATGTTGAATCATAACGTTTCACACTTGAAACTAATGTAATACTGTATATAAACTATAATTTTTTAAAAATTAAGGTTTTATATTATTTATTTTGAAATGTAATTTTATTTGTATATGGCTATTATCTACATACCTTTTCCAAGTTAAAATTGTCTTCAGTTCTACTGTCTTCTGAGTTGTCTGCATTCTTTTCATCATCCCCTTTATCTGCATTTGCAAATACAGAGGCCACTCGGACCACAGGCAAGGGCACATCCCGAGGGACAAACCTAACAGAACTGATGGGCATGGTCCACAATTTAATTTTCTTAAAAGATTTGGTTTTGGCAGAGTACCGTGATTCACAGACAAAAACATCCTCATCTCGAAAGTTTTCTGGGCATAATTTAAAGTATTCCTAGGATATAAAAATAAAATTAATTTTCTGAAAACCAATGAACCAAAAATAAACACAAACAAAAGTTAAACTGTTTAGACTTTCTGACAGTTAACAACAAATGGTAAAAGAATTGACATTTAGTAGTATTTCCTTGCTTCAGAATTACTTATTAAATACATAATATGTAGCTTATTTAGCCTAACAATTGCCCTTTGGGAAATATATTAATATTTCATATAGCTGTAATGTCCTTTAAAACTATGGGCAGGATTCCTGTGCCTCCAACAGAGAGATACACAAAAAATACATTTTATTATCCCACTAGCAGGTTATAATGACTTTTCAGAAAATGTTATCCTAAAAGTTTGTTTGGTAATATAAAAAAATTTAAGCATTATTTAAAATATATTGTAGCTACATAGTGTAGGCGGCAAATAGTCTTTTACCTTCATGTTCAGGTTAATTTCTTCCTAAATCTTTATATACAGCCATATAGACACAGTTTAAAGAAAATTTCCCCCAAAACAGATTAAAAAGACCTCCTAATTTTGTAAGTATTAATTTTGTGTTTTTATAAATTTTATTCCCATAGAATGATTTATTCTTTCGGAACTAATAAATTTCTTACCTTGACAAACATGACCACACATTTTCCTAGAATTTTACTAACAGGAACTTTATTGTAATAGTCACTCTTAAAAACTTCTTTTTCTAGGAATTTTCGTGTAGCCAGATGGAATGTTTCATTTGGCCGATAAAACCAACAGCCATACAACCATTTTTCACCTCAAAAGCAAAAAGAGAGAATTACCATGAACAGAAATTACATATTCTTTGCAAAATGAGCAAATCCATCCATTCTGCCATGGCCTGAACCTACCTATTCTGTTTTTTAGACCACATTCCTTAATACTATTATCTTTTTTTTTTTTTTAAATATATTTTATTGATTTTGTTTAGAGAGGAAGGGAGAGAGATAGAGAGTCAGAAACATCGATGAGAGAGAGTCATCGATCACCTGCCTCTTGGACCCCCCCCCTCCCCCCCACTGGGGATATGCCCGCAACCAAGGTACATGCCCTTGACCGGAATCGAACCCAGGACCTTTCAGTCCCCAAGCCGATGCTCTATCCATTGAGCCAAACTGGTTTCGGCCTTAATACTATTATCTTAGAAGAAGTAGTACTTTCAAATAATGAAGTGTATTAAGGCTAAGAAATGCTACTTTCTCTTTCATATTAAAATATACATAATACGTAGGATGAGGAAGGTGAGGAGATCTGTTGTACTCTGCTAGTCTTTCTGGATCAGGAATATAACAGTATTATACATGATGAACAGATGAAAGAATGCCTGGATCACATTTCTGCCTGCTTTTGGCTTCACTAACTCCTATTCATTCTCCACATCTCAAGTTTAATGACAATTGTTCTAGGAAGCCTATTTGAAATCAAATTCTAAGGTAAGGCACGTCTCTCTATAATAATTTTTTATTTGTGAGTAGAGGCCCGGTGCATGAAATTTGTGCACCGGGAGTGGGGGTTGGGGATGGGAGTGTGTCCCTCAGCCAGGCCTGCACCCTCTTCCAATCTGGGACATCCCTTTCACAATCCAGGACTGCTTGTTCCCAACCGCTTGCCTGCCTGCCTGCCCCTAACAATTCAGCTGCCAATCTAATCGATGCCTAACTTCTCCCCTGCTGGCCCAATTGCCCCTAACTGCCCTCTCCTGCTGGCCTGGTAGCCCCTAACTGCCCTCCCTGGATGGCCCAGTCACCCTTAACTGCCCTCCCTTGCCAGCCTGGTTGTCCCTAACTGCCTCCCCTGCTGGCCCGGTCACCCCTAACTTTCCTCTCTTGCTAGCCTGATGGCCCCCAACTGCCCTCCCATGCTGGCCAGGTAATCCCCAACTGCCCTCCCCTGCAGGCCTGTCAATCCTAACTTCCCTCCCCTGCTGGCATGGTTGCCCCTAACTGTCCTCCTCTGCAGGCCTGGTTGCCCCCAATTGCCCTCCTCTACTGGCCCAGTCACCCCCAACTGCCCTTCCCTGTTGGCCTGGTTACCCCAAACTGCACTTCCCAACAGGCCTGGCCCCTACTAAATGCCATCCCCTGCTGGCCTGGTCACTCCTAACTGCCCTCCTCTGCAGGCCTGGGTCTCCCACAAGTGCCCTTCCCTGCAGGCCTTGTTGCCCCCAATTGCCCTCCTTTGCCAGCTCAGTCACACCTAACTGCCCTCCCCTGCAGGCCTGATAACCCCAACTGCCCTCCCTTTCAGGCCTAGTCCCTCCCAACTGCCCTATCGCCCACAACTGCCCTCCCCTGCTGCCCATCTTGTGGCAGCCATCTTGTGACCACATGGTGGCAGCCATCTTGTGTTGGAGTGACAGCCAATTTGCATATTACCTCTTATTATATAGGATTTTTATTGGAGTGGTTATGCCAGGGGCAAAACATGAGCCTTTTGTTCTTCTGAATCTCTGTTATCCTAAAAATTTGGCTCACGGTGTGTTTTTAATAAATATCAGTTGAATGAATAATCTCAACTAGATTTCAAAAAGTTACATTTCTTTTGACTCAACTGTGCTACTGCTCCATAGTGCTAGATCCTATGTTTTTCATATAGCGAGTGCTTAATTATATTTTACACACTGTAGAACAAGTATTGTTAGAAGACATAAAATGGGTAAATTATAGTTTTCTCCCCAGGAGGACCAAGGAGTAAAACAGTCACATGTCACAAATGTGCCCTTCGATTTAAAATGAACTTACCAGCTGAATCTTCCCACAGTCTCTCAATACAGACTATATGTGGTTGTAGGGTGGCTTCTGAGGGCTCTACATAGACATAATCTCCAACATGGTACATGCTATTCTTAAAGCTGCAGTCCTGGCTGTATGTGCGATGTAAACCTGAGAGGCCTGCAGCACCGGAGGAATCTTCACTCTTTTCAGCCTCTTAGGTAAAAAAGGCAAAAGAAGCTCTCATTAAAGGAATGTTGGAATTACATGTAGGATTCAAATAACACATATTAATACATTTCTTTTCTAGACATTCAAAAGATTCAAGACAAAGAGTATAACATCCATATTCCCAATAGCTTCTACTCAAAACTGACTCCTTGAATTATAACTAACTGCCTTATTAATTTAAATAAATACATTAAGAACCTAGAAAAATTATAATAATACATGCTCAAAATAGTCATTTTATATCTATCTATCTATCTATCTATCTATTGATTTATTGATTGATTTCAGAGAGGGAGAGACAGATAGAAACATCAATAGTGAGAGAGAATCATTGATCAGCTGTTTCCTTCATGGCCCCTACTGGGGATCAAGCCCACATAGGCATGTGCTTTTGGCTGGAATTGAACCTGGGACCTTTCAGTCCATAGGCCAACGTTCTATCCACTAAGCTAACTAGCTAGGGCACTGTAGTTATTCTTGATGATACAGAAAGATCTAAAGACTAAGTCATTTGCAAATCACATAATCTTAAAAATAATCTAATGTTTTCATCTTAATGCCTCTGGAATTATTTTCCCTAACAGTTATTATTACATGGATATGGCATGATTAATGGAATCTTAGAATTGAGGAAATATGAAACATGTGTATTATATAATACTAGAGGCCTGGTGCACCAATTCAGGCATGGTGGAGTCCCTCGGCCTGGCCAGCAATTGGGGTTGATCGGAGTGTCTCACCCAATCCCAATCAGGGCCATAGGAGGTTGGTGGCCAGGAAGAAGGGGCGGTGGGAAGTTCTGACCAGGACAATTGGAGCCAGCCGGCCGGGGGGAGGAAGGTTGGCCGTGTGAGGGCACTGACCACCAGGGACAGCTCCTGTGTTGAGCATCTGCCCCCTGGTGGTCAGTGCACATCACAGTGACTGGTCAACTGGTCATTCCAGTCGTTCAGTTGTAATGGTCGCTTAGGCTTTAATATATACACACACACACACACACACACACAGCACTAAAAACCGTATACGCCACTTAATATATCATGAACATTTCCCTTGAGATTAAATGGTTTTCAACAAGACTTTTTTGTTGTTAAATAAGACTTTTTAATGACCCTAGTACAAGCCAGCATTTGCAAATACCATAGGGTTTTTGTTGTTGTTTTGGTTTGTTTGCTTTTTTTGAATAAAGCTCTGCCAACACTTGTAATACTTCCTTGTGATAATTTCCTATGAATGGAACAGCTGGAAAAAAGCACTTTTTTCCAGGTTTGGCTCAGTGGGTAGAGCGTCAGCCTGCAGACTAAAAGGTCCCAGGTTCCATTCCAGTCAAGGGCATGTACCTTGGTTGTGCGCACATCCCCAGTAGGAGGTGTGCAGGAGGCAGTGCGAGAGAAATACCTAATTTTATTTAGGTATTCTAATCCCTATGCATTTCTAGATTAAAAAAAAAAAATAGCCTTCTTAATGTCTTCATCCAATGCTATCTTTGAAGCTAGTATTAGCAACTAATCCATTTTCTAGCTTTCAAATTTTAATTGCCATTATCTCCTCTTCCACTGTTTTGTTTTTTTACTTTTTTTGTGGGTAGGAAATGCTTCTATGTTTATGTCTTAACAAAACACCCTTTCCATCATTTTAGAGGTGTTTTGGGAAGAAGCTGCAATACGCACTGGTTTACAATTTGCCATGTTTAAGTGAAGGTCCTCCTTTGCTGCTTTATCTTTTTGCACTTATCCTTATATGAGTAGTTAGTACTGTATTTAATATAATATCAGGGTATGTGAGATTTATATTGTCACTGATTAAGAAACTTCCTCCATGGCTTAAAGACAGAGAGGGCAAACTGATACAAACACTATCCTACTTTTTACTGTTTTGCTGTTCTTTAATATTTATAAAGTAAATTGACATAGGACAATGTGAAGCAGAATACAGTTATTTCTCTGGCTAAAAAGAACTAGTTACAATAACCCTCAGAGCACACGGCTTCTATCGCTTTTCTTCCTCAATCCTTCTAGTACTGACTTCACATTCCATGGCAAAGCAGCATTCCTTACCTACTTCCAGTCACATTGCTGAGAATACAGTCTCTGAGTTAGTACAAAAAGGAGTTATTAATAAGGATGTTTAAGTAGGAGGGCTCCTTCGCCTCTAGTCATGAAATAGGTACAGTTCTGGGAAAGGCACAGAAGTCTCCTATGGTCTTGGTCTTTATGTGGCTCTGTTTTTCTACCATAGGTCTTCATAGATTATATGTCACTGGAAATAGTTCCTGGTAGCTAAAGATCAATTAAGGGCAAAGGCCAGTAGACTTTAAAATGTTAGTACTACCCGTTCTCTAGAATGTACCATCAAATAATGGCTTCATGTGTCATTGTTAATCCACCAAGGAAGACAGGTGCCATAAATTCTTGCTCCTCTGCTGTTTAAATGCAAGGCCATACAGCAGTGGTTCCCAGACTTAGGTTTGCATCAGAACCACCTACAGGACTTGTTAAAAGATAGATTGCTGGGTGCTTCCCTCAGTTCCTGAATTGGCAGATCTGGAGTGGAACCAGAGAATCTGCATTTCTGACAAGTTCTCAATGATGCTGTTGATGCTTGCCTAGAGGCTACACTCTGTAAATTGCAGTAGAATAATTTAAGGAGCATCTATGATTAACATTTTGCTAACCAGTTATTTCAAGTAAGATGGTTACTTTTCTTTTAGTAGTTTTGGGAATCCATGGTTCTCCCTTATTACTCCACAGACCAATGTTTTGTTCTTCAATAATAGTTTGGCTATAGATACTCTGATGTAGTAATTATCTTGGTAAATATGATGCCAAGAATCAAGAAGAGGTTGTAAGATAGATAATAGAATCTGTTGTAACTTTTACTTTCACATGTACACTGAGTGGCCAGATTATTATGATCTCTGAATGCATAATAATCTGGCCACTTTGTGTGTGTGTGTGTGTGTGTGTGTGTGTGTGTATTTTAGAGGCCAAGTGCATGAATTCGTGCATGGATGGGATCTGGCCAACCCGGCCAGGTGGAGGGAACAATTTACAATTTGCATATTAGCCTTTTATTATATAGGATATACACTGAGTAACCAGATTATTATGCATTCAAAGATCATAATAACCTGGCCACTCAGTATATATACTAGTTGCCCAATGCACAAAATTTGTTCACGGAGGGGGAGAGGGGTTCCCTCAGCCCAGCCTGCACCTCTAATTGGAGACCACTTGGGGGGTGTCTGACTGCTGGTTTAGGCCTGATCCCTCTAAACCGGCAGTCAGACATCCCTCTTGCAATCTGGGACCACTGGCTCCTAACAGTTCAGCTACCTGCCTGCCTGATCACCCCTAACTGCCTCTGCCTGCCCGGTTACCCCTAACTGCCCTCCTCTGCAGGCATGATCTTGCCCCCAACTGCCCTCCCTTGCAGGCCAGAACTCGCCCCCAACTGCCCTCCTCTGACAGTCAAAAGCTCCACCTCCTAGACAGCCACTGACTCCTTACACTTCACCCAACAGCTGCTGGCCTGGCCAGGAGAGAAAGAGAGGCAAGTGATGATCAACAGCTGCCAAACAGACTACAGATCAGACCCTGCTTCTCTTCAGGCCTCTCTAAGGGCCTGATTCGCAGCCCTTTCAGCAGTCAGTGCTGCATCATTGTGCCTGCAGCAGGCAGTAAGTACGAGGTCACAACAGCAACCCAACACTGACTGCAGGACTGACTTCTGATTTGTCAAGCCTCCGGTGCTGATGGACCCAGGGTTTTTATATATGAGGATTTCAAAGTTGCAAAAATAGCCACTTTCACTTTCATAAAGTATCCTTACTAAAATTCCATAAATTATTAATTTTGCTGGATTGTAGGTCTTGAATCTGATGCGTCCTCTCCATGGAATCATTGCTTCATTGAGTGGTAACTGCTGTTTTGGTATATGCAAAGACTTAAATTTCAAGATAAAGAAATCAAAAAGAGGTCTGACTATATAAAGATGGTCTGTGTTACATGTTGTTTGTGATTTATTGTTTAGATGGAAGAATGTAAGTACTTGCTCGAACCTCTTCCCAGTCATCATTTTGGAAATAGGGTGATTCAAGTAAAGTATTGGTTGACCAGTAATCTTTCCATTCTAGCTTCTTCATTAGTCCCATGAATATATAATAATTAAACCAAGAAACATCTTTATGTCCATATTTGTAATGTCGTTCCCTGGTGAAGTTTTAGCAGAGGTTGTGTGTTACTTTCCCATTTGGTGATGGTATAAATTGATTAGAGAAATCGAAAAAAATCTTATTAAAAAAATAAACTGGTTACATCACTTATACTTTGTGGGTCTTCAAATTAAACAGTTACACTTGAAATATTTGTATAAAACTCTAAGGCTGGTAAAAATGTCTTTTCCTGTCCATTCTTTAGAATCACTTTCACTTTCAGATACTAACCATCACATTTCTCTTTTGCCTCTGTGATGTCTAATGTCAGACTCATTACTATCTTCCGACAAAGTACTATCTTCCAACTGACTTCCAAAGTCACTCAGCCAATTAAACAAAGTGTTTGCATATAAATCACTCGAGGTTCTTCTCTGCCATGACACATCTTTTTTTTTTTTTTTTTTTTTTTTTAACTTTTCCCATAATAAAAGGATGGAAAGAATTAGAGGTATTGCTCCTCAGGTCTCTGGAAATACTGACTGACAAGTTGAGAAAAAGACACAGGTTAACTTGTGACCGGTCAGCAATGTTCAGACACAGAAACACAAATATATTCAGGACTGGTCAGCACGGAGTTAATTTTGCATTGTCAAGAAAAGTGCCAAGTAAATAAAAAAATTCTATAGAAATTTTGTCAATAGAAATAACATGGTGGTCCCAAACTTCATACCCCTTATAGAACTGGCATTTTCTGTTTCCTCTTTCACTGATTTCCATTTTGATCTTTATTCTTTTCTCTACTTCATGTTTGATTTACTCTTTGTTTTCTAACTTCTTGAGGTGGAAATAGAGATTTTATATTTTTATTGCTTTCTAATATATATATATATTTAAAAGCTATAAACTTTCTAAGAACTGCTTTAGGTATAACCCATACATTTAATGTTTTCATTTTCATTCAGTTCAAGATTTTTAAAATTGCCCTTGTGATATCTTCTTTGATCCATGGCTTAGAAAGGTACTGCCTAATTTCCAAATATTTGGGGACTTTCCAGATTTTTCCTGTTTCTCATTTCTAATCTAATCCCACTGTTTCCCGAGAACAAACTTGTGATTTCAATCCTTTTATATTTTCTGAAACTTTGTTTCTATGATCTTCTAGTACATGGTCTATCCTAAATAATGATCTATGCTGCTTGACAAGACTGTGTATACTGCCGTCACTGGGTATAGTATTTTACACATGTCAGTTAGGTCTAGCTGGTTAATAGTCCTTGTCTTAGCTCAGACTGCTATAAAAAATCCACCATATTCTGAGTGATTGAAACAACAAACATTCATTTCTCACTGATCTGGAGGTTAAGAAGTCTAAAATCAAGGTGCCAGCAGATTCGGTATCTGGTGAGAATTCACTTTCTGGTTCACAGACAGCTGTCTCTTCCTCTTATCTATCCCCTTCTACTAGCACTAATCCCAGCATGATGACTACATGCAAACCTAGTTACCTCCCACATCTCTAAATAATGTAACATTGGAGATTAGGCTATAACATAAAATTTTTGGGGGGTTGGGGGTGAACACAAATAGTCTATAAAGTTGTTATTCAATATTCTATATTTTTGATGATTTTTGGTCTAGTTGGTCTATTAATTGCTGATAAAGGAGTACTGAATTATAATTGTTGAATTATTTCTCTTTTCAAGTATGTCACTTTTCTATCACACCTTTTTAGGATCCACTGTTAAGTATATATACATTTATAAATATTATATATTCCAAATGTCTTGATCCTTTTAACATTAGGAAATATTCCTCTTAATCTTTAGTAATATTTTTCCTCTTAAATTCTATTTGTCTGATATTAATATTGCCACTCCAATTCACTATGTTTACTGTTTTCATGGTATATTTTCTTCCTCCTTTTTCTTTCAACCTATTTATGCCTTTAAATCTAAAATTATTCTTTCTTGTAAAAAAATATTTTTATTGCTTTCAGAGAGGAAGGGAGAGGGAGAGATAGAAACATCAATGATGAGAAAGAGTCATTGATGGGCTGCCTCCTGTACATCCCCTACTGGAGAACAAGCCTGCAACCTGGGCATGTGCCCTGACTGGGAATCCAACAGGGACCTTCTGGTTCACAGGTTGACATGCAGCATCTGAGCCACTCTGGCTGGGCTAAAATGATTTTCTTATAGAGAATATATAGTTGAATCTTACTTTTTAAATTCAGTCTGATAATCTATGCATTATGATTGGCATGGTTAGCCTAGTCATAATATGTAAGGTAATTACTGATACGACTGAATTCATGCCTGCCATTTTGCTATTTGTTTTAATATGTCTTATTGCTCCTTTTTTCCTCCTTTACTGCTTTCATTTATATTAAGCAAACATCTTTAGAGTCTCATTTTAATTCTTGTGTTAAATTCTTTTGCTAATTTTTTTCAAGTGGCATTACAATATGCATCTTTAATTTACCACCATCTACTTCAGGTTAATACTGACTTAATTTCATTAAATAATGCAACTTTGCTCCAATATAGCTCTGTTTTTTATACTGTTACTGTCATATACATTAAGTCCTCACTTAGCAGTTGATAATCAACTTTAGGCAAAATGATGCATAACAGTCCTAGCTGTTTGGCTCAGTGTAGCATCAGCCTGTGGACAAAAGGGTCCAGGGTTCGATTCCAGTCAAGTGCACGTACCTTGGTTGTAGGCTCCTCCCCGGCCAGGGCCCTGGTTGGGGCTCATGCAGGAGGCAACCAATCGATGTGTTTCTTTCTTTTTCTTTTTTTAAAATATATATTTTATTGATTTTTCACAGAGAGGAAGAGAGAGGGATAGAGAGTTAGAAACATCGATGAGAGAGAATCATCGATCAGCTGCCTCCTGCACACCCCCTACTGGGGATGCGCCCGCAACCAAGGTACATGCCCTTGACCGGAATCGAACCCAGGACTTTTCAGTCCCCAGGCCGAAGCTCTATCCACTGAGCCAAACCGGTCCTGGCCAATCGATGTGTTTCCCTCACATCGATGTTTCTCTGTCTTTCTCTCTCTCTTCCACTCTCCCTAAAAACCAATGGAAAAATATTCTCAGGTGAGGATTAACAACAACAACAAAATGATGCATAACAAATTTTTTACTATAGGCTAATTGATATGAATAAGAATTAAGGTTTTACTTCATCTCATCAATATCATAATGAAATAATATTGAACAAAATTTGAGGATCTGCTGTAATTCTATAAATGTTATAATAATAGTATTATAATAATCCCTTGAAATAACCTAATATTTGAAAAAGAAAATAAGTGGGGGGAAAATGCAAACATAGTCTTTTACATTTACCCACATATTTAGCATTTACAATACTCCTCAGTACTTCTTATGGATTCTAGTTATCATCTAGTATCATTTTCTTTTGGCCCAAAGCTCTTCCTTTATTATTTCTGATAGGGAAGATCTGCCAGCAGTGGTTTCTGTTTTTGTTTATCTGGGAATGTCTTATTCCAGCTTCATTTCTGAAGGATAGTTTTGCTGGATATAAAATTATTGGTTCAATTTTTTCCCCTTTCAGCACTCTGAATATCATTCCACTGCTTTCTGGCCTCTATTGCTTATGAGCCATTATCATATTTTTTATTTATTTTTAACACGATGATTTGCTTTGCTCCTTTCAAGGTTTTTTTCTTTCAGCAGTTTGATTATGATATATCTAGACGTGGTTCTGTGTGCTCTTACTTGGTATTCTTAGAACTGTAGGTTAATGTTTATATAAAATTTGAGACATTTTCAGCCATTATGTATTCAAATACTTTTTTCCCCTCTTCTTTCTCTCCTCTCCCTTGAGACTCCCATTGTAAGTATATTAAGACACATGAGATGAAGGGCTGCTCCTAAGTCTGTACAGCTAACAACCAACGAATGATTTGGGTGGTGATTGTACTCAAGTACTCAAACCTATAAGGATTCAACCTCTAATGATTTATCTGTATTCAGTCTAATATGTCTTATGTCTTTATGACAAGTGTGGCTTGGGGAATACAATCAAAATTGTATCACTTGCATTTTGCTTTAAATCCAGTTCTCCTATTTCCCTTGCACATGAATAGTTTTCCAATCATCCAAGCCTGTGTGGAGAACTTATCTTACCCCTTCTATAGCTAATATTCCTCAATGCCTTAGTCATTTCGGACTAGTAAAACTGTAGGTTTACCCCATTTATTTTTGCATCAATCACTTTTAACTGGCAGAGACAGAGACCCTTCTCTCCCCACACCCTCCCATTGCCATCCTAAACGAGGTCATCCCCTCTGACAGCAAAACTGCTGGATTTTGCAGCTAGCCTGTGCTGGTAAAATTATTATTCTTACCAACCAGGTTCCTTTCTCTTCTTTTTTACATATGCCATTGCTTATAAAAATTTGTTTAAATCAACTTAATTTGTTTTTTTTTGTGTGTGTGGTTTTTTTGCCTGGGGCGGGGGGGACGACACAAAGCAGATTTGATGCTAAAATACTAGTATAACTCTTAGGAAGTCACATATTCTAGGTACCTAATGTAAACTTGAACTTTATCAGCAATGAACACATTTCTAATAAAAGCTCCCACTGTCAAAATATTTCTAACTTATGACAAATGAATCGAAGTAACATTTTAGGTTGGGCCGAGACCGGTTTGGCTCAGTGGATAGAGCGTCGGCCTGAGGACTGAAAGGTCCTGGGTTCGAATCTGGTCAAGGGCATGTACCTTGGTTGCAGGCACATCCCCAGTAGGGGGCATGCAAGAGGCAGCTGATCAATGATTCTCATCGATGTTTCTAACTCTATCCGTCTCTCTTCCTCTCTGTGAAAAATCAATAAAAATATATTTTAAAAAAATTCCTTCTAAGTTATCAGGTTCAGTCAAAATACCCTCTATTTATCTGGCCTAGAGTCTGTATGAGTAGACCCATATTGTTAAATAATGGGGCTAGAAAGTTGAGAATGCTTTCTAACCGTAGCTGGGCCCCTTAGGTTTTTATCCACAAATAGTATTAATCTCCCACACTTGTGAATTAATTGACTATGTTTCTGAAATATCAGGGTAATAGATGTGCCACATGTAACTTTTAATCTTTTTCTAGTCTGATGACCAAATTGATATTGATAAAAAAATTTCCACCTTACCATGTCTATTTTGAAAGTGTTAATAGCTTGAGTCTTCATTTATTCAAACAAACTCTACTCCACAGCTAATTATAAGGCAAGCTAGAAAATAGTATAGTTTATTTCTTGATATTAAAGAAACTAACCTCTTTTTTCTTCTTCTCGTTTTAGTTTATCTTCCTCTATTTCTTTTGGTAATTTTTCCTTTTTCTCTTTCTCCACATCATTATGCAAATGCTTTGTAGTATAGCTGAGTGCTGGTGAAAGAAGAATCTCTCCATTTTTGCAGAGTTCATCACGAATTTTAATGAAAAACTGCTGAAGCTCTACTGCATCTTCATATATTTCAGAATCTGTCCTATAACAACATCAAGAGTATCTATTGACATACAAGCGACTAACCGACCATACTGTAGCTATGATGTGCACTGACCACTAGGGGACAGATGCTCAATGCAGGAGTGGAAACCACAGGCATGGAAACATGAAACAGGACTGATGAATCTCAGAAGGAAAGGGGGGTGGGGAGAGGGCAGGAAGAGATTAACCAAAGATATTTTATGTGTATAAGAGGCCAGGTGAACGGATTTGTGCACCAGTTGGGTCCCTTGGCCTGGCTTACAGGGATCAGGCTGAAAACAGCTCTCAAGACATTCCCCAAGGGACCCCAGATTGCGAGAGGGTGGAGGCCAGGCTGAGAGATCCCATTGGTGTACGAATCCATGCACTAGGCCTCTAGTGTGTGTGTCCTACTAATAAAAAAGTACCATATTTTTCAGACCATAAGACGCACTTCTTCCCCCCCCAGAAGTGGGGGGGAAAAGTCCCTGCGTCTTATGGTCCAAATATAGCCTACACATATACTTTTAAAAAAAAGTGTTTTTACTTGCCCGGCTCTGTGTGGTCTCTGTGTGCTTGCCCGGCTCTAAAATGGTTCTAAATGCTGCTGTTTACTTTACAGGGTTGATTACATGTGTTTATGACTGTGATGTTGGGTTTTAATGCACATAAAATATTTTAGGACACTATTTGTTTCAGAATCTTTTTTTCTTCATTTCCCTTCTCTAAAAACTGGTGCGTCTTATGGTCCGGAGCGTCTTATGGTCCGAAAAATACGGCAATATGCAAATTAGCAATCATGCCTCTATACCCACAAACAACACACACCAGCCAATCAGAAGCGAGCATGCAAATTAACCCAACCAAGATGGCTGTGGTCATGGAGAGAGCAGGAGGCTTGCGTTTCCTTGGCAATGGAGGAAGCTAAGCTTTCCCCACACCCTGGCAGGCCCAGGCCTCCACTCAAGGCTACAAAGTTTCAATTATAGAAGATAAATAAATCCCAGATACCAGGGCCTCCACTTGAGTCTCTGGGGGCCATGACTGGCCTGCAAACCACCACAGGCCCCTCATCCAGGCAGCCTCACGCCCCAAGGAAACCCCACCCTGATCTGGGATACCCTTCAGGGCAAACCAGCTGGCCCCCACCCATGCACCAGGCCTCTATCCTATCTAATTAAAGAGTAGTATGCAAATTGACCATCACTCCAACACACAAGATGACTGCCCCCATGTGGACACAAGATGGCCACCAAAAGATGGCCAGCAGGGGAGGGCAGTTGGGAGAGACCAGGCCTGCAAGGGAGGGCAGTTGTGGGCGATCAGGGGAGGGCAGTTAGGGGTGACCAGGCTAGCAGAGGAGGGAAGTTGGGGGTAACTGAGCCTGCAGGGCAGTTGGGAGAGACCCAGGCCTGTAGGGGAGAGCAGTTTGAGGGAACCAGGACAACAGGGGAGGGCAGTTAGGGGTGACTAGGTCTGCAGGAGAGGACAGTCAGGGGCAAACAGGCTGGCAGGGGAGCAGTTAGGCATCAATCAGGCTGGCAGGGGAGTGGTTAGGGGGTGATCAGGCTGGCAGGCAGAAATGGTTAGGGGACATCAGGAAGGCAGGCAGGTGCAGTTGGGAGCCAGCAGTCCTGGATTGTGAGAGGGATCCCAGATTGGAGAGGGTGCAGGCTGGGCTGAGGGACACACCTGCCCCCGTGCATGAATTTTGTGCCCCGGCCTCCCTCCCTCCCTCCCTCCCTCCCTCCCTCTCTCTCTCTCTCTCTCTCTCTCTCTCTCACACACACACACACACACACACTCATGAATCTATGTATGTATGTTTCAGAGAAGGGAGAAGGAGATAGAAACATCAATTGTAAGAGAGAATCATGGATTGGCTGCCTCCTGCATGCCTGCTCCCTGCCGTTCCCCCCCCCGCCCCCCCCGGCCCCCCCGCCCGCCCCCCCCCCCCCCCCCCCCGGAATTGAGCATGCAACCTGGGCCTGTGCCCTGACGCGGAATCAAACCCTGAACTTCTGGTTTATAGCTTGAAGCTCAAACCCTGAGCCAGAATGTCTGGGCAGCATGAGTTTTTCTTAAGTACTGTGTATGATATTCATTCCTCATGTTTTACAACAAAGCTCTGGACATTAGAGTGAAATGGATCACTTTCTTATATAAATAACCTTAGACGCTATCTCCCAAGCTTCAAAAAGCAAGCATCAGTCACGTCAACAGGAGAATGAAAAAAAAAACCTCATTTTGTTGGGATACAAATCTGATCAATTCTTAAAATAATAATGTTACCTATATAAGATAAATTGCTAATAATCTAAGAAACAAATGTACTTTTAAAGATTCACAGAACTAACACCAAGATATAATGGGGATGTGGTGGAGAGTGACTTTAGACTTAGAGACTACTTAGAGAACAAGAACAGAGTCAGAAGTCTAAACTTCATGAAAGCAGGGTTTGTCTGTTTTGTCTACTGGTGCACCCTATGCATCCAGCTAATGCTACTGATAGCCACTCAATCAACATTTGTTGAATGAAAATAACTGACAAACAGATTTGATTGCAAAACGCATGTGCGTGTGTGCGTGCGCACCCCCCCCCCCCCCCCCCCCCCCCGCCTTGGTCTTTCTCTTTATTCTATTTCCACTGCTGAAGAATAAGGACCATTTCCTGAATGGGTCACTCCAGGGCCTCTCCAATCTGAACCCAACTCCACCTGTTCCTTGCACACACCATATTCCTTTCCTAACCCTAAGCCAGGCGTCTTCAAACTTTTTAAAGTGGGGGCCAGATCACGGTCCCTCAGAGAGCTGGAGGGCCGGACTATATGAACTACTAATTCCTACTGTAACACCTCGGCTGCGCTCACTGCCCAAAAAACCTGGCGGGCCGTAGTTTGAAGACGCCTGCAAGCTATCACTCATACCACTTGTCCTATATAAATCTCACCCATGCTTCCATTTTTCCTGATGTCTCAAGCCTTTTTAAAACTCCAGTGCAGAGTTCCTTACTCCATCATCTTTATTAAATATCAATTTATTATATGTTGTCTCATGCCTGGAATTATTTTTCCCTAAGCATAGGTCCTATTATAATCATCAGACTTTAAGTTCTTAGTGCATAGAGCTGCTCAAGCCTTATCATTCATAGATGTGCTCCATGACTGGTGTCTTGGGGATTGTCTCAGTCCTAGCCCTCTACAGTGGGTAACAAAACAAGCCACCATACTTACTAGTTATGTGGCTTTGGGCAACTTCTCTCTGTGCACTTATTTTTTTTTTTTTAATGTTTTTATTGATTTTAGAGAGAAAGGAATGGAGTGGGACGGAGAGAGAAACATTAATTGGCTTCCTGCAACATGAGTATGTGTCCTGACCCAAGAATCAAACTAGTGATCTCTTGGTTCATGGGTCAACATTCAACCACTGATTCACATGGGCCAGGCTGTACATTTCTATTTCACATGAAAACTAGGAAGATTATCACCTACCTAGAATGGCTATACTAGAGATTATCTGGGATTTGCAGATTATTTACATAACGTGCTTACCATGGTGATTTACAAAGAATAGGTGCTAAACAGGAATAGCAAACATTACTATTAATTTTTTTTTTCAAGATTCAAAACAAATGCAGGCTTCACAAACTCCTCAGAAGGAACTACCCCATGCCAACTGCCTAAATGTCTAATTCTAAGCATGATAGACTGTAAGCTCTAAGAAGGTAGAGTCTTTAACGTTTTATATTTCTCCAAGTGACTCCCAGAGCATAAAGAAAACACACTGTAATTGCTGAACTGAAATTGTTTTAACAATCAAGCATACTATTGTTATGTGGCAAAAATGTATGACAAATCAAAATTAAAAGGAATTTAAGCTTGATGAAAATTTAAATTTGATTGCTTCTTTTACAACATTTAATGTCAGCAAAAGGCACTTAAAGTTAGAAATCTGAGATTAAAAAAAAAAAAAAGTCCCGCTCTGGACACTTTGGCTCAGTGAACAGAGTGTCCGCCTGCAGATTGAAGGGTCCCAGGTTTGATTCCAGTCAAGAGCATATACCTGAGTTGCAGACTCCTTCCCGGCCTGGGCCCTCGTTAGGGCTTGTGCAGGAGACAACCAATCAATGTTTCTCTCACAATGATATTTATGTCTTTCCCTCTCTCTAAAAACCAATGGAAAAATATCCTCCAGTGAGGATCAAAAAGAAAAAAAAGTCCTTTTAGGTACTTAAAATGGTGACCAATTTAAATCAGTATAATCTCAGATCAATACCTTAGAATAATTTTAATTTATTTAAAATATACTTGAATAGAAATCAACCTTCAAAAGAAAATCATATGATGATTTCTAATTACAAAATTTATCCTTTAAAAAAATATTTTGTGACATAAACCGGTTTGGCTCAGTGGATATAGAGTCAATCCGTGGACTGAAGGGTCCCAGGTTCAATTCCGGCTAGAGGCATGTACCTTGGTTGCAGGTTCGATCCCTGGCCCTTGATGCAGAAAGCAACCAATCAATATCTCTCTCTCTCTCTCATCTCACATTGATGTTTCTCTCTGTCTTTCCCCCTTCCTTCCACTGTCTCTCTTAAAAATTTGTGAAAGGCTGTATTTTAAGTTTTGCTTTTCAACTGATCTCTAATTTTGTCTTATTCCTTCTCATCAGTCCTAATCTAGATGCTTTCTCTCTAGAAGTTATGGTTAATTAGAACTCAAAATAGCACTCCACCAGCTGTAATCATGCACCTAAGCTGAAATAGTATATCAAAGCAGAATTCTTTCTTCAGTTTTACAATCAAGACCACAATTAAAAAAAAGAAATGTCTTTGAAAACATACCGATTCATCCTTCTTGCCCTTTCCAATACTTCAAACATATGCTCTTGAAATAAATCAAGCCGCCGGTAGCGATTATTTTCAACATTCTTCCTAATTATGTCAAAAGTAAGAGGAGGTTTGTTTGGAAAGTTAGGATCCACAGCAGGAATTTCTGCTAAGGAATCACTGTAGCATCTTCCCTCATCATCCTGGTGACTCATGACTGACACAAAAAGATTATGGATAAGTTCTTGAATCAGCAAGGTAACATTTGGAACATGAGAGTCCTCATCTCCCTCCAGGTCTCTCCGAGTTTCAAGCAGGACTTTGTGTAGGACAAGGGCATCTTTGTAGATCAAAGACTCAGGCTCATTGTATGTACAGGCATTGTTAAACATCATAACGAAGTCCTCAACCATGGAGTCTATATCTTGGTATTTGTTTGCCATCATATGACTTCGAATTTTTTCCATGTCCATTGGCTTTTTAATGGTCAGGTAGTAGTCAGGCAGCTCAGATCTGGAGGGAAGTCTCAGAAATATGGCACTGAGGCGGCGACCCCTCTTATCAGTATAGTTCTTTACAGCTTCATATACTTCATTTAGTTTCTGCTGCATTGGAGTCATGTATTTTGATTTTTTAGGAGAAACACCACTCTTCCTACCTGAAAGAAAGAGTTAATGTTAAATCGATAAAATAAAAGAACCTAAATTTGTACATAGTTGGTAGAGACTATTCCAAGTGATTTGTAAAACATATTAATTATCATATCTCTAGTGAAATATATTCTATTGCAAAAAAAAAAAGAACTGGGAAAAATTTATTCTGTTTCAATAATCATGTTTTTGGTTGGAGAGTAAACACTGTTATGTGAATATGGGAGAATAAAGAAAATGAGTAGTTATGTGGCATTCTAATTCCATCACCAGTGGAATCCTTGAGAACTGAGAGCATCATCATGAGTAAAAGAAGAGATAGATGTTAAAACAGGACACTAAATAAAAACCTTGTAGCTTTACATCTCAATTGAAAGTAATAGTATGAACTTATAATGTATTTTATCTTTAAATATAAAACACACATACACACCCTTCCTAGGTCTGTCCAATGAAAAACCTAGAAACAATGACCAACCCAGTAGTAGTATATTCTATATAGTTTTGACTGAACATGTAGTTTTGAAATACTAATTTCAAATACTAATGTCAGTAACTCCAATTCCCACTCTGTACAAGATGAGCCTAGAATATTTTAAAACACAACAGTAAAAAAAAAATTTTATTGATGACTTCTTACCAAGGCCATGTCAAAAGAACATAGCAGCCAGCCTGGGACAACATGAGCATCAATAAGGACATTAACTAAATTAGTTAAAATTCAGCAATATGTTTAAATCTAGTAGTTCTTAATGACACATAAAAATCCTATATAAAAAAGGCAAATGATGCAAATCGACCAAACGGTGGAACAACTGGTCGCTATGATGCACACTGACCATCAAGTCTCTGGCAGATGCTCAGCGGAGGACTTGCCCCTGGTCAGTGCGCTCCCACAAGGGGGATGCCACTCAGCCAGAAGCCAGGCTCACGGCTGGTGAGTTGCAACAGCGGTGGCAGGAGCCTCTCACATTTCCGTGGCAATGCTAAGGATGTCCAACTGATGGCTTAGGTCCACTCCCCACAGGGAGCAAGAGGGCATCAGCCAGTGAACAAATAACTGGGTAAATGTTGGAAATGTCAGTAAACCAATGCAGTATTCTGAAAAATGGTAAATAAAGGGGGGAGGGAGGAAAACCTAGCTTTTATCCTTTCAAAATACAAAAACAACCAAAAACTGTACCACCAGGTAATCCAATATCGAATGAGGCAAAGTTTCTCCATATAAGTATTCCAGCTAGTAACCGAATAAGAATTGTTAACATAAAATTATCACTCCTTTTATATCTCTTTAATGAATCAATAGCTCTTAACATAATGGACAGAAACAACCAAATATCACATGCCACCTGGTGGAAGACAATATATTACCTGTGATGTTGGACTTTGTATCAAAGGGAGGGGATAAGGATCAAACATAAATCTGATCAAGTCTCTGGCTCCAATTATAGGAAATACAAAGTTAACTTATAGATAGTACAGTGGCTGGACATCCCTAGCTTCTCAAATTCTGTCTAGGAGAAATTGCTGGGATTCATTTTTAATTCTAGTAATCAGCAAACATACAAAATCAACATTTGCCACTACACCCATTCAAGCATCATATATAAAAAAAAATACCTATTCTGACTAGCATTTACAAAATATCCATCACGCCGAAGACCGTTTGGCTCAGTGGTAGAGCGTTGGTCTGCAGACTGAGGGGTCCCAGGTTCGATTCCGGTCAAGGACATGTACATTGGCTTCGGGCACATCCCCGGAGGGGTGTGTGCAGGAGGCAGCTGGTCGATGTTTCTCCCTCACTGACGTTTCTAGCTCTCTCTCTCTCTCCCTTCCTGTCCGTAAAAAATCAATAAAATATATATATACATAAAAAAATATCACGTTCAAGAAAACACCATTGACATTATATTCTATTCCTACATGCTTTGCACTCTTTAACAACTTAAAATATGGAAGTGAATGCTTGAGAGGAAGAAAGACACTCTCTGTTGGAGTGCAAGTTCAAATACATTCACCATTTATTAAGTATTTTTCAGTAAATCAGTAATCTATTCTTGACAGACTAAAGGGAATAACAAAATGTGAGGTTGCCTTACTCAGCTTGAGTTTGGGAGAAGCCATGTCATCATCATCAGGCAGTGGTCCCAGCTCTTTCCTTTTATCTTTGAGTAACTTTTCCAGGATATGTGCATCGTTGTACACCTATATTACATAAATATATTTACAATTATTTTCTAAAATATTTACTAATGAAGTAGAACACATATCCATAAAGAAGTTTTTAAAATATATGTTAGAATAGTTTGGAACTAAAGAAATAAAGCTTGAGATCACCATCAAGCAACGAATTCACATCTTTGTGCAGTGGGTTAGGCTTCAATTGATTTGTTGTTTAAGCTTTTTCCAGGTTATTTTAATGTGCAGACATGCATGCTAACATTTGAGAACTACTATAGTAGAATCATTGCAAGTGACTACAGAAGTTTTATATTTACATGTGTTATTTTCTTCATAAATCTCTTTTTCAGTGGACCCTCAAAGTAGCAGACTTAACTCAATAAAAATTAAAAATATCTAATAGTTGGAGAGAATATCTCAAACCAAATCCCAGGTTAAATGGGATTTAGCATGAGTTCACAGTCTGGAATCTGATCTATGAAAAGCAACATTCCCTGCTTAGGTGCTTTCTCTGAAGAATGGTTGACTGAATATGTCATCACTGATGTTTCTATCTCTCTCCCCCTCTCCCTTTCTCTCTGAAATAAATACAAATATATATATATAAAATGTGTCTTAGCTACACTGAAAAAAACTTGAAGGAATGAAAACTGACTTTGAATATGTCCTTACCTGGGAGCCTTCCTCATTATAGTGTCTGGCATTCCGGAACATCAACTTCATGTCTTCCATCATCCCCTCTTCCCCTGCATATTTGTCATTGCGGATGTTATGCTCAATTGTTTTCAAGTCCATTGGCTCCAAAATAATTTTATAATAATCAGGATAGTCCTTTTTGGATGGTTTAACCATAAATAGATCACAAAGTCTTCTGCCTGTACCTGGCTCACGAGCTTCAAGAACAACATTGAATAAGATTTTCATTCGCTGCTTTCTTATGTTCTTTTTACTGTTGAAAGGGGAGGTAGAAAAGGAGGAAATGAGAAATTCAGGTTTTTTTATACAAGGATGTACATGAAATGAAATTAATTAATCTTGCAGGTACTTCATAATGATTATCATTTGTTGATTATGTATGTCACAAACACAGTAAACATGCTGGAAGCTATAATACAAGCAAGTATAAGGAAAATTTCCAAAATCATTAAAATGTAGTGTCTATGGCAGGAGCAGCCAATGAACACCAGACAAACCTGTTTAGAATACTTATGAAATGCAATGCTTGAAAAAAGATCTTGTCTGACAGCCAAAAAACATAAAATCTTATTATTAATTGAAATTTTTTTTGTTTTTAATATAGTAAAAGAGAATTAAAACTGATTCCCTACTTAAGATTCCTCACTAAAAAAAACAAAACACAAATGCACACACACACAAGTGTTCTCTCTCTTAAGACAACCACTCTGAACACCTGCATATTCTAATTACCAGAAAACAAGTGAGTCTGTCTGCCAGATTAGTATTTCTATAGTAGATACAAGTCTCTCTTGCATTTAACCTGCTTCCTTTCTCCATCAGCAATATTCCATAACCCCAACCTAGTGTAAAGAATGGTCTGTGTCACCAGAAAACTTGAAGGAATGTAAACTGACTTTGAAGCCAATAGGAGTCCCTTGGAGAAAGTCTGGCACTTTGCTTGGTCACGTGGTTCATGGCAGTCTTTCCAAGGAACGAGGGCTGCTTTTTTGAGAGTTGGCAAGGAAGGAACCTCAAGAATGTGAGGAATTCACCCAGGTCTATAGGTATTGCAATCAAACCTGATAGCTTCTTTGCCCTAACGGGCTCATTAAAGCTCAATCATGAGATTCCAGCAAAGTAGATTTTTAAAAAGCCTATACAATCTATTGCTATTCTTGTTATGTTTATGCAAACAATCAAGTCAAACTGAAACTAGATGTAATACAGTTTGAGGGTGATTTTACGGGGGAAATTGTACTTCAATAGACTCTAATACACAGCTGTGAATATTAGACACAAATTCAATTAATTACCTTCAAAGTTTTATTTTTCACCTATGAATTGAACTGGATCCTGAATTTTTCTAATGTTTATAAATATTTGGCTAAAACCTTCCAAACTAATGTTTTATTTTTCTTCCATCCTTTTACTAGGAATTATTAGAACTAAAACTTTTTCCTTCCACTGGACCATTTGTCGTAACTCTTGTCGTTCCAACTTTTGCCCAATAATATTTATACTATGTTTTGTAACACAGTTTGTCTCCACTAGGTTACAAGCCTTACTCATTCTCAGGGACCTTTAGACACCACTGCCATCTCCTTCCATACCTAGGCTTCATAGTCTCTGACAGACAGCAAGATTCTCTTGGCTCTGGAGAAAAACGTCAACCCCTTTCAGCAGGAAGCTGCTACAGAAGACACCCTGCACTCCTTTTCTCTGAGATTTCAGAGCTAAGATCCCGGGGCGGGGGTAGGGGGAGGTGATTTTGTAGGCAGTTAGACAGACATGAGCAGAGCAAGGATGGGCCAGGTAAAGAAGGTCACCAGAATGGAAAGCCCCAGATACCTAGCAATGGACAATCAATTGTAAGGTGGGACCTAGTCCCCAGGGTGACTTTTCCCTAATATATCTCTGGTCATACATTTTGGACTCCCTGACCATTTCTCCCTAGAGATAACATCTAGCCTCAATTGTATTTCAGTTCCAGGCCCAGATAAAGAACAAAACCAGCCAAGGCTGACATCAGGACTAGCTGCCTTGAATAATCCCCCCTGCCCTGGTGCTGGCCAATCAATCAGTGGAGACCACAATCATGAATGGACACACCTGGAAAACTGCCGAATATTCTATTGAGACCATACCCTGGGACCTCCCCTGAAATGTCCATCCTTAACCCCTAGGATGGAGGACCTAGTGCACTCTCCCTCCTGGGAACATGCCCATGCTTTTCCTTTACCCCATCCCCCTCCCACCTCCCTCCCTAGTACATTACCATTAACTTCCCCACTCCCAAGCTCCAAGAACCCTTCCTTTACCATTATAACTTGTTTACTAAGCCCATTTCTTCTAGGAATTTTTCTACCTCTATAATTTGCCAGATAAATTTTCTCTTACAAAAAAATAGTCTGTGGTTCATCTGAGCTCTTGAGTAAAATTTCATCCTTGAGTGTGAATCCCTTGTCATGTTCTCCAAATTGCCCAATGAGATCCTTTATAATAAAGAGGTAATATGCAAATTGACCATCCTACCCTCATAAGATGGCTGTCTACCACCAGGCCAGCAGAGGTTAGTGAGGGACAACCAAATGACTGAATAAGCAGGCTGTGTGGGGCGACCAGGCCGGCAGGGGCGTTAGTGAGGGATGACCAAACAACTGAACAGCAGGCTGCGTGGGGCGACTGGGTTGGCAGGGGGGGGCAGTTGGGACAACCAGGTTGGCAGAGGGGAGCAGTAAGTGGTGACGGGGCCATTGTGTGTGTGTGTGTGTGTGTGTGTGTGTGTGTGTGTGTGTGTAGACGGACGACGACAGTTAGGAGCGACCAGACTGGCAGGGAGGGGAGATCAGACCAGTGGAAGGGGGGGGGCAGTTAGGGGCGACTAGGCAGGCAGGCAGGTGAGCGATTAGGAGCCAGTGGTCCTGGATTGGAGAGGATGCTGGCTGGGCTAAGGAAACCCTGTGCACAAATTTCGTGCACCGGGCCTCTAGTATAATACTAAGAAACTAAAGTGAGTATGGAACAAAGTACAAGAGATCACAGATTGGGACCTGAGTTGCAAGAACATATAGGCTAGTCTCTGAATTGCTGAAGAAACTGGTTCAAAGAGGCTAAATGACCTGCCCAAGGTGAGTGGTTCAGTGAATTATCAGAAGAGATGATCTTCCAATATGATTTCTGGTTTAATGTATATCTTTAACACACAGATACAGATAAAGAAATTATAGCCAGACTCAAACCAGCAGTCTCAAAGTGAACAGGAATATAGGTAATAAAAAGAAATAACATATGACTTAATTTCTATTTAATAGAAACTAAAATCCTATAATGTAGTACTTAGAGATAAATAGTTTTTTATCTGTTCCCTATCTTATAAATGAAAGCAAATTCATTCTTGAAGCAAACTTCTGTGTCTGAATGGGTCTTCAAGTCCAGTCCTCTGACCACTCACTGTATTGCTGGGTCATGAAAAAGCCAAAGGCCAGATATTTTCTCTCCAAGGTTCAAAATATGCTTAAAAAAAAAAAGAAAAGAAACAAAACTCAAAGAATAATTAACAGATGTAAAAAATATTCATCCTTAAGCACCAAAGAGTCATGGGTTCAATTCCCACTCAAGGGAACATAACCAGGTTACAGGTTAAATCTGATGGCTGGTCAGGGTGTGTGCAGTAGGCAACCAACTGATGTGTCTCTCTCACATCAAGTTTCTTTCTTCCCTCCCACCCTCTCTAAAAATCAAGGGAAAAAATATCCTTGCATGAGGATAAACAAACAGAAATGCTATCTTCCTAGCATCATGGAGCTATTAGGTGAGAAAACGGATCCCCATTTCCTAGGGCTGGGATCAATCCCCAGAAGCTATGTATTCAGAATGCTCATTTCTCTTGGTGGCCTCCTTGATCATTCCTGCCATTTCCTCCTATCATTATTTTTGTGTCTCTATGTCATATTAGTGATAATTATGTGAGGACAATCTAGAACAGCGGTTGCCAACTGGTGGTCCGCGGACCACTGGTGGTCAATGAAGTCCAAAAGGTTGGCGACTGCTGGTTTAAGGAAACCTTTGGAGCAGTAGTCACCTACTGGCAGTCCACGGACCACTGATGGTCCGTGATGTTCAAAAGGTTGGTAACCACTGATCTAGAAGATGTTTCATTTGCTGAAAATTATTTCTCCAAAGTGGCATCCTGGGGTATTATGTGAGAGGAAGAATTCTCTCAATCCAAGTGGATAATGGAAAGAGAACTTGGGACCAAAGCTCCAATAGCAACAAGCTCCACATCTAAGGAGAAATTAAATCACAGATGACTTTAACCTTCACGAAGCCTCTAAAGAAACATTTCAGAACCTAAATTTGATATCACAGGATACTTAAAACTACTAAAGTCAGACATGGTTTCTTTAGGTCTTACTTGTGGGTGCTGAACTTCAAAAGGAAGACCAGGAAATTCTATTTTAAACATTGGAGCTTAAAAAAGCTCTTTAATAATCAACTCAGAATAAAATCACTCCTCATTCCAAAAATATCAAGCAGAACAATTTAATTGAGGCCCTTACCTAGACCAAAAGATCAGCTAAATTCACCTCCTAGCTCCAATACAACCACCACTCGTCTTTTCTGTATGAAGCTACAAATACTCTAACGTGAGTTAGTCTAGGGCAGAATTTTTATCAGACTTTTAAAGAGAAGAAAAGGCTTTTAACTCAACTTTAGGGAAAATGCCAAAAAGTAAAAGAATGGCAAGTGGTCAGTTCTTCCTATTGGAATAACTGACACTAGGCAGTTTTGAATGGAACATACTCAAAATGTAAAACCTAACTGTTTAAGAAACTGCTCTAGCCTGGTCAGTGTATCTCAGTGGTTGACTGTCTGCTCATGAACCAGTGGGTCAAGGTTCGATTTCTGGTCAGGGCACATACTCAGGTTGTGGGTTCAATCACTAGTAAGCGCAGTTGCAGGAGGCAGCCAATTAATGATTATTTCTCATCATTAATGTATATATCCCTCTCTTCCTCTCCCTTCCTCTCTCTGAAATAAATAAAAACATATTTTTTTAAAAAGAAAAGAAACTGCTCTAATAACTGAAATTTACTGTTTTAGGACATGTGTTACTAATAACTTCCTTTCTACATGAGTATCATTCATGCTTTAAGTGTTTCCATCCTCAAAGGCAAGCAAACTTTTTTTATTAGAGTCATTTAGGATCTTTTCTGAACACATCCATTTTTGTTATTTTGTTTACATTTTTCCAAGTCCTTAAATTGCCTTTGAGACTGAGAATAACTGGTCCATTAGTTTTAATCTGGCTGTCAGAAAATGCAGAGCTAAATTTATACTCTTTTATTATACACTGTATTAGACTAGGTAACTAGTATATCTGCTTTATGCTTTTCCAATATGGATGCCAAACTTTGATTATATCCATGACTTTTGAAAGAAAATTTAAATACTTTTTGAAATGCAACTATATTATAAAAGGATAGCTATCGTATTCCCTATATAATATTTTCTGGTTACTGTTTTCAATGTCATTTTGCTTTTCAGATTTTTTGAACCCTTTTATACATCTTACTGCTCTCCTCTCTCAGACCATTAACAGCAGTTTGTTTACTTTTCCCCATTTTGGGAAAGGTGCATAAATTAAATCCCAGACTCACCTAATCATTCTTCTTCTCATCTTTATCAGTACTTTTGAATGTAAGTGAAATACATCTTAAGAGAGTTCAAAACCAGGATTGTTTATCATTGTGCATTTAAGGAGATGCCAATTCAGATCACAGGCATTGTTATAACAAATAGAATTCTAGAATTTTATAGGAGATGGGCTATAAAGGGTCCTGTGCTAAAAATCAAATTACTATAGCAATTTGCCAATAAATGAAAGTCAAGCGTCTTGAGAAATGGATGCCTTCTCTAAGCACAAAGATCATAAGCTGACAGAGGCTCCATTCTGAACCCGATTTTCCAAAATACCCGACACCCTCCTCCTCCTGACCTCCATAGCAGACAGAAGTTAATGGAATTACTGTCATTTTTTTGCTTTTCTTAGTTTATTACCAAGTTGTTGTTTTTTTTTGTGTGTGTGTGTGTGTTTTTAAATATTTTTTACTGATTTGAGAGAAAGGTAGAGGGAGAGGGAGAAGAAAAGGAAGACGGAGAGGGAAAGGGAGAAAGATATCAATAATGAGAATCATTGATTGGCTACCTCTTGCACAACCTCTCCTGGGATCGAGCCCACAATCTGGGCATGTGCCCCTGACCAGAATCTAACTCAGGACCCTCTGGCCACAGGCTGATGTTCTATCCACTGAACCAAACCAGCCATGTCATCACCAGGTTTTAAATGCTGTCCATAGCCAGTCTAGATCTGAACTTTCCCTTTAGTTTTTCATGGCAGTGTTAGTCCTAACCCTCATACCTTGTGGCTGACCACTTTCTCAAATGTCTGTAATTATTCTTCTTCTGAAGTTATTATTTATTATTATACTAGAGGCCCGATGCATGAAACTTGTGCAAGGAGCTTGGCCCTCACAACCCCTTGCAGCCTTGGTCGGCCCTCACAGCCCTGGGTTCATCCAGATGGTTGTCCAAACAGTCGCTCAGCTGTTAAGTCTAATTAGCGTATTAGCTCTTTATTATATAGGATATATTTGCATACACATCCTACTTATAGTTATAGCTAATACTTGTACCACGTGTCAGAGACTGAACTAAGGATCATATATACATTTTCATTTAATCTTACAACTTTGACAACCAGGTACAATTATTATCTCAACATTGCAGATGTAAAAACAGAGGATTAGAAAGGTCAAGTAAATACCAAAGGCCATAAAGTAAGTATTCAGTACTGAGAATTCAATCAGTTGATAATCACCAGGCTGCTTTTTCATGCTCTTCCTTTTCCCAAGTTAATGCTTATTAACAGCTTCTCCAATCAAAGTCCACTCAGTTCACAGGCTTCAAAGCATTTAATTCACTGGCCTTAGAGCTTCAGTGGTGCCTACTGTTAAGCTAAGTAAATCCAAAGGTTCTTTCTTTTATAAGGCTTGCTATAGTTCATCTTCAAGTCTTTAAGAAATAAAACCTTTCATTCATCTTTTCTAACATGTTTTCCCAGGCTAGTGACATCTGACTAAAAACAAAATGAAATCCACTGATTTCAAATCTTGATGTCAACAGAAACTACTTCCAGAAAATAATCACGGCTACATTTACTGAGTACTTTCTATATCCAAGCTCAAACAAAATAACCAATCAGGTCCTCTCAGTAATCCTATGTAGGTATTATCATAAACTCCATGTTTGAAAGAGGAAATTGAAATGAGGCTCATATCAGAGATAATTAAAAAAAACACCACCACACTGGGATCTGAACCTGAACCTGGACAATCAGGCTCTAGAATTTGGGATTTCAATACTACTACATGATGTCTCACATTTCTATTTCTACTACTACTTAGAGCTGTGCCATACACTATGAGCGATATAAAAGAAATACAGCCTGGCTGGCGTGGCTCAGTGGCTGAGGTCGACCTATGAAAGAGGAAGTCACAGTTCGATTCCCAATCAGGGCACATTCCTGGATTGTGGGCTCAATCCCCAGTGTGAGACTCCAAGGAAGCAGCCAATCAATGGGTCTCTCTAATAATTGATGTTTTTGTCTCTTAACCCTTTTCACTTCCTCTCTGAAATCAATAAAAATAAAATTAAAGAAATACAATCCATGGTCTTTTAAAAAAAATACTGAGAAAACGTTTCTTAAGGAAAATATTAGGAATAAGATTTTGTAGGATAGACTACACATGGTAGCAACATACAGATAAGTTTAGAATACTAACTTAAACATGTTAGGAAAATCAGATTTCTTAAAGCTATTTGGGCAATCATAAAACATTTCCATACAACTACACAACTATGTATCTTATGTAATTATTTTAGTACAATCTTCCCACAGTTTCATTTGTTTTCACCTGTCTGTTTTCCCGACTTAATAAATTCCTGACAGGTACATGTGATGACTAAATGTTCTCTTTTATGACCTGTAAGAACAGAGTCTGGTGTTCTGCAAGCAATTGACACTCCATGAATGCCAGATAGCAAAGATAAAATAAAAGCACCACACAATTATTACTAGGACTATAACATGGCAACTCATAGGCTGTTTTAAAAATCACAAGTAACATGCAAAATAATGGATGCTTTTAAATAAATAAAACATGGACAAGATCAGAGACTAAGAAAATGTGTTCATGCTCAAAAAGCACTAACCCAATGGTAGGTGTCAACACAGACCATCATCACTTGGATTGTCAACACTGATTTTAATCCCTCCACCATCCCCAATAGGTAAAGGGCATCTCTGAAAGGGATTAGCATCTGCTAGCTTCTGGATGCTAGCAATGCCATCATAAACTTACCCTCTACCTTTTGTTGCTGAAGCACAGCCACAATGATTGGTGAGAGGGCATGTTGCCTCTGGTCAACCAAGCAAATTAAGGCTACTGAACTTATCTAAGTTAACTAATCCTAACTTCCTTTTACTACTGTACTTCTAAACTATACTTTTTTCTTCATTCATAAATAAACTAGCACTCAAGTAAGAACCATTATTTCACATGCTTAAGACTTCACTTTTCACCTAAACAATACTACTGATCATGCCACAGCTTACACTTTTAAAAATGTTTATTCATAAAAAAAGACTGCACACCTGGATAGCCTCCTGAGACCCAACATCTCACTGTCAAGAGTGTTCCTGGGAAAGCAGAAACAAACATTACATGTGAAGAGAAAATGAGCAATACCGGAGGGTTATGTATAACCAAATATGGTTGAGAAAAAAAGGATTTATTCAATCCAAAAGATAAAGGATATAAGAACACTTGGGACATTTTAACATGGAAGACAGCAGGTAGATTTCTGGGTAGAGGGCTGAGGGAGAAGAATGCACTCCCACAATGAAGAGAATACATCACATTAATTTTTCTCAGACTCATTAATATTAAAAAAATAAGGCAAAGATGGAATTGTACTTTAAAAACGTGGTCCTGACTTCCCTGGACAAACTTAACTTAAATTCCTAGGCTAAAGTGTTTGCCTGAATTTTGGAGAAGTATACTTTTATTCCCAAATCCTCTTAACATAACTATCTTCTAAATTAGTAAGCCTTTTGGAAGGCACAATAATTACATTATTTCCTTGTCATAATCTAAAGTATAGGACTTCTCTCAAACTCTTAGCGTCCACTCATGCCTATTATTTCTAACCAGATAGGTTCTTTTACTGCTTTAGCTATGATTTATATTTGTTGTTCACGTTTTCACGTTGTTATACAAAACACTTTCTAGGGAATCTGTTCATAAAGGGAATTTTGTTATTTTAAGAATTTGATGCTCAGTTTTCTTTTTACAGCAGGTTTTAGAGTAGTATCTTTTATTTAATCAACTTGGGTTGTCCCACAGATATGGGTAATTTTTAAGTGTCTGGCCTGGGCTAGTGCATCTGTGGAACTGTATTTGTGTGTGTGTGTGTGTGTGTGTGTGTGTGTGTGTGTGTGTGTGTTTAAACACTTAACTAGTTTACAACCTCTCTTTTCATTCAGTGTTGGCACTAACTGTACCATCACTTTTGCCTCCATTACCTTCTTTTGCCTGGGAAGTGTTTATCTTTGGTGACTGATCTGGAAAACACAGGTGATGCTGTAGTAGAGTTATATAATTACACTCAAAGATGTTCTTGATTTGATGTCTCTGATCTGCTTTCACATTTTTCCTCCGTTGTCCCTGGTATAACAAGGAATTAAGAACTTGGAAGGATGAAATTCATAGGCCAGTAATGGAGGAGACTCACATCTCAGGGTACACCAATCAATTTAGTTACCATGGCATAGACTAGTAAACAAAGTTATTTTCCAAGCTAAAAAAAGTTTTCCCAAATGCTATTTTATAAGAGGGTAATAGGACAGATTCTCTTTCCTTAACTATTTTTTAATCCCTTCATCTTAGTGGATCTCTTAATGTATGAACAGAATTGTATTAACAGTTACTAATGACTTCTTCATTCAGCTTTGAATCTGTCAAGCCCTGCTATTAGTGACTAGCTTATTCCTTGTCTAAGGTATCCTCCTTGGATTGACTCTGATAAAAAGATGGTGAGAGAGTTAAGGCTGAGGGGGAATATAGTGTTCCACAAAGATCAAGCCAGAGAAACTCCATGTGGGAAGCACAGACAAAAGAGATGGCCTTGCATGATTCTTTATAGAAGTCCAGCTCCTGAATTTCACAGTAAGGTCCCCTTCCATGAAACCCATGAGAGAAAGAAAGGGTTAGGGAAGTTAAGAGAAAGGTTAGAAAAAAAAAAGGAAGCCAAATATCTAAAATACTGTCTACTTGTCCATTTTTGGCAGAATCTTTTTGGAAAGTAAGAGACAGCTTAATAGTTTATGAACTAAAAGAAGTTATGACTTGGAATTTTACAATATGATATCCTTAAAATGGCAAATAAGGAAAAACAAAGGGGCAATAGTAATAACTTACTTCACTGCAGTGATAGCACTAAATTTTTTTTTGAATTTACCATGAAAACTTAACCTAAATTAAATTAAAGTAGCACCATTAAAACAAAATAATGTGGATCACAAAAAGAACATGTTTCACCAACCTATATAAGTAGTTGTCATTTTTATCTATATCATCTAAAAGCAATATGGTACTTGCACAAAAAAAGTGCTAATTATATAGTTCTAAAAGAATATGTGTTATAAAATATTTAAATCTTATAAGAGAATATTTAATAGCTTAAGAAACATTTTTTTCTGTACTTATCTAAGACAAAATAAATAGAAACTGAGAAGATGTCTTCAGTTATGAGAAAAGTATATGTACCTTTTCCTTTTGGCACTACCAGTATCAGAGGTGGCTGAGGAAATCATGCTGTCTCCATCTTCAATGTCATCTCTCCTGGCAAGCTCTTTCTTCTTTGCCTAAAACAGAGCAGATCCCGGGAGTCAAGCTCACTCTGCTGAGCACTCCTAGAATATATGAATATTAAAGAGCTAGACATATCAGATTCACCCAGAGAGATACAACCACACTTAGGATTCGCAAAATTAAAGTCATTGAAGATTTTCAATAACCCAATTTAACAAAAGCCTGCATGATAAAAAGTTTAGAAAATGGATCCAGAGGGTTTGGGAATCAACACAAGCTGAATTTAATACTAAAAAGGGCACTGACTTGTTAAAAGCACTGAGCAAGTTAAGTTATAGAGGCACCCAGCTCTGGTAGCCATATTTAATTTATATAAAGCCAACTCAAAGATGGCCTTTAGTACCCTCGACTTCTGAAGCAACAGTGTGGCAAAGAAAATAATTGATGTGAAGTGAAAAAAGATCTACTTTTCAACACATGCATTTTTAAAGACCTTCTGTCAAACACAGCTGAAAGTCAAACCACAGGAGACTTAAGGAATACAGGTGAAGTATACTGAAAGGGAAATTCTTGAAATCCACAGCATTGATCATTGTATTGACCATACAACATGAAGATTCTTTAGGTTATCTAAAATTGCTTTTGCTGATAACTTGCTTTGGGATTCACTTTCCAAAAAAATTCTACCCAAAATGGACAATTAGACAGTATTTTTATTTTACATTTATGCCTTTTGTCTCAAAACCCCTAACTGACCCGTAACCTCAGATACCCTTTAAAGGTGTGCTCTAGAAAAGGATCTAATAATCTCATGGACTCTATACAATGATTATTTAGCCTTAAGATGTCCCTTCTCCTACCATCAATGATACCTCAAAAGAGACAAAGTCTAGAACCAAAGAAATTAACACCTAATCCATAGAGTATCACCTATGATTGGAGGGAAACTGTCCGAGACCCTAAAATCACTCCCCAGAGACAAATTCCTGCCTCTTCTACTCACAAATCTAACCCAGTCTAAACTATAATTTCTATTCTACATGGTCCTGATGATGCTAAAAAATATATATATATTCAGCAGTAATTTTTGTTGAAATAAATGATGTGATTTTGCTGGAGGAAATCATACATTTAAAAAGAAATTCTCAAAATGTATAAAATTATTTCAGTTATACATGCAACAACTTAGCAAAATAAAGATATCATACCTGCATGACTTGCTGCAATTTTAGAACTCGCTTGTATATGGCTGAATTGGGAACATTATAGCGTTTGGCATTTTCAAACATTAAATTCAAATCACACTCCAAATGATCTAAAGTTTCATATTCTTGGTTCTTTAGCTTTGTTCTGTGGAAGACAAACATATGGCTAGAATTTTCCATTATGAAAATTATGCAACATCCTTCCTCAAAGTTTAGTGTAGAAATTCTGATAAGCATTGGATGGTATCTTTACTAGTTATACCGATCAGAGGTCTGAAAATGACATTTTCAAGATATAAAGTGAGGAGGCAAAAGTACCATTATATTTAGGCAATATGACAATTTAACTAAAAATCCAAAAGAATAAGCTATAACACTGTACGATATAATCAGAGGACCTAATAAGGTGGTCCATTACAAAGCAAATATACTAGCAAAATCCTAATGGAAAATTTCTGTTAGTGACTAATATGCAAACCCTAGAAAAATTAGGAAGGTTTAAATGACCTTAATGAAGAATCATGGCAATCTACCCATTTCTGAAAATCAGAGACCATTCCAGTTCATAAAAGTTAAAGCAGAGAAAGTACTGGCAATGCCATGAAGAAACATTTAGAATAATCTTTTTTATCCCCCAGGAGTATTAATATGGATAATGAAAATTGGTTTTAATATGGTAAATGAGAGACAGAAATATTCCAATACAAACACTTGCAACTAAAATTTAAGTTTTTAATTAACTTAAAAATCTTAAGAATCCTAATATTTCCCTGAGACACTATGGCTATTACTAATACCAACTCTCATAAAGTCCCTGTATACTTTGTACCAAGTGAAGAGTGATGGTTTAGCTAACTCTATATATATGAATTTAGACAGGGTACAATTTTTCAATCTTTTGATTATAGCACTTGTATGCTATTCATCAAAATCACAAAAATAGTACCAAGAACTACAATATGTGTAAATAGCTTTACAGAATAGCTGCATAAATTCCCCACTTTCCTCTTAGAATGATATCCATTCTGTATGTAAAATTTTACTTAAAATTTACCAGAATCATATGCAGACTCCATGTACTACTTAAAGAGTTATGAATGTTAAAGGACATCTTTGGGATGAAGCAAAAAAGAAAACAAAAAACAATTAAGCACAAACTCAGCTATCAGTACCAGCTATATAGCTAGTACCCAGAATTTCAATTACAGTCTCAGACTTATTTCTGCCAACTCCAAGGATAATGTGCTTGGTATTCTCAACACCCACAAAAAATAGAGAACCCAAGTTTGTAAATGACAATCCATAATAAATCTGAAGTTACTTATCAGAATGAAGTTAATAAAGAATAGTGGGTCAAGGGAAGAACATAATGGGAAATAAAAGATGGAGCCATACTGTCTAGTTTCTGCCCACTCTTCCATTTTTAAAAAAAATATTTTTTTATTGATTTCAGAGAGGAAGGGAGAAGGAGCAAGATAGAAACATTAATGATGAGAATCACCTACCAGCTGACTCCTGCATGTGCCCTCACTGGGGATCTAGCCCACAACCTGGGTATGTGTCCTGATTGGGAAGTGAACCTGGTTCATAGGTAGATATTCAACCACTGAGCCACACTACCATGGCCATTCTTCCATTTTTGTTACTTTTGATGACACTCAACTATCTTCTTTCTGCCAACAAATCTTACTAGGGCTGTGTTGTACTAGTCACATATGGCTATTTAAGACAAAATTAAATTTAAAAGCTAGTTCCTTAGTTCCACTAGCCACATTACAAGTGCTCACCAGACACATGTAACTAGTGGCTACCATACTGGACAATATAGCTCTAGAATTCCCTTTGGCTGTCGTAGACCACAATGAAAGGTAGCCTAGCTACTGTGAGGTACCACTAGCCAATCTTTCCTTGGAAAGAAGGCAAATTAGACATCTTAAAAGTTGATCCTTCGCCCTGACTGGTTTGGCTCAGTGGATACAGAGTCGACCTTTGGACTCAAGGGTCACAGGTTCGATTCTGGTCAAGGGCATGTACCTTGGTTTCGGGCACATCCCTAGTAGGGGGTGTGCAGGAGGCAGCTGATTGATGTTTCTCTCACATCTATGTTTCTAACTCTCTCTCCCTCTCCCTTCCTCTTTGTGAAAAATCAATAAAATATATTTTTTAAAAAGTTGATCCTTCAGAACCCTAGTGTGCTACCATATAGGCCTCAGCCACATCTCTATTCCTCACACTCCCCTACCTGTGTGCCAGATAACTACCAGAGTAAAGTTTAAAAGAAGGGAAAAGTTATTGTAGATTATTGACTTGACAAAAAAAGGTTTATATTAAAAAATTTTAACTTGAAAGTTGAAGGCATGTGAATAAGCTGGCTGCTGATGTGTCTGTCTTCTTCTGAACTAAATTATTTGAATTTAAAAAAAGACAGTAGAATAAAAGATAATAACGACAAAAACCGTTCAATTAAAAGAGACTCTCTCACCATCTACAAGACCATCTTTTCTAAGGTGAAGAGTATAAACCACAAACTTCCAGGCTATTTTCTTATTAATTTCCATGATATTTTAAGAGGGTAAAATTAGCTGATTTTCTATATTATACTTGTGTACAAAACCTCCAAAGTTTGGATTAAATAAAAACACCATAAATCTTTCTGATGAAATGATAAAAATAAAAGTAACAAAAGCAAAACTATAAAACATGCTTATTTAAACAACCTTATTTCCTAGAATACAGTGAATACAAGAATTTTAATTGCTACTATTTTTTTAAATATATATATTTTTATTGATTTCAGAAAGGAAGAGAGAGGTGGGGAGATAGAAACATCAATGATAAGAGAAAATTATTGTATTGGCTGCCTCCTGCACACTTCCCACTGGGGATTGAGCCTGCAACTGGGGCATGTGCCCTTGACTGGAATCGAACCTGGGATCCTTCAGTCTGCAGGCCAACACTCTATCCACTGAGCCAAACTGGCTAGGGCTAATTGCTACTATTTGGAAGGTTAATTATCTGCCATGTAAACACCATATTAATACCAGCTTAATCTGATCTTGCCCAGTGAAGACACTTTACCTGCTTTGAGCCTCTACCTGGGTATACTGCAAAACCTAACCTACATGTGGAAGCTCTCAAATATCATATTTTATACTACTTATTTCCTACTATTTTTTATGAAACTGTGGTAGTTTAAGTATTATCTGGTTGAATTCCCAATGATCACTTTAACATTGTCTAAACAAAAAAGGGAACCAAGATGAACCATCTTTCAGTTATTGTTTTAGCTGACAAATTCTCTAAGAGTTGTCTAAACTTATTCTGAGGGGAGAGGAATTCAACTTAGACATATACTTTAAATAGAGATAAATTGAAATATCAATAGAAGGTACAGGAAAACTTAAGTACCTTGTTCAGTTATAAGAAAATAAAGATAAATTTTGAGCTGCATGACTTTATAATCCATAATCTGACACATAAAATGTCTAGCTGGAACATCTTACATCAGTTTGCATCTTCAATACTTCAGTACAAAGAATATCACTTGTACTTAATCAAATTTATTTCTCACAATAGGAAAGATATTCAAGCATATTCTAGAGTCTAGACATATGAAAAACATTTTCACCTTTAATATCCTTTTCCATTTAAAAAAGGAGATATATGTGCAGCCCTGGCTGGTGTGTTCAATGGTTAGAGCACCGGCCCACTCACCAAAGGAGTGCAGGTTTGATTCCCAGTCCAGGGCACAAACCTGGGTTGCAGGTTCAAATCGTAGCCCCAGGTTGGGGCACATGCAGGAGAATGTGTCTCTTTCACATCAATGTTTCTCTTTCTCTCCATCCTTTGCTCTCCTCCCTCCCTCCCTTCCACTCTCTAAATATCAATGGAAAAATATCCTCACGTGATATATTTTCAACAACAAAAAAGATATGTATGCAGGCTCAACCACAAGAAAATATATTTATACCAAGTGATGTACCAGACATTTTACCTGATCTGTTGTAGTGATATGGGCATTTTAATTTGCTGATAATAATCAGGGTATTTTTTCTTTGAAGGCAAATGGAAAAAAGGTTCAGCTATTAGCTGCCCTTGGTTATTCCGACAGCTCCTAACCGTGTCATAAAGCTGATAAAAAGGATTTGAAACATCCATAAATGAAGTAATGCTCTCTGCTTCCGACTCTCCTTCTTCATAACGTGCAGCTTAAAAGACAAAAAAAATGTATTTATGAGGAAAAGAACCATACTTTGAAAAGCTCTTTTAACAACCTTCCAGGTTAAGCTTTATGTTTGAGAATACTTATTTTAAAAGAGTAAGTTCTACCCTTCACTAAAGATGTTAGCAATGCTCAATGTACCTGTATGATTACTTAGAAAAAGTTATACAGAAATAGAGTAGAATGTTACCTAGTAAATTTGCTATTTTTAAAAGGTTACAAAACAAACAAAAGGTTACAAAAGTAATTTATCTTTTTAAATGTGCCTTCCTCAGAGACTCCTTGCTCTATATTTTTGGCTAAGAAAAGGATCAAGTAACCTTTAATGGTTCTTAGAGCTGAAAAGTAAAAGCTAAAACTATAAAATTCTTAGAAGAAAATGTAGGTGTGAATCTTCCTGGCCACTGGCAACTACTTTGTAATCCTTTTGTGACAATACTACTTATTCGAAAAAAGGCAATAAATACTTTTAAAAAATTTTGTAAATAGTGTGGTTTTTCCTCAATTTGTTATGTTACTATAAGATTAATGAAATTAACCAAATATTAGAAGAAAATCTAAACATAAAACGTGTATCACTTTTATAATCAGAAAAAAAAAGCAAAAAAAAAGCTAATGAAAAGAGCAATTTCTTTGCTCGTTTGAGAAAAAAATTTCTTTCAATTTTTTTATGACAAGGTTTAATTTAAATTTAAAAAATTTATTTCTGTAGGTATCAAAAAGTTAAATTATACTCTAATAAATAGTTTACAGTAATTATGAAATTTTTATAGATTTAGTACAAATAACGTACAGCTGGAAAAATCTGTTGTATCATACTTGATTATATAATCAAAAGATATGCCTGAATAACTTTATGAAACAAATGTTATCTCTACATATAAAAAAATCTACAATAAAATGAAAAATATTATATAATGCTTAAAGAGAAAGACTGACAATGACATCAAACATATCTTTACTAGAGGCTCGGTGCTGGTGCACGAGATTCATGCAATGGTGGGGGGGGTGTCCCTCAGCTGGGCCTGTGCTCCTTACCCCGCCTGCAGCAGAAGCTGGAGAGGCTCCTGCCACTGTTGCTCTGGGCTCACCAGCCGTGAGCCCTGCTTCTGGCTGAGGGGTGCTCCCATTGTGTGAGCACACTGAGCATCAGAGGGCAGCTTCTGCATTGAGCGTCTGTCCCCCTGGTGCTCAGTGTGTGTCAAAGTGACCTATCATTCTGCTGTTTGGGTGATTTGCATTTTATACGGGATAGCTATTGTTTAGATTACTATTTAACCAACTGTGTACTCTTACATGCATTTTTAGTGCTCAATGCCCTCTGTTGGGCTTGTTTAAATGACAATTTACTATTCTGCCTTGATTATAATTTACATCTACCTTTAAGTCATAAGCTATAGCTGAGAAAAAGTCAATAACCTGGAAATACCATATAATAAAATCAGGATATGTGCTAAGTGTCCAACCATTCATTCAACTGATCAAGCAGTCTCTATGACTCACACTGACCACCAGGGGGCAAATGCTCCGACCAGTAGGTTAGCTTGCTGCTGGGGTCTGGCTGATTGGGACAGGGCTAAATGGGCCAGACATGTCCTGGAGCCCTCCGGCGGTCCCTCCCTGGTCAGCCCCAATTGGGACTAGGTGAGAAGGGCCGGGTACGCCCAGGAGCCCTCTGTAATCCCTCCCCAGGCCCGATCATGCACCAGTGGGGTCCCTGCCTGGCCTGTGCCCTTTTGCAATCCGGACACAATCCAGACCCCTCAAAGAATGTTGGAGAGCTGGTTTCGGCCCTATCCCCTCAGGTCAGGCCAAGGTTCCCCACTGGTGCACGAATGTCTTCCTGAAATTCCCTGATGTTGTCACTAGTCTCACTATCACAGGTTTCAAACCAGGATCTGCTAATGCTATCAAACCAACTGTATTGAAAGAAGTATTTATTTATTTAATTACAAACTTTAACACAAAATAAAGCAATAAGTTTTTGTTAAGTTTGCCAACCAAAGAGTGAAATCAAATGCCACAAAATAGCTTGTACTTCAAACCTGACAAACTCTCAGCCAGACCAAAGTCACTGCAATTTTCATTATCTAGAAGAACCCACTGAAAAGACATTGAACTAGTCTCACAGCCTAATGCCTACCAGCCAAAGCAGCATCCTCTTCACTTTCTGAGCCATATTGAAGTGCCATGGTAATTGCCGATAAACGACCCCCTTGGACTGCTCTCTTATTCCTAAAATTAAAAAAACAAACAATTAGAAGGCATGGAAAGATGTTATAGTAATTTGTTTACTTTATAGAAAATAGGTACTGTTAACAAAACATTCAAAGAAAAAGAATTTCTATTCAATTGCCTCCTCAATTTATCTTTGTACTTTTATATTCTACATAATCAGTTTTATCCAGTATCAATATTTTTCTCTTTAAAAAGAGGGGTGGTGTTAGAAAGCCTAAAGTAGGCTACTTGCAATTTGTTTTTAATATAAATGCAATACTAATTTCTTATTTTAAGAAAAATAAAGATTTGTTAATAATTACTGGTTAATTCTCTTTTAAGATGCTCATATTTTACAGTGAACACAAATTCTATCATGAACACAAAACCTTTTATATTTCACCACATGTTTTACTGGTAATATTAAACACACCCAACAAACAACTTTGCTTAAATATTTTCTAAGAGGTGAGGTCAGGCCTAAAGCAGTACCTCAACCTTTTCTTTCTCTTTATTGATTTTAGTGAGGGAAGAAAGGAGGAGGAGGGGGAGGTGGGGAAGAGGGAAGGAAAGGGAGAGTGAGGAAGAGGGAGAGGGATGGGGAGAGGAAGAGAAACATCGACTTGTTGTTTCACTTATTATGATTGTTTCTTGCTTGTGCCCTGACTGGGGATGGAACCTGTAACCTTGGCATATATGGATGATGCTCTAACCAGCTAAGCTACCCGGCCAGGGCAGTATCTCAACCTTTTAAATAAGGTACTTGATAACAAACTCTTATAATAACCCAGCTCTACCCCAAAATATTACTTCTAGACAGCCATCAAGTAAACACTGGTGTGCCTATCCTCATAAACATGGGTCAGTTCTCAGACTAAACACACTCATTCTCTCTCACCGGTAATACTTGCTAGTGGGATTTCTCTCTTCACCAAGGCTGCCTTTACTGTGTGCAGAACCTGTCAGCCTGGCTGCAGCCAAATTTGATGAAGTCCTATCCAGAGATAAGATTAAAAAAAAACACAACAACAACAACTCAGAAACTTGACAGCTAAAATCAGAATGCTGGGTAAACAGAAAGGAAACAACCATTTTCCTCTTGTCTAAATAGAAATGCTCCAATACTTCTGAGCCTCTATGGTGCAGCAGGTGTTGTTCCATAACCTGGGGAATGGACCACAGCTGGTGCTACAGAACTCATGGTGATGAAAGAATCTAGTAACCAAGCAAATATCAGGGTCAGAAGAAAGCTTCTGAAGTAGCCCCTCAACCTTTCCATTCAAGTTGGAGGAAACAGAATCCCAGAAGATTTGTTCAAAGTCAGTTCTAGCACAAGGAAAAGCCAGGATAGGATGAGACTTTAGATTAGGGGTGTCGAACTCAATCAGAGAAGGGGCCAAAATCTAAAATCCAGCCTAAATCGCGGGCCGAATGGTTTACTGAACAGTCATAAACTGTCATTGTGATGGAAACGCAGCGGAGTGCAGTGATGACAGCGCGGTGCGGGCCACATTGCAAGGCCTGGCGGGACGGATTTGGCACGCGGGCCTTGTGTTTGACACATGTGCTTAGATCTTCCGACAACTGACTAAATACTCTTACGGTAAATATAAACATCTTCTACTATACATTATATACAAATACCATAAACTACCTATATTATATATAGTATAAATCATATGTATAATGTTACATACAAAATAAAACTATACATATAACACATATGTGGTATATATATATATATATATATATATATATATATATATATAGCAATAAAAGCATTATAGTGATGCTAAGTCTTAAAAATCGTTTCTTTTTAAATAAAGCCCTTCAGCTGCAATAAAGGTGCTGGGCAAGAGTTATCCCTACTCTCTTCAGAATCACATTATAAATAAAATCTTGAAATGCAAAATATTTGTTTTCCACTGTATGGATTTCACTAGCTAGATTAGGCAAATAATAAAAGCACAAGGGTTTTAGAGATTGCTTTTTTAACTGATTTTTTTTTTTTAGAGAGAGAGAGAAAGGGAGAGGGAAACATCAATGTGAAAGAGAAACATCAATTGGCTACCCCTCCCCACCATCGAGCCCCAAACCTGGGCATGTGTCCTGACTGGAATCGAACCTGCTACCTTTCGGTGCACGGGATATTATGCCCAACCAACTGAGCCACACCAGCCAGGGCAAACTAGCCATTTTTAAACCTACCTTATTCGAAGACTTGACTTAGCCATTTCATGTTCAATTTCTGACTTTTTCATATAAAATATCTTTTTAATAGAATTTGCATCCTGTCAAGACAAAATTAGTTATTTTACAAAAAGTATCGAAAAAAAGGGCAGTTTAAAATTCTCTTAATTGTATACTGGATATTTTCTATGGCACTCCTATCTGGAATAGCCTTTCATTCAACGGCCACAAAACTGCATCCTCTAACCTTTCCATAAGCTTCCAAAACATCTTTTTAATTAAATATAAGTTTAAAAGCCTCCCAGTTTTTTCAATTACTTAAGTAAGATCTAATGATGAACAAGGAAAACCAGTGGTGAAAATATGATGAAGTCTATGAAAATACAATGAACTCTACCTGCGTACACCGACCTAAAAATTAAAACAAAAATACCTTCTAAGATTAAAGACTATCCACTTAAACTTAGAATGTACTCACTTAAGTTAATAGACTACTAATACATCAGAGCCAAAGTTTACCTTCTCTCTATTATTTACTTTAGAGAAAATAATCACATAAAAAAAGTAGTTCTTAACTGCATCAATAATTGGTATTACACAATTAAAATGTCCAACGAAGGACTAAGAATACAAGGATTGCAAATTCATTCCTAGTTTTTATTAAAAGATTCTTAAAAGGTAAAAAAGAAAGGTTAATACTGAGTATTGAAAGCAACGGTATTTGAATCAACATTCTGAAAGTCTAAATATTTTATTCCTAAAAGATTTTCTAAGGATCCTGTGCTAAATTCCCAATGATATATTATTAATTCAAGAAATTTCTACAAACAACTGCTCATTACAGGATTATAAAACTTCTGAGGGAACTGCAAAACAATGAAATAGTCATATTATTTTTTGTATTTATTATACTATACAGATTGCTTTTTATATGTATGTGGTTTAAATGCAGGGACTAAATAAATATTTAACCAAAAAGTGGAAAACAAACAAACCTTGTCTGGCATATAGACACGAATGGAATAGAACTAAATCCAGAAATAAAACTATAAATGTATAGTCAATTTATTTTTAACAAGGGTGCCAAGACTAGTCACTGGGGAAAATAAATCTTTTCAACATGAGGTGCAAGGAAAAATAATTATCCCACGTAAAATACTGAATGTGGATTCCTATTTAATACCTACCTCATGCTTCCAAAATTAATTAAAAATGGACCAAAAACCTAAATGTAAAAGCTAAAACTATAAAATTCTTAGAAGAAAACATAGATGTTAAGCATTATGACCTTGAATGAGGTAATGGTTTCTTTTGCTTTGTTTTAAACCTAGACCAGTGTTCACCAACCTTTTGGACTTCACAGACCACCAGTGGTCCACGAACCACCAGTTGGCAACCACTGACCTAGACTGACTTAATCCCGCTTCCTACCCCCAATATTATTTTGTATTAGTTTCAGGTTTACCACAAGCATAATGATTAAGTAATCATATACTTTACAAAGCATCCTCCCGATATTTCCAGTACCCACTTAGCAACATACATAGTTATTACAATACCGGTAAGAGTTTCTTGATAAGATTCTACAAGCACAAATAACCAAAGGGAAAAAATAGACAAACTGGACTTACCAAAATTAAAAATGTTTGTGCATCAAAGGACACTATCTTAAAAGTGAAAAGACAAACCACAGAATGGGAGAAAATACTTATAAATCATGTAACTGGTCTAGACTATCTAAAAATCTAACAACTCAACAATAAAAACTTAGGTAACCCAATTAAGTAATAGACTAAGAATCTGAACAGATACTTTTTCAAAGATATATGAATGGCACATGAAAAGATGTTAACATAACCAATCATTAGGGAAATACTAATCAAAACCATAATGAGCTATTATTTCACATCCACTAGGATGACTACAGTAAAAACAAAAATAAAAAACAAAATTGGTGAGGATGTGGAGAAATTTCACTTCCACATTGCTAGTAGAAATGTAAAATGGTGCAGCTGCTTTAGAAAAAAATTTGGTGGTTCCTAAAAGTTAACTTAGTTACCATGTGACCCAGAAATTCTATTCCTAGGTAATGTAACCATGAAAAATGAAAATATATCCAAATAAAAATATACATGAATGTTCATAGTGCATCCTATATAATAATCAAGCATAATAAAGAGGTAATATGCAAATTGACAACCAAGCCCTCATAAGATGGCTGCCTACAACCAGGTCAGCAGGGGGGTTACTGAGGGATGACCAAACAACAAGCAGGCTGCGCGGGGCGACCAGGTCGGCAGGGGAGTTAGTGAGGGATGACCAAACGACTGAACAGCAGGCTGCGTGGGGCAATCAAGTCAGCTTAGGGGGGAGGGGGGCGAAGTGGGGGCAACCAGGCCAGCAGTAGGGGGTGACCAGGTTGGCGGTGGGAGGAGGGGGGTAGTTAGGGGCTACCAGGCAGGAAGCAGGAGAGCAATTAGGAGCCAGTGGTCCAGGATTGTGAGAGGGATGTCTGACTGCTGGTTTAGGCCCGATCCCCGGGTTTGGGCCTACACCAGTAGTTGGACATCCCACGAAGGGTCCTGGATTGGAGAGGGTACAGGTTTGGCTGAAGGGATCCCTCCTCCCCACCACTCCTTTGCACGATTTTCGTGCACTGGGCCCTTTAGTTATTTTTAAGTCAAAAAAGTAGAAATAAACTACATGTCTAGCATCTGATAAATGGGTAAATAAAACATGGTATCCTATGTAATAAAAGAGTAATATGTAAATTAGCCATCACTCGGCGACAAAAATGGCGGTGCCCATAGACACTGGGGCATCACCCAGGCAGCAGGAGCCCAGTATCTGCTCCTTGGCTAAAAAAGGGATCTCTGGCCAGAGAACTGGGAGCATCTAAGCCCCGGCAGTGCTGCAGGAGAGAAGGGACCTCGGGCCACGAGCCCAGAGTTCGCACGCCCAGACTGAGCACCCGGAGTCAGTGCCCCGGCCTGCCACGCTGCGGGAAGGAAGAGGCACGTGGGGTCACAAGTCCAGAGTTTGCGCACCCAGAGTCTGCGCCCTGGCCGGCCATGCAGCAGGAGGGAAGGAGACTGGGGGGTCCCGAGACCAGAGTCCCAGCACCCAGAGTCCTCGATCAGGCCTGCCTTGCGGCGGGAGGGAAGAGGCCTGTGGGGCCCCAAGCTCAGGGTCCCTGTGGCAGGGAAGGAACCAGGAAAATGGATCTTTCCAGTTCCTGATGCTGACAGAGCCCTATGGGTGCCAGGGTCCTCCACCTGCAGCCTCCAGTCGCAGCCCAGCAGCCCCAGTCAGACTGGAATCCCCCTGCCAGCAGTCCAGATAGGACCAGTGTGGCTCCAGGGGGAGGAGGTGTCTGGCAGGCATGCAACAGACATCAAATCACTGCTGCCAAGGCCACTCCCCCACACACTCACAAGTAATATGGTCCAAGGGGGCGACTCCTGAGGCAAGGTTCCCATAGCAACTGATGTGCAGCCAGGCAAGGAAGCTGGACCTGAAAACCCATGCACATGAGTACCCAAGCTGCAGGGCATCATGGGCCGGGGCCCTGAGGAGGCCCCAGGACAAGCATCTTCCCAGAGGCCAGGTGTGGGATGCTGGTGTCTTTGCAAGCCAAGACCAGGCTGAGGGACAACCCCCCCACACCCCCGTGCACGAATTTCGTGCACCAGGCTTCTAGTATACATATAATAGAATATTATTCAGCAGTGAAAAATATGAACTACTTACACATTCTACAACATGCAGACCTTGAAAACATTATACTAATATGAAATGTCCGGAATAGGCACATTCATAGAGAAAAAGTAGACTGGTGGTTGCCTAGGGCTGGGGAGGTTGGGAGGAAATAGATATTCACTGCTAACTGGTTGGGGAGAATGGATATTGACTGCTAACTGCAGATCTCTGTGAATAAACTAAATGCCATTAAATTGTACTCATTAGGTGAAATGTACAATATATGAATTTTAAATCAACAATGTTGTTATATAAAAATTATTAGCTCTAAATTAAGGTATCCACTCTTATCAATAAAAATCATAAAAAAAACTAACCTTGAATACTTGAGAACCAGGTTCATTATAAGTTTTGGCATTTTTTGCTAGAAGATCTATATCTTTGGCCATTGCATGAATACTCTTGTAGCTTCCATTCTATAGAAAACAACAAAATATACAAGTTCCCCTTAGTAAAAGTTAATCAGTATGACCTTTAAAAAAAAAAAAAAAAACACTTTTTTTAAAAAAATATATTTTATTGATTTTGTACAGAGAGGAAGGGAGAGAGATAGAGAGCTAGAAACATCGATGAGAGAGAGAGTCATCGACCAGCTGCCTCTTGCACACCCCCTGCTAGGGATATGCCCACAACCAAGGTACATGCCCTTGACCGGAATCGAACCCGGGACCCTTCAGTCCCCAAGCCGACGCTCTATCCATTGAGCCAAACCGGTCCCGGCAAGAACACATATTTTTTAAAAATATATATTTTATTGATTTTTTTACAAAGAGGAAGAGAGTTAGAAATTCAACGAGAGAGAAACATCAATCAGCTGCCTCCTGCACACCCCCTACTGGGGATGTGCCCACAACCAAGGTACATGCCCTTGACCAGAATCAAACCTGGGTCACTTGAATCTGCAGGCCTATCCACTGAGCCAAACTGGCTGTGGCTCCACATATTTTTTAATTGCCACTATGTTTCAAGTCTTTATTGGAAAGTACACATGAACAATATGTTAAAGTAAAAATTTATTAATATTGTCCATTTACAAGCAAGTTTTTTAGGTAATTAACAAAATCAGAGCTAAATTATTCTCATAAAATAACTTACAATTTCTTTTAAAAAATCAAGGTAAAAGTTGTTTTACTTAGCAAACACATAGTTCCTACTTAGGTTCTAAGTGTTTCATTAATACTAATTCATTAAGGTGGACTTAACAGTGTGAAGTAAAACTCCTCTAGTTTTATGGACCACTTCTAATAAAAAAGGTCAGTCTAGCACAGATGTTAACATTCGTACATACCCTCATCTTAACACTTATTCAATCCAAAATAACCCAGGTGACTCCTAATTGCCTCACTTTACAAAAGAAAGGAAGGAGGGAGACTCTCTACTCAAAAAGTACACGAGGACACAGAAATTGACATGTTCTAGAGAGAATGAAGAAACCAAATAAAGAAGAATGGACAGTGGGGAAAGGTAAAACCATGAGCACAGGCTGCATAGGTAGAGAAGGGAAAATGAGGCAGAGTACAGAGAACCAGGCAAAGCAGAAGAGCTGGTTATTTGTCTTGTAGGGATACCCAATATCTGAGCACCCTTTTTATGTGTAGGAAATGCCAGCACAGGTGATAGGGAAGGACCTACCTTTCCCAACAGAGGGTAAAAGTGGGCAGATGCTAGCTTTGCCAGCAGCCTGGCAGCTAAGGCAAGGAGAAATACTTCATGCTTGAGCCTTGAGGGACTAAAGACAACAGCAAGGGAATGGAGGAATGCATTCCTAACTCCTGAAGGAGACAGAGTACAGGAGTGGAGCAGCGGTGTCCGAGGTGCACATTGGCAAATGACAGTGGTAACGGCAATGGCACCACGAAGAGACTGTGTATCACTATGTCATGTAATACATGACAGCCCTGAGTTCCATTTCCCATAGCTCTCCCACCTTCCTTCTCAATGATTCCATGAACTATCTAATACCTGTTCATGGATTCTTTTCTGCTTAAATTAGCCAGAGCTTGTTGTTGTTGAACTGGCACAAGCAGCTGCAACTTCTTTCAGCAGGCATTAGAAAACCGGTGACAAGTCTCTGGGTAGTGGAATAGCAGGAAGAAAGCTAGGGTCAGGAAGCAATATGCAGAGAGGACTAGAGAGCCTTTCATCAGAGGGAATAAAGATTATTACAATTATTTAGACATAAGAGGACAAAGATCTTAATTAGGAATGTGGTAAAAGGAGTTGCTTCTGAGAGGCTTCGGAAGGATAAAGGAGAGAGGTCACATATGGTGAGAGGTCAGAGAGTGAAGACTGGGGCTGAGGTATGTGTGTTTAAAGAACCACTCTGATTTTCTGTATTATGAAAACATTTTATCCCTAGATAGATGTTAGAAACCCTAGGGATTTAGGTTCTAGGAGATTAAGTCACTCCCAGGAGCACCTACTAGGTTGCCTGAAAAACCAGGAGGGAATTTGTATTGTAACATTCTGTATAAATATTTCTATGGTACCAATAATTACTACCCTGTTACTCTTTCCTACTCTTTTAGAATTTAAAGCCAAGGAAGTTTCTCCCTCCCGGCAAACCACTGTGCTTTCAGACTCCTTTCTCAATGACACCATATAACCATTTTCCTTTCTGCTTTATCTGCTAGTAGCCTCCTTATCCTGGGAGGATCAGTCGCTCACATTACCAAGGCCACATCTCATAGATGCTCTAGGAGATGCTTCACATACATTATCACCGAGCTCTAAAACTCTGTGAAGCAGTAATACTACATTCAGAAAACAGCAGAGGAAGGGAGCAGGTTGCCTGACCAAAGTGACATAGCTAATAGGAAGCAGAGCTAGGACCCTGGCCAGTATTTCAAAATGGTTACAGCATTGACCCCAAGCACCAAATGGTCACAGGTTAATTTCCAGTCAAGGGCAGGTACCTGGGGTTGCACGTTTGATCCCTAGCCCTGGTCAGAGTGCATGCAGGAGGCAACCAATCGATGTGTCTCTCTCACATTGATGTTTCTCTCTCTCTCTTCCTCTCCCCCCCCCCCCCCCCTTCTACTCTGTCTTTAAAAATCAATAAAAAAATATCCTTGGGCGAGGATTAACAAAAACAACAACAAATAACTAAATAAAGCAGAGCTAGGAAAATAACACAAGTTAGTCCAAATTCTAAAAACTAGATTTTTAGTATAATTTAGCTCATTTTTCCTATACCTTCTTTAACCTATGATAATCAAATTTCAATTCTCATTCATTTTCATTCACTCAATTTATAAGTACCTGCTCTGTAGAGAGGAAGTAACAGTATAGGGGTTAAGAGCATAGACTTCAGAGACAGACTGTCTGGATCCAAATCTTCACTCTTCTCCTTAATAGTTGATGACTTCGGAAGTGATCTACCACTCTTATTTGCTTTTATCACGTTAATGTGATATCCCTTACAGAGACATCTGCTTCTCGTTTTCTAAAGCTCCATAAGAACATAGGCCAATTTACCCTAAACCACATATGATTACATATGGTCATCTTCTTACCTGTATCCTCTGGGCAATGGTCTTGAGATCTATAGGTTCCTTAATTATTGCATAATAGTCTGGATATTGCTGAAAGACAAAAGCCAGGCATGCTTAATAGGTGAAAGTATCCAGCTAATGAGAAAACAAGGAAGCACACTGACTCTGACCATCTTAATCAACTGAGCAGCTTTGTGGGATTCAAAACTAAAGACACAGCTGTTCAGCATATCAAGCTTCATGAACTACCCTCAGCATGTTATAGTCTATAGTTAGTATTTTTAATTATTATTATTATTATTTTTAAATATTCTTTACTGATTTTTTACGGAGAGGAAGAGGGATAGAAAGTTAGAAACATCGATGGAAGAGAAACATTGACCAGTTGCCTCCTGCACATCTCCTTCTGTGCTGGCAACCAAGGTACATGCCCTTGACTGGAATCGAACCCGGGACCCTTCAGTCCACAGGTCGATGCTCTATACACTAAGCCAAACCAGTTAGGACTTAATTATTATTATACAACTAGCACTTAATGTTTAAAAAAATTCTAAATTCAGCCCTAGCCGGTTTGTCTAGACTCTAGTGGATAAAGCATTGGCTCACAGACTGAAGGGTCCTAGGTTGGATTCTGGTCAAGGGCATATATCTTAGTTGCAAGCTCATTCCCTGGTCTGGGCACATGCAGGAGGCAACCAATTGATGCCTCTCTCTCATATCCATGTTTTTTTCTGTATCTCTTCCTTCTTTCCGCTCTCTCTAAAAATCAACAAAAAAATATCTTCAGGTGAGGAATAACAAATAAAATAAAATCTAAATGCACAGAATCACATAACTAAAATAGTAATAAGCTAGTTCCCCCATTCTGGGAAGGCTCTTGGGATACCATGCAGTGGGAGTTCACTGGGGAAAGCAGATTCCCAGTGGTCCTTCAAGGTGTAACAATTCCAAAGACAACAAAGAGGGGAGGGCAGTTTTTAACTATCCTTTATAAATCTTTCCGAAATCTTACGAGCTCAAACAACAACAAAAGTAAAGGCCACAGCTTTCATACAATTACTAAGCTGAAGGGATGATCTCAGTGATGCTTCCCCTTATCTGATCACTCTGCTTATCCCTCTATTTTCTTAACCTTACTACTCCTGTTTTTGCTTGGATTAAACCCCTTTCCTGTCCACTCTCTTCACCAATTCTACTTCTGAGAAACAGTTTAGAAGACAAATTATGGCACAGACACAAGCTGGGGTACAACGTAATTCAAGCCGCTGGCTCATGTATTTCCAACCCAACCCTCCCACTTAGACAGTCCTACTTCGAAAAAATTTATAAAGGAGGCTAAAAACTGCCCTCCCCTCTTTGTCGTCTTTGGAATTGTTACACCTTGAAGCACCACTGGGAACCTGCTTTCCCCAATGAACTCCCTCTGCATGGTATCCCAAAAGCCTTCCCAGAATGGGGGAACTAGGTTATTACTATTTTATTACTCCAAATTAACCTTGGTGGCTCAACTAATACTGATTATCTCCTGCACAGTAAGCATAAACCTTGAGTAAAAATCATACTCATCTCTCATATTTATTGTAGTAAAATATACATAAGATTTACTATTCAATCATTATAAATGTATAGCTCAGAGACAGTAAGTACATTCACATTATAGTGCAACTATCACCATCATCCATCTCCAGAACTTTTCATCGCCGCAAACTGAATCTCCATACCCATTAAACAGTAACTCTCCACTTTCCCCTTCCTAACAGGCTCTGGAAATTGCAATTCTACTTTTTGTCTCTATGAATTTGACTACCCTAAATACCTCCTCTAAGAGGAATCATATAATATTTGCCCTTTTGTGTCTGGTTTATTTCACTTAGCACAATGTATTCTTATTTTAGCATGTGTCAGAATTTCATTTAAAAAACTTAAAGGACGAATAATACTCTACTGTGTGTATATATCACATTTTCTTTATCCACTAATCTGTTAAGGGACACTTGGGCTGGTTCCATGTTTTAGAGATATTCTGCTATAAACATGGGTGTACAAATATCTCTTTGAAACTCTGCTTTCACTTTTTTGGGTATACACCCAAAGTGGAATTTCTGGCTCATCTGGTAAATTTGTATTTTTTTTTTTTTTTTTTTTTTAGGAATCGTCTTAAGGCAGCTGCCTCGATCCTCACAGCCCCAGCTTCATCCGGAAGTTCGTCAGGAAAAACATCTGGTTTAATGAGCATATTATGCTTTTATTATTATAGAAAAGTTAGTTTATGTGTTTATTTTATCATTTAGAATTACCCATTTTAGAAACAACCTAAAAGCCCATGAAGAGATAATAAAATGTGATGTATAAACAAACCATATTACATACAATGGGGTATTAGCCTTAAAAAGGAAGGAATTCTGACACATCCTACAACTTGGAGGAACTCTGGAAACATTACACTAAAGCAGTGTTTTTCAACCTTTTTTGGGCAAAGGCACACTTGTTTCATGAAAAAAATCACGAGGCACACCACCATTAGAAAATGTTAAAAAATTTAACTCTGTGCCTATATTGACTATATATAAAGTAATTCTCTTGAATAGGAATCAAATAAACACAAAGAAAGTATTTTATAATTACTTTATTATGAAATATTAAGTAAACAAAATAGTGAAAAATTATAAAATTCTTGTCTTGTCTGCACCTACAGCACACCAGGCAACATCTCGCGGCACACTAGTGTGCCGCGGAACAGCGGTTGAAAAACGCTGCACTAAAGGATAAATATTGTATGATTCCTCTTATATCAGGTACTAAGTCAAATTCAGAGAAAGACAGAACATAAAATATTGGTTACAGGGCATGGGAGGATGGAAGAGTAAGGCATTACTGTTTAATGGATACGGAGTTTAGGAAAACGAAAATTTCTGAAGATGGATGGTGGTGATGGTTGCACAATAATATGAATGTAACTAATAATACTGAACTTTTAAGTATTAGTGACAAATTCTTAAAATGGTTAAACAGTAATCTTATGACAACAAAAAATATACAGAATTACCAATCAAGAAACAAAAACATATAATTTTTTCAAAACCCACAACCTTCTGGCCAAGTATAGAACATATCCTGTGTGTGCTGAGACCATGAGGAGGAGCTCTTGGCTATCTCCAATGCCTTCCATTAACTGTACTCTATTTACTAAGAATAAAACATCTGAAATACTTAAAAATAAAACACCCACACTTGAATTCACCTACTATTTTTAATTGTATCACTTACCACTTTAGAAGGCAGTTTCTGAAAAAGTTCACTAATGAGATGTCCTGATGGATTTGTGGCTACAACTATGGCTTCAAGAAGCTGCTCCAGGATCTCTTTCAAGTAACTTGGAGAAGACTGAAAGGAGGGGTTTGAGTGCAAGAAGAGAGGGGAGAAATAAGCACTTCACAAGAGAAACCCCAAAATAAATACTTTAAATATTTCCCAAAATTTGAAAGCCAACTCAAAGAACAACTTCTAAATGGTAGTTATTTTAAATACAAGTTTTAAGAATATCATAGAAGTGCTCTGGATGCTGAACGTGGTAGCTGTACTCACGGAATGGCACATGTGAAACTAATGAGGTACTTCACATATTTCAGTAACTAAATCTTTTGGATAAAGTCCTTTTATAAACTCTGTTCCACAGTAAATATGGTTAACAGTGAATTTCAAGTACCATATGTATAAATGATTAGACATGCATACCTTTTTTTTGGATCTGAGCAACTAATAAGGAAAAACATGCCCTATGATAGCAAGTCATTTCTACACCTGCTGTTCATATCTACTGAAGTCTTGATATTTTGGTAAAATAACTATATATGTAAAGTGGGAACAACATACTTTTCACCAGAGCGTGCTCTGCCAGCTCTAATAACAGAATTCAAGTTACATCAAAACTGACTAATGCACATCACTTCTCTCCAGATGGCCAGCTTATCTTACCTTAGTCACTGATTCAACATGGAAAGTATATGACCCAAAAAGAACCTGGCCAGTTTCTATAGTAAGCACTGGGATATCTCAGTCAAAGTTTATAGTAAATGGTAGTTCAAGTCCAAACCTACAAGTCAGGCACAGTCTACATGCCAGGAATAGGTGAAGAAGGTGGTTTATTTTGTGGACTATAATTCTTCTTGGGGGAAGACAGAAAGTAAACATGTAATCTAATAAACAAGTTAGCTGACCAAGTTATATATTGGTAAAGACTGAAGACCAAAGAGATGTGATGATGGAAAAAGAGTGTGGAGCAAACAATTTAAATGGGATGGTCAGGAAAGTCCTCTCCCAATTGACATTAAGTGTTATTAGAATAATGAAAAAGAGCAGTGATGGAAGAGCCAAAAGAAGCACATTCTAAGCAGAAGAGTAACTGCAAAATTCCAGCGACAGGAACACACTTGGGACATTCTAGGAATAGTACTCAGTCTAACCCACAAAAATATTCCTAAGGTGATTCCATTGACTCTCCAATTTTTAATCACAACACATGTTGTAATTTACATGTTATCTCAAATAGGAACATTGAATCACTGATGATATGATCATACTCTTTCAAACTGAGCAAGAAATATGCAATAATAAATAAGAGCAATTCAAAAAAACAATCACACATGGGACATTGTCCTGGATGTCTTATGATTCCTTTTAATTGCAGCGGGGTCTGTTTATATTATGACCCTTGACCCTCCCAGTTACCAACACAACTATATGGAAAGACCATAACAGCCTAGACAAAATCACAGGGGCCTTGTCCACTTCCAACAGCCCATTCCAGCTGCACACTTACTCCTTCAGTCACTGTGCCTTGATTGTCTTGTCCATCTTCATCATCATCTTCATCATCTGCTTCTCCTTTCTGAACAAACTCGTTTCTTGTTCGAAGGTACAAATCCCACAGTTTGCAAGCAGCTTTATATTCAGGAGAATCTGGCTGAATATTAGCAAAGAGAAGAGAAAAAAAAGCATTTTATTATTTTATTATAAATCAATTACTACTTTTAAAGCATCCTGTTCCAGCAGAGACTGGTTTTCTAAGATGTAACTTCAAAAACTACAAATGTTAAACTCCTTATGATTAAAAGATATACGGGCCACAATTAATTTTCTCAAGAACTAAATGTATGTTTTAAAGGTACTACCCTTTTATTAGTATAGATGTCCTAGCTTGTATAGCTCAGTTGATAAAGTATCAGCCTGTAGACTGACGGGTCCTGGGTTTGATTCCAATCAAGGGTTACATGCCCCAGGTTGTGAGCTCAATTCCCCGTGTGGGGCATGCAGGTGGCAGCTGATCATCATTGATGTTTCTCTCTATCCCTCTCCCTTCCTCTCTGAATTCAATTAAAAAAAAAAAAAAAAGAATTATAAAGCCATATTAATTAAGGCAGAATAGACTAGCCCAGGAATAAACTGGCCAGAACAAAAGGAACAGAATAAAAAGTCAGAAAGAGAGCCATGAGCACATGGAAACGATGACAGTACTGACACTGCAGATAAATGCAGAGGGGCTGGCGGTTTCAAGATGCTGCCTATACCTGTGGGAGGAAAATATCTCTACCTCACAAAAAAACCACAAAAATCAATCTCTGTAGCTTTAAGACTTAAATGTAAATGACAAAGCTATTAAATTCTCAGAAGAAAATATAAAAGAAGAATATCTTCATAAACTTTAAGCAAGAGGAGTTTCTGAAACAAGACACAAAGGGATAAACCACAAAGTTCAAAAGTGCATTTGAATATACTGAATTAAAAAACTTCTCTTCATCAAAAGAACCATAAAAAGAGTGAAAAAGTAAACTCACAGTGGAAGAAGGTATCTGCAACACATATAAGGAAAAAAATTATCAGTACCTAGTGTAAAAATTTCTAGAAATATGAAAATGACTAACTACTCTAGAAAAAAATAGACAAAATATCTGAGCAGACACAGAATAAGAATAGTTCATAATCATATGAATGTTCAATCTCTTGATTAAGAAAAGAAACTCAAACCATCAAATAAGAAACCACTACAAACTTGCAAAATTGATAAATACTAAAAAGCCAGATAATTATCAAATTGGATACTTCCCAAATTTGATGCTTTACCTTGTAATAGGCCTTTGCGTTGTTAAAAAGCAGCTGGAAGTCGGCAGTCAGCAGATTAACATCATCATACTCCTCCATTTTTAATTTCTGTTGGATTTTCATCAAGTCAATGGGCTGAGAAACCACTTCATAATAGTCTGGTTGATTTCTGTTATAATTTAATATTTTTAAAAGGTATTAATCCAAAGCCTATAAAAATTATATTTCAAACTATCTATAGTAATGTCAATATTTCAAGTGATAGAAAACACTAGACTTACTGTCATTACTGGAACTAAAAGGAAATAGCAAAAGAAAGATATATATGCATGCCCTTTTCAAAATATAGATGATAAAAAAAATAACACCTAAATTAACATATGTCTTAGTCTTAAATACTACCAGTATAGCCATTTTAATTCTGTATAGCTAGATTTCTCTCTCTGTTTCTTCTTCTCAGTAATCCCTACAGCTATCCCTTTAGCATTTCTTGTAATGCAGGCTTGCTGGTGATGAACTCCTTTAGCCTTTTTTTGTCTGGGAAGCTCTTTAATTGACCGTCTATTTTGAATGATAGCCCTGCTGGATATAATAATCTTTTTTTTTTTTTAATATATTTTATTGATTTTGTACAGAGAGGAAGGGAGAGAGATAGAGAGTTAGAAACATCGATGAGAGAGAGTCATCGATCAGCTGCCTCTTGCACACCCCCTACTGGTGATATGCCCGCAACCAAGGTACATGCCCTTGACCGGAATCGAACCCGGGACTCTTCAGTCCCCAAGCCGACGCTCTATCCATTGAGCCAAACCGGTCTCGGCTGGATATAATAATCTTGGTCTCAGATCTTTTCTTTCCATTGTCTCTCAATAATAACCCTAAATATAAATGGATTAAATGCTCCAATCAAAGGTGTAGGATAGCTGAATGGATATAAAAACATGACCCAACTATATTCTATCTACAAAAGACCCACTTCAAAACAAGAGACATATACAGGATGAAAGTAAAGGGATGAAAAAATTTTTCCATGGAAATGAAAAAGAAAAAAAACAGCTAGAATAGAAATACTCACATCCAACAAAATAGACTTTAAAAGTATCATGCAGCCCTAACTGGTTTGGCTCAGTGGATAGAGCATCCGACTGCGGACTGGAGGGTCCCAGGTTTGATTCCGGTCAGGGGCATGTACCTTGGTTACGGGCACATCCCCAATGGGGCGTGTGCAGGAGGCAACTGATCAGTGTTTCTCTCTCATTGATGTTTCTGACTCTCTATTCCTTTCCCTTCCTCTCTGTGAGAATCAATAAAATATATATTTTTTAAAAAGTATCATGCTAAGTGAAATAACACAATTGGAGAAAGATAAATATCATATGATCTCACTCTTGTGGAATATCATGAACCTAAACTGATGAACAAAAATAGAGCCAGAGGGGGGAAAATATACTAGAATATAATAAAAATAATCCTGTTATTTGCAGATTTTTAATATTTCCCACAACTTTTGTGATTATCACACTATACTGGTACAGTCTTAGTAATGTCATTACACTTAAAATCCTTTTATTCTTGAAATATGTTTATTGCATGTAATATTACATGTAAGGTCATTTTTCTTGAATTCGAGTTTATTTGCATGTAACATCATATTTAAAATTTTTCTTGAGACATTGTTTATTGCATGTACATGATTACATTTAAGATAATTTTATTTGAAATATTAAAGTTTATTGTAGTTAACATTATTTAGGCAACAAAAAGAAATGAAAGGCAGCCATGACCAGTTTGACTCAGTGGAGAAAGCGTCAGCCTGCGCACTGAAAGGTCCGGGGTTTGATTCCAGTCAAGGCCATGTACCTTGGTTGCGGGTACATCCCCAATGGGGTGTGTGCAGGAGGCAGCTGATCGATGATTCTCTCTCATCGACGTTTCTGACTCTCTATTCCTCTCCCTTCCTCTCTGTAAAAAAATCAATAAAATATATATTTTTTAAAAGAAAAAGAAATGAAAGACATCCACCAAATTGGAAAGGAAGAAGCAAAATTATCTGTGTTCATAGATGATAAGACCTTACATGCAGATAATTCTAAAGATTACAAACACAAAACATTACTAATAAGCAAATTTAGAAAAGTTGCTGTGTACAAAATCAACATACAAAAAAATCATTTGCATTTATATACACTAACAATAAATACTACAAGAAAATTAAGAAAAGAGCCGAGCCGAAGCCAGTTTGGCTAAGTGGATAGAGCGTCGGCCTGTGGACTGAAAGTGCCAGGTTCGATTCCGGTCAAGGGCATGTACCTTGGTTGTGGGCACATCCCCAGTAGGAGGTGTGCAGGAGGCAGCTGATCGATGTCTCTCTCTCATCAATGTTTCTAATTCTCTATCCCTCTCCTTTTTTCTCTGTAAAAAAATCAATAAAATATATATATAAAAAAAAATTGAGGTGAGCCCTGGTTGGTGCTGTTCATTGTTGGAACATTGGCCTGTGCACTGACGGGTCTTGGGTTCAATTCCTAGTCAAGGACAGGTACTTGGGTTGTAGGTTTGATCCCTAGATGTGTGCCAGAGGCAACCAATCCACCATGTCTGCCTGTGTGTGTGTGTGTGTGTGTGTGTGTGTGTGTCTCTCTCTCTCTCTCTCTCTCTCGCCCTATCCCTCCCTTCTACTCTCTCTAAAAATCAATGGAAAAAAGTGTGTGCAAGAGGCAGCTGATCGATGGTTCTCTCTCATCGATGTTTCTAACTCTCTATCCCTCTCTCTTCCTCTCTGTAAGAAATCAATAAAATATATATTTTTTTAAAAAGTAAAGTAAGAAAACAATTCCATTTATAATAGCATCAAGAAGAATAAAATATGAGGAGTAAGCCTAACCAAGTAGGCCACTTCTAAAAACTACACATTTCTGTAAGAAATTAAAGACACCAATAAGTAGAAAGATTATCTCATATTCGTGGGTTGGAAAACTTAATATTGTTAAGACATCAATAATATCCAAAGCAATCTAAAGATTCAACACAATCCCTATCAAAATCCCAGCAGCATTTTTTGCAGATACAAAAAAAAAAAAAAAAAAAAAAAAATCAATCCTGAAATTCATATAGAATTTCAAAGAGCCAGAAATAGCTAAAACTACCTTGAAAAAGAACAAAGTTGGAAGACTGTCAAGTTGACCTATAAATTAACCATCACAGAGGACTCACACTTTTTTATTTCCAAACTTACTATAAAATCACAAGTGTGGCGAAATATGGAGAAATTGGGGGGTGAGGAGGAGGGAGTAAAATAATATAACAATTATAGAAAACAGTATGATGATTCCTCAAAAAATTAAAAACAGAACTATAGATCTAGCAATCCTAATTTTGGTTGTACAGTATATTGGAAGCCTGGTACACAAAATTGGTGTACGAGGGAGGGTGTCCCTCGTCCAGCCTGCACCCTCTCCAATATGGGACCCGGTGGGATCGGGCCTAAATGGGCAAACATCCCTCTCACAATCCGGGACTGCTAGCTCCCAACCACTTGCCTGCCTGCCTGCCCCTAATCGCTTTTGCCTGCCAGCCTGATCACCCCCTAACCACTCCCATCAGCCCAATTCCCCAACTGCCCTCCCCAGCTAGCCCGGTCACTCCTAACTGCCCTCCCCTGCTGGCCTGATTGCCCTTAACTGCCTAGTCATCACTAACTGCCCTCCCCTGCCATTCTGGTTGCTCCTAACTGTCCTCCCCTGCAGGCCTAGTCACCCCCAACTGCCCTCCCCTGCCAGCCATCTTGTGTCCACATGGGAGTGACCATCTTGTGTAGCGGAATGATGGTCAATTTACATATTACTTCTTTATTATATAGGATAGGATTCAAAATAACTGAAAACATCTCAAAGAGGTATTTGCACACCCACGTTCACTGCGCATTATTCACAATAGCCTAGAGGTGGAAACAACTCAAGTCTTTATAAATGGGTGAATGGATAAAGGAAATGTGGTATTATTAGCCTTCAAAAGAAAGGCAATCCTGTCACATGTACAACATGGATGAATCTTGAGGACACTATGCTAAGTGAAATAAGCCAGTCACAAAAGCAAATATTATATGATTCCACTTCTATGAGGAATCTAAGTAGTTAAAGCCATAAAAACAGAAAGTGCAATGGTAGTTGCCAGGGGCTGGGGGACAGGGAGAAATGGGCAGCTGCTTAATGGGTATAGAGTTTCAACTTTGCAATACGTAAAAGTTCTGGATATGCTGCATGTACAATGATGTGAATATACTTAATACTCACTGAAATGTATTCTTCAAATGGGTAAGATAGTACATTTTATGTTATGTGTCTTTTACCACAATTTAATTTTAAAATATACTTCACTACACCTTGACAAATAAAACAAATCCAACCTCAGTATCATTTAAACCATTATTTTTAAAAGAAAATCAATTATCAAATACTTTAAACACCGACCCAAGGCTAAATTCCTCCCCCTCACCTTCGCTTTGGTGCCCTAATGAAGAGCTCACAGAGAAGCCTGCCCTGTTCATCCTTATAGTCCCGGATGGTATTGTAGAGTTCATGGCACACAGCAATCTATACACAGGAAAAGAGAAAAACAACAAGAAAAGTTAACAGAAAAAGCCAGTGAAATTATCTGGATTATCTTTAATAAAAACATACCCATAAAAGGCAAATACAGAAGAAAAAGGATGAATCCCCAAATTACCAAGTTTGAAATATGCTGACAGTATCTCTATTTATTGTTATTTAACTGATAAATGTTTTGGTATCTTTCATCAGATTTATGCTACTGGTGATTTTTCTTTTTAACTAAATCAGTTAGTTAAAATCTCTTGTTTAAAATCATCCAATACGGAGGCTTCTTACTACTCGGAGAATAAAATCTAAATTTCTAACACTGCCCATAGAGTATATAGGATAATTACATACTGAGCTAGGAAGACTTTGCCAATCTCCTCCCTCTTAACCATCTCTGTATAATCATAACACACCTAACTCATTTCCAACCCTGCCCCTCTGCCTGGAACATTCTTCCCCAACGCTCTGCAAAGCTAGTACCTTATCACAGTCCCCTTGAAGGTTTAAGCCAAAATAGCCCAAATCACACAAACTTTTCCTTTTAACACTTATCATCAACTGATGGTATTTGACTAATTTGTTCAACTGTTTACATTCTGCTTCCCCATATTCGAATCTAAGCACCATGTGAAAAAGTGGCTTGTCTTACACATAGCTGTATCTCAATCACCAGAACTGTGCTTGGCACATACAAGCACACAGTTATTTGAGTGACTATGCAATGGCGCATATTGTAATTCTTTATTATTTCTTAACTAGAGACCCGATGCACGAAATCTGTGCAAGAATAGGCCTTCCTTCCTCCCCTGCAGCCCTGGTTGTCCCCAACTGCCGGCTGCAAGCAGGCACCCTGGACCTGTGCTTCCCTCGCAGCCCAGCTTCTTCAGGAAAAATGTCCGGTCTAATTAGCATATATACTTTTATTATTATAGATATTGAAGTATTCTATTACTGTAAGATTTCTGGCTAAATAAAAATATGCTTTTCATAAAGAAAAGGTTAAGGAGATCAAGCTAGAGCCTTGGCCGGTTTGGCTCTGTGGGTTAGAGCGTCTGCCCACCAACCAAAGGGTCAAGGCTTCAATTCCAAGTCAAGAGCACATACCTGGGTTGCAGGCTCAATCCTGCTCAGGTTGAGGTGTGTGCAAGAAGCAACTGATGGATGTCTCTCTTTCTCACCTCAATGTTTCTCCCTCTCTCTCTTTCCCTCCCTCTTTCTAAAATAAAATCAATACTCAGGTGAGGATTAACAACAACAAAAAAGAGTATCAAGCCAGAGAAAAAAAGAAATGGAGAGGTCTTGCATCTTAATGCTTACCATTAAAAGATGGGGAATTACAGGAAAAGCAGGCAGAAACAGTGTGATGCAAGGTACTCACAGGATCTACAGTTGGAAGATTGGAAAGTCTCCTCCTTTTCCTGCTTGGGCCTGGTGTAGACACAGAATGGTGGCTGTCCTCAAAATCCCCGCTGACACTACTGGAAGGGGAGGTCGCTCTTCTTCTTTTGGAACCCATGGAATCCAACTTCTTCTATAAGAAATAATTAGCTATGTTCTTATGTTTAAATTTAGACTGCCACCAAGCCCTCAGCTGGCCTCTGGTATCAAGCTTCTGGTTCACCCAGGAAGCTATTTTAACTGTGGCAAAAAAATCTGTCTAACCAGAAGGTTTTCCATGGAAGTCCTATACCTTGTTGCTTTAGTCCCTTCATGTACCAGACTGCTACTTTCAGTTTGGGTGGGACAAATTCAGCGAAAGTGTACTCATTTGTAGATCACCAATGACTAAATGACTAAAACCAATTCTGGCTCCAAAATTACTCTGGACTGGAATTTGAAAACCCACATGCAGCGGTACAACAGTGTACTGCAGGTGCTGATCTCAGCCCGTGGGGCAGCCAGGAGGCCTTGGGGACTGAGGACCCACGGCAGTCCTCTGCAGTCAGCAGCCTCCTCGTTCTTCTGCACTGTGTCCTACAACTACGGTCATTTCTCAGGTGGGCTATGAGATGAAGAAGAATAGGAAGTTGTGCCTGAGGCAAATAAGTGCAAAAAATTAGGGGGACAGAGGACAATTAACCTTCTAGCATTTTAGATACACCCTAAAATTAACACAGAAAATTACTTTTCTCCATATTGAAGGACTCACAAGAAATACTCCTAGAAAACACATGACTTGTCATATCTATGCCAAATTAGCAAAGCCAAGCTTTGAAACTTTTCTGTCAATCCAGACTAATCTCCTTTTCAGTTACGTGAGGTACTCTATCTCCGCAAATTTTGAAATCACAGCTTTAAGTTTCGGTAGATGATCTGGAAGAACACCTTAGAGGTGAGTGTTTTAGGTCCTGTTTGGCCTTTCACAAAGGCATAAATGTGTCCTCAGTTTCAGGCAGGCTGTTAAGTAACTTATCTTAATACAACTTTACAAATATACAGATGTGACTACCTAACACAAGAAATGTAATCACTGAAATGATCTGCTACATCTGGAGAGGAAGGGTGTCTATGGGAAGGTCTTACAATGCTTAAACAATTTAACAACATTATCAAATAGTATGTTGTGATTTCAAAGGTCTTTCTCTAAAACTAAGAAAAAACAAAAAACACTTAATCCATTTCACTCATCAACATTCCATTTCAGGAAACTAAGATACAACAGCTAGAAGAATGGGTTGCCAGTGATATGGAGAGAAAAATGGGGGCTTCTCCAGGGAATGAAAGCAGGAACAAAACAAAACAATAAATAAGGATCCTTGTAAGCACCTAAGAAATAAGAAGTTTCCTTTCTATTCCTCCAACTATCCACGTGGTATTTGAAAACAGAGCCCACCATCAGGTGTTTATTCTCAAGGCTTTGGTTTGTTACACAGTGCATTAGTTTGCAACTGGCTACAACCGGCTACAAGCTCAGAGGGCTTAGGCCAAAGATAGGCAAGTTTTGTTAATTTTTGTTTGCTTTATAAAAGGCTGATAAACTATCCTCAATCATTAAGATGAAGAAAGGAAGGACCAACCCTTTGCAAACAAATCTATGACAAGGACACAAGTGAATTTGATAAACACGAGGAGGGGCTCTTTATGAAAAGGGCAACAAATTTTAAGGAAGGTGGAAGGGAAAAGGCAAGGAAGGACAGAAAAGGTAAAGGATGTAGATGATCGGTAATTTACCAGCTTTACCAGAGCACAACCAGCGCCTCGAAAAGCCAGTCTCCTCATTATGTCTGAAGGCCAAGGGAAGCCAGTGGGAGAAGGCAGGGCTTTAAAAGTGCCGATTCAGTGTGAATATATTCAAAACTGAAAGAGAATAAGAAAGAGAAAGGGGAGGGGGGGGAGTCAGAAGAGTAAAAATGGGTACGAATAGATAGAAAACATTCAAGTAGAACTGCTAAGGAAAGATAAGAGAACTGGAGAAAATAGACATATCAGTTTTCTTGTGCCAACGAAACTAACTGCCACAAAGGCTCAGGCATTAAAAGTACCTGGCTTTTCTTCCATTTTAAAACCAAAGGCTTTTCATGTGCTTAAAGACGTCTCCCTGAGGTTCCCCAGCCTTTACTCACATGGGATGATTGTCAATTCCAGGAATGAAGCATACCTACCCACATGCCGCCTAGTCAATGAGAGCAGAGTTCAATCAGAGAGTTAGAATGGACAGTGAACACATGTGGAAGGCTCACGTGTGACACGAAGTGTTGGCAAGCTAAAGTCAAGAATGGCTCAATTGAGCAAAGAGTATGGAAAACTCCTCTTCCCTTCAGCATTTCTTTCCAAAGTCCTATCAGCATTGGGAAAACACCACATACAAGTTTAAAAAGGCTAAGGAAAAAAAAAAAGCCTTCAATCATTTTGGCAGGTCAAAATTATTTTTACAAATAATCTACTGACAATTAAATGACAAAAAAATATAAATCATCGGGGTCTGTTTGTATATAGTTTAGACTATTCAATATCCAAAATTCCTTGAATCGTTCATTTACTTTGATGAGAAAAAGATGCAACGTAACAATAACTTTTGAATATTTTCTTATCCAAAGGACATATTTTAAAATGTGCTTTGGAAGTTTGGCAGGGAAAGTAATGTGGCCAGGTGGGTGGGAGGAGCAACAAGATCTGAGCTCAGCAGACAGACACCCAGTTTTTCCACTTCTAAGTCTCTGTTGCTTGAGTCACAACCTCTCAGATCTGTTTCTTCATTTCTAAAATGAGAACAGTAAAATGTACAGATCTCGCTTGGATTGCTGTGACAGTGAAATGTTGGTGAAATCACTTTGAAATTTCAAAGCACAACAAAAATGTTAAGTTTCAACTCTAGAACTGCATGCTCCCTGGGCACAGAAACAGAATTTTATAGCCTTGGCTTATCAAATAATACTTAATAATTTGGGAGATCAATTTATGTTTTTAATGAACGTATTAAAAAAGATCACTTAAATAAGACTTTTTAAAAAAAGTGTGTGTAATTTAAAAAGCTTGTGGGCATTCTTTCAGCAATTATTTTTCCATGAAAAGCAAAGTAGATTCCAAAGCTGAATTACAAGTTCTAAATTGGCATTAATTATGTTGACATGTACAAAGGCCTGAAAACCAAAGATTAATTATAGTAAAGAATAACTTTGAAACTGGGAAAATATTTACTCAATATAGCCAACTAGGATATTTTAAAGGTCAATAAGTTTTTAGTACTCTTCTCTTGTAATACAAGCTACAACAAAAATTGTGGAAAACATGATTCTAAGAGGAAAAAAATCACTTATAATCCTATTTCCTAGAGAAAAACCACCCTTAACATTGGCTTTCACAACTTTCAGTATTTATTGTACAATTTTTTTTTTCTTAAACAAAAGTTTCAACAAAAACCACATGCATTATTTTGAAGCCCATGTTGAAACTTAAGGAAGATTCTTCCAAGTCATGTTTAATGGCTTGATAACTAACATCTAGACATCCCATTATTTTCCAATTTGGATAGAATATTAATATTTGAGGTATTCTGGACATTCCAAAGCCAAAGATTGTGGTCCAAGACCCCTTCAATTTAACCACATACATTTATTACTATTTTCATTTGAAGCACTTCTTCAAAAAATACTTCCCAATCTTCATTCAAATCTTAAAATATGAGTAATCTGTTAGCAAGTAATAAAGCAAAAAAATATACTGCTCTTACATTTGTATTGCGTTCAGTTTGCTTCTGAATGGTATTTGGGAAAAAGTGCACTTCTAAATGGCAGGGGGAAAAAGTGCACTTCTAAATGGTAGGGGGGAAAACCTAAAAATCGTTTTGAGGAGACCTAGTTTTAAATAAGCTAACGAAATACTTTATTCCAACATATGCTTCTCTGGTTATAATGTCTACATCCACTACACTGTGTAGTTTCACAGGATTCTTCCCTTTTGAGTAGTAACCAGTCCCTACCCTGTGAGAACGAAACTAAACTTCTCTTTCAGTTGAAAAACTTTAAGAGATAAGAAAATTAAAACACAGAAATGAACAGTTTAAAAAATCTCGGTTCTTTGGGGTGCTGCAAATAAGAAACTTCAATATCTGACGTCTACTATAAATACAAGTCCCATTGAGGAAAAGAATCAGTCTGAAGTCATCTGGAAAGTATAAGAGTTTGTATCGGAACCGTCAAGGGAAAAAAAAAAAAAAAAAAAAAGGCCCAGACCTGTTTCCCGACCTGTCACCGGTCCGGGGGGGGGTGGGGAGGGGGGGCTAGGGGAACGCTGACAGCTTTGGAGGTGTTCGCGACGAGCACCTGGCCGGCTGCCGGCGGGAAAGGGGGGCGCGGGAGCTTCCGGGCCGCCGCCCTTTGTCCGGGCCGACAGGTGCCGCCGGGCGGCCAGGCCGGTCCCGAAGCCGCCGCCGCCGCGCCCCGCCCCGCGCCCCGGGCCGGACCGGCGCGTCTCCTCCGCGGGGCGGAGCCTCCGCCGCGGCTCCCGCCCGCCCGGCCGCCCGCCCGGGCCCACACAAAGGCCCGAGAGCCGGCCGAAGAGGGGCGGCCCCGCCTGCCCCAGGCCCGGCCTTACCCAGCCGCTCCGCCGCCTGCAGCCTCGGGTGCGGTCCCCGACCGCCGCGCTCCGCCCCGTGGCCGCCACGGCTGCTGCTATTGCTCCTTCGGCCGCGACCGCTGCCGTCGCTCCTCACCCGCCGCCCTCACCGCCCTCACCCCTCCCCGTGCTGCTGCAAAACCATTCTCGGGCCGCCAAGTGATGCCAGCTCTGTACGACACGGCGTGCTCGCGCGCGAGGCCGCCGGCGACGTGCTTTACGGCGGCAGCGTGAGTGCGCGCCGCGCGCCAGAGGCCTCAGATCCCACGTGGTGGCGGAGAAGGCCGGTTGGAACTGCTGCCCTCGCCGCCGCTGCAGCTTCCGTCTCCAGAATGAAGCGACCGAGTGAGTGTTGTCCCGGGGCGGGTGGAGGGGCCACTGTTTCTGATGATTGATGACCCCGCAGGGTGCTTGCTATTCGGAAGCTTGGTGTCGGTAGGAATTGGGCCTGCGTGTGTGACATAAGCCATTGTTCTGGGCCCGCGTGGAACGGGAGATGGAAGGCTCGTGTTAATCTCAGGCCTAAAGTTCAGGAGGAGATCTGGGCAATGAAAGTCGGCATCAGGCCAGAGTCTCGTGAGGAAACAGTCTGAGCCAGGATTATGGCCGCTTTTTTCTTTGTGCGACTGCGTTCAGTCCCATCCCAGTGAGGTCTGAGAGTCGTCTCTCAAACCCACTTATTGCGCCTATTTTGTGATTCTTGATGGACAAGAAGTGGTTGGCTCGTCTTGGGTCTCCTACTTTCCTGAGTACAATCCCAATCTGATACAGGACGAGTGGGAGAGGGGAAGTTGGACTCTACTCTCGATCTATTAGTCAAATTCTCCGGGATTTAAGTGGCAAATGTATTTTTTAAAAAATATATTTTATTGACTTTTTAGAGAGGAAGGGAGAGAGAGAGCTAAAAACATCGATGAGAGAGAGTCGTCGATCAGCAGCCTCTTGCACGTCCCCCACTGGGGATGTGCCCACAACCAAAGCACATGCCCCTAACCAGAATCGAACCCGGGACCCCTCAGTCCACATGCCGACACTCTATCCACTGAGCCAAACCGGTTTCAGCGACAAATGTATTTTTATTATGTGCTTCTCATGATTTGAGAGCTTATTACTTTACACAAAAAGGATCCTGACCCCAGAGCTCAATCACCAAGAATTAAACAAACTGATCATTTGTGTGTAATCTCTTTTGTGATGTGTTTCTTTGTAGAATTAAAGAAAGCAAGTAAACGCATGACCTGCCATAAGCGATATAAAATCCAAAAAAAGGTAAGAGTTGTGCTTGGGGGGGCTATGCCAAATACGACGCTAAGCTGATTTCTGCCCCATCTCCTCCAGGAGAAAGTGTAAGTTACTATGATTCATCTCAGGAAATGGAGGTTGGCACTGTTGGCATACTAACCATGGCACAAGCTTTTTTTCTAATTAATTGATCTTAGAAAGAGGAAGAGAGAAACATCAGTTTGTTATTGTTTGTTTATGCCTTTGTTGATTCTTGTGTGTCACCCGACCAAGGATCCAATAAGCAACCTTGGCATATCCAGACAACACCCTAACCAATGGAGATACCGGGCAGCACAACCTCTTAGGCATCAGAGCTTTGGGAAAGTGCAGTAATTCAGCGATAAGTCTGTAAACTTCGTTCAACATGTTAACAACCTTTACAAAAAAGAACCTCCCAGTGACATTTTCTTAAATATGTTGTGTAGGGCATTAGTCGCCAACCTTTAAGACCTCGCAGACCACCAGTGGGCGACAGCTGGTGTAGGGTATTTAAAGCTTATTAGAGGAAGAGAGAGAAAAAAATAAATGTGAGCATTTCATCAGCTGTCACCTGCATGCTCCCTACTGGGCATGGGCCCTGACCAGGAATCGAACTGGTGACCTTTTGGTGCATGGGAGGATGCTCATTCAACTGAACCACATCAGCCAGGGCCCAGTGACATTTTCTTGCTGTTTTATACATAAACTAGGAGCCTTGCACACAAACCATGAGCCAGTAATTTGCTGCCCCGCCCTCCCCATGTCTTGCTCTTGCTGCCCTGCACCCTCCTGTAGCTCTCAGTTGCTTGTAGCTCACTGTCCCATCATCCTGCTGATCCGTGCTCCAGTTGTTAACGCTTCACGGAGTAACGACCATTTGCTTATTACATTTTTATTATATAGGATAGGCAACTCTGTATCATTACAATTAAAGTTCTAGTTTTCTCAGTCATTTTACAGGTAAACTAAACTGGCTAGATTAATTTTCACAATAATTCTGTTTAGTATTTTTGTAAACTGATGTTTGTTTTTTTTATCATGTTAGGTTCGAGAGCACCATCGAAAATTGAGGAAGGAGGCTAAGAAACGGGGTCACAAGAAACCTAGGAAAGACCCAGGAGTTCCCAACAGTGCTCCCTTCAAGGAGGCTCTTCTTCGGGAAGCCGAGCTGAGGAAACAACAGGTAAGTTATTTTAGCTGAAATTCTCAACAAGTAATGTGTATTTTTTATTTTTGAAGTAAAGTAATACAACCATGTCATGTTGGCTCACCCATTTCTCTTATGGCTTGGGCACAGCTTGAAGAACTGAAACAGCAGCAGAAACTTGACAGGCAGAAGGAACAGGAAAAGAAAAGGAAATTTGAAGCTAGCTTTGGAGCTGAGCCATCTGACGTGGATCCTGTGAAGGAGGTATGATCAAATCTCTGAAAGAGAGTTCTGACGTAGAAGAAAAAGCACATAAACAGGAGCTGCTGTGCCTCTTGGGAAGAAAAGGGTTGAGTTCAGATGCTGTATTACCTGTTTAAATGTCAACTGCAATGCCCCTAATCGGCCAATGCCCCTAATCGGCCACGGAAAATACAGAAACCAGTTACAACTGCTGAATTTCTAATTTTGTATCCTTTTTCCTTCATTTTTGTCCTTTAGGAATTTGTCCAACACAAAGCTAAGAAAGCAAAGCTGGCTAAACAGCATCCAAAGAAGTTGTATTGTCAGGAACTTAAAAAGGTACTTTAGGTCTTTCTAAAAATGGTATTGAGGTTTAAAAGGCTATGGTCTCATTTTTTTCTGACACCAACTTTGTAAAGATGAACTAGAGTTCACTTGAGCTGAAAGAAGGCATTCACTAGAGCCGAAGCAAGTTGGTTTATCTTATTTAGGTCCTTTCTGTTATGTTTAGCTGATGAAAACATCCTTGTGGTTTTAAATTTTTGCACAGGAACAATTCCCTATAAATATGATTTACAAAAGTGATACTTTGTGTTAAAATAGCATATCGACACAGTGGTTTTTAAAACTGCAAAATACCTTAAAATGAGTGCTTTGTAGGAAATCAAAGGAGTGTCTTGGTATAGCTACTCCCCAGCATGACCATCCACAACATCTGTTTTCTCAAGCTTACTCGCCTGTGAATAGAGCTTGACCATGCTTCTCAGCAACTCTTGGCAAGGCCACAAAAACTTACCTAAAGACCTAAATCATTATGGGGAGATGCTATGTTCAGACAGGGTGTATTTCCATTTTAGAGGTGAGAGGCTGTTGAGCACACCTGTGTTACCTTTCCTGTGAGAAATGATGAGCGTGAACATTCTTCATGCCAAAGTGAAGAAATGAGATCCAACTCTGAGCTCATGCTGTTGCAAAGTGGACAGGGCCAGTATATATACTTGTGTGTAGAACTTCCCTGATAGTTTCTACCTTACCAGGTGATTGAAGCCTCAGATGTTGTGCTGGAAGTGTTGGATGCCAGAGATCCTCTTGGTTGCAGGTGTCCCCAGGTGGAAAGTGCCCTTCTCCAGGGTGGACAGAAAAGGCTGGTACTTGTATTAAATAAATCAGGTGAGCAAAAGGAATGCCCTGTGTTTCATGTGCACGAGTGAGGTGTGAGGAAAACATCTGAACAGTCTGACTTTCCTTGAAGACTGATAAGATCCAACTCTGACCTCATTTGCTCTCTTATTGCCAAAGACCAGTGTTGGGCAGAGGGGTGGTGTTTTCTACAAATTATTTGACTGGCTTCTGCTGGTTTGATTTTGTTGTTACTGAATACTTAGAACTTTGTCTTAAGAGTATAAACTTCTGTACTCACCTTACTATGTAAATAGGAAGTGATGGCTCTGTGTCAGGTTCTCTACACCCGCAGTGTTGATATGTGACAATATTTAGATGAAATCCATAGTAAACTATGTCTGGGTTTGAGCAGCAGGAACAGGAAAACCTAGAATAGAGACCTGTGAAACAGAATAATAATGGGATCTACAGTTACTGTGTGGTCCATAAATTGGGGAATAAAGTCCTAAGGTTAAGGTATAATTTATAGGTTAGCTTAATCTTGAGAGGTACAGTGCAGAAGAAAATTGAAGAAATACAGAGTTATACATACTGAACTATTAAGATAAAGACAGTCTGGTAGAGAGCTTATCCTCTCCCCAACTCCCATTTAAATCCTCTGGAAAAAAACACACGAAAACTAGGAAAAGGCAAACCAGGGTGATATCCATAGTTTATCAGATTTGCAAATTCATCTCAATTGAATGACCAAATTGGAACTTGTGTGTTTTATTTCCAATCTAATCCCTACCAGATTTAGTACCAAGGGAAAATTTGGAGAATTGGGTAAATTATTTGAAGAAGGAGTTGCCTACAGTCGTGTTCAGAGCCTCAACAAATGTGAAGTGCAAAAGAAAGATAACCAAGGTACTCTTTACTGTCATTGGTGGGAAGTATGCTCCTTTCAGATTTTGGATGGTTGAAATATGATGAGTATATAAGGTCTTGATTTAAATAATGAGGACATATAAGATCCAACTCTGATTTCATCCAGAGAGAATCTGAAAGGCAGTTTAATGGCTGGTCTTTGGAGCCAGGTTTTGGAGTTTTATATGGTAGGTTGTCAGAAGCAGTTAAACTTAATTGTTTGCAATTTTAAGGTGAAGGAAAGGAGGAACATTCCATTCAAAACTGAAACCTGTATTGGGAAAGAAGGCCTTTGGAAACTTCTTAAAGATTTTCAAGAGATTTATGGCAAAGCTATTCAGGTTGGAGTAATTGGTGAGTCATTAGCTGCCAAGAATTTTTCTGTAAAGGGTGTATGGGGTCTTTTTAAATAAAGGACTTGTTTAAACACTAGCTTGTTGCCCACCTTACCACACATACACTGCAAACACAATTTTTTGTGTAGTTGCTGCCTAATTAATTTTTCCCCCTAACTGGGCACTGTAGGACGTTTGCTTTTTAAAGCTCTGCTTGTATTTGAATGAATCATTTTCTGCCCTCTCGTTACTTATGCAAGAAAGGATGATGCTAAGATTGGTCTTAGTGTTAAAGTGAAGACACTCAGATCCAACTCTGATCTTGCTCTAAACATCAAGCAAGCATAAAACAATGGGGAGTTATAATTGCCAACACAATGACTTTTAACCTGTAGATTTGCCATTTGTAGGTTTCCCAAATGTGGGGAAAAGCAGCCTCATCAACTGCTTAAAACAAGAACAGATATGTAATGTTGGTGTATCCATGGGACTTACAAGGTAAACAGAGTTGTTTCATAATTGTAATATTTCATTATAGATGAGTAAATATAATTTTGTTTTGGGTATCTTAAGGAAGACAATTTTTCATCCTTTTAGAGGTGAAAGGAAGAGGGAAAGCCAGTGCTAGGCTTAGGGAAGAATTGAAATGGAATAGCTGCCTATGATCTGGTTTGAGAGACAAATAAGCAAATGGATTCAGAGTGGGAAAGGGCCCTCAGAGGGGGTGGTTCTTTAACCTGGTCTTGAAGCAAATGTGTATTTATGGCCGAGGAAGCAGCATGTGTTCAGGTCAATATCAAGCTATCGCATGTAGTCTCTCTTTGGCAGGGGAGCAGTATGGCTTATTTAGATACACATGAAGCAAATGATGATAAACTGGATCTGACAGACAGTGCTGAGTTTGTTCAATCCAACCCTGAGCTTCGTGTTCTATCTGTAGTCCTTCGGGTAAAGTGGCATCCTCATCAATTACCACATCTTTTCCAGGAGCATGCAGGTTGTCCCCCTGGACAAACAGATTACAATCATAGATAGTCCAAGTCTCATTGTGTCTCCAGTTAACTCTCCCGCCACACTTGCTCTGAGAAGTCCAGCAAGTATCGAAGAACTAAGACCAGTGGAGGCTGCCAGTGCCATCCTGTCCCAGGCTGACACTCGACAGGTAGAAGAACCCTTCCCTTGAGCTCCATTCTCCATGCACATTTTACATTGAAAATTTTGTTTTTTTAATAACCGCACTATATCAGGCAGATGACAGTTTGTTTTTCCTTTAAGGTAGTACTGAAATTCACTGTCCCAGACTTCAAGAGCCCTTCAGAGTTTTTTGCTTCGCTTGCTCAGAGAAGAGGACTGCACCAAAAAGGTGGAAGCCCAAATGTAGAAGGTGCTGCCAAACTGTTGTGGTCTCAGTGTACAAGGTAAGGCTTCTTTTTAGGCATTTGATGACCACATGGAATAAAGGAACTGGTTTTTGACAAGGCTTGTTTTTAATACCAGTGGCTCTTTAGGCTTCTATTGCCATCCCCCTCCATCCTGGACTCTTTCTCCACATTTTAATGAAAATATCGTGACAGACATGAAATTGGGCTTGAATCTGGAGGAACTAGAAAAGAACAATGCTCACAGCATACAAGGTAAGCAAACAATATATTGTTTTGTTTTAATACGTTTTGTTTTCAGAGAGGGGGAGGGAGAACCAGTGATCAGCTGCTTCCTGCATGCCCCCTACTGGGGATCAAGCCTGAAACCTAGGCATGTGCCCAACTGGAATTAATAAACCCAGGATGCTTTAGTCTGCAGGCCAATGCTCTATCCACTGAGCCAAACCTGCTAGGGCGGCAAGGTTTGGGTTTAACTGCTCTTTTTACCAGCTGAAAGGCCAATAAATGTCTCATCTGTTAACATGAGCTGTGTTCCTTTACTAGCCATCAGGAGCCCTCCTTTAGCCAGTAGCATCCTTTTCCAGTCTTCGGGTATGACAAATGGAATAACAGAGGAAAAGGACATAGTTGAAGAATTGCCAAAACAGAAAACAAGAAAGCAGGAAGAGAGGGAGGACTTGGAAGCCATCAACAGTGACCAGGAAAGTGTTGATGAAGAAGCTGATGTAAGTATGTTGTCCATGAGTTTAAGCTGAATTAAGTTTTCCAATATTATAATGTACAATAAATGAGAAGGGGCTAAAGGTAGAAATTAAGTATTTCATAATAGATTATAACAAAGCCCCAGTTTAGGTGTTCAAGTCTTCCAGCCATTAGTCTGTTTTGTTGATTTCATTAGAGACTTTTTCCAGGTTTGTAATTACTTTGATTAATAAGCACAGTGGCTACTAATACTGCCTCTCTTTGTCCCACAGGGAAGTGGCTCAAACATGTCCCCTGTTAAAGAGACCTTGACAGGTGAGTTAGTAGGGGGCGGAAGGGCCTTTTAACAAATCCGTTAAAATTGCTTTTACTTTAAAAAAAAAAAAAAAATAACTAACTCCTCTTCTCTAATATAGATGAACAGTCTGCCTCTAATATAGATGAACAGTCTGCACAGTCTCATGTCTTGGATAGGAAGTCTGAAGAGAAAGAAGATGCCTATGACTTCAGTACGGACTATGTATAATGTAACTTGGACCTCTTAGGGGTTACTTGTTTTTACTTTGAACAAGCTGTTCTATGTGTATGATGTACCAGTTTGTTTCTGGTATGACAAGCTGTGTAAATTTTGTAAATATGTATCATAATAGTCATTTTTAAAAATCAGGCAATGTAGAAAGTGTCTGAATTCCATAAAAAGACAATTCATCTCTTGCATACTGAATGGGTAGAATTATTTACCTGGATGCAAAAAGTCAGATACCTACTGAAAAATGTAGGTTTCACTTTATTTATAGATCAGGCCACAGGTTACAAATGTAAAACCAAGCAGCACGCAGTGTTTAACTAGCTGTGCCAGCTATTAGCAGTCCATTCACCTCTGGTTATTCAGTACTGCAAACACTTGGTAAGGCAGATGGAGTCGAAATGTTCCTTTTCCAGGGTTGCCACAATTACTTCCCACACATACTATCTTCCAGGATTTCCTGAGAAATGCTTATAGCATAAAGTATATTTTACTTTGTGTTTGAGATCTCTGTATGTCTTCTGATAAGGCTGAATTTGCCTGTTGGGTCAGGAATGTACCATTTTTCCCAGACATCAGTATATGAAGCAGTTCTTCCCCATGGCTTAAAGTGCCCATTCCAATGCAGTAATTTGGCAGCTTTTACAAACTGGGGCGAGTATCGTTTTCCAGCACTGGAGCCTTGTTGAGAGAGAAAGCCAAATGATTGTACTGGTCAGACATGACAATGCCACATCAAACTGGAGAAAACTTAAAAGGAAACAATATATCCCATCCCTGAGGGTAGTCCTTTAGATACTTAATTCCTTACTAGCTTAGGCCTTTTGTTAATTCTGCTTACCAAGGTGGCGCACGTTCCACATGGGGTCGATGGTAGAGTGCTGTTGATAAAATACGATCAACAGAGGAGGTGTTGTAATGCTGCCAGCCAGTGTCCTGCTGTACAGTCCCTCTCTTGGGACAGATAAATGGGAGCTGTTTAGTGAAGAATCATGACCAATTCCTGTTGAAATACAGCTAGGGCAGTTTTATACTTACTCTGCATTGAGTTTCATCCATTTTTCCAGCTGGTTGGTTATATTCTGTCTTTTCCATTCTGTCAAGTTTGCAACAAAAACTCCAGGATTAAATGAGCAGGTGCTGGCTTTCATGGAAAGCTTACGGATTCTTTCCTTTTTATAGTCAAGATATCCAATGTAATTGTACTAAAAACAAATGGGATATATAGTGTGTTCACTGCTTCAAACAGTAAATATATACAGCCATGCACTGCTTAATGATTTAGATATGTCCCGAGAAGTACTTGGTTGGGTGAAATCATTGTGTGAACATTGATAGCATGCATTTAACCCAAACCTAGATGAAGTGGCCTTTACACCTAGGCTGTGCATATAGCCTCATGCTCCCAGGCCTAAGCCTGTAGAGCATGTTACTATACAAAACAACACAAGATTAAATCAAGCACAAGAAGAAATGATCCAGTTGGCCTGGCTGGTGTGGCTCAGTTGGTTGGGTGTCAACTCCAACTCCTAAATGTTGTTTAATTTTGGGTCAGGATTACAGGCTCAATCCCCAGTAAGGGCTATGCAGGAGGCAGCCTATCAATGTTCCACTCTTACATTGATGTTTCCTCCCTTCTCCGAAAATTAAAAATGACACAGTAAACAGGAGATGTATGAGACTATTGCAGGTGTAATGGCATAGTATCTCACAGCAAATCTTTTTATAGAAAGGAAGGAAGAGAAACATAGATTGGCTGCCTCCTGCATACTTCCTACTGGGGATAGAATCCAAAACCTGGAATCAAACCTGCAACCTTTCAGTGCACAGGACAATGTCCAACCAACTAAGTCACACTGGCCAAGGCAGCAAACATTTTTATTCATAGAACAAGTATAAGTATATAGTAAGTACATAAATCAGTAGTAAAGTTGTTTATTACCAAGTATTATGTATTGTTCACGATTGTGCTATACTTACAATGTGCATAGTAGGTTTATCAGCATCACCGCAAACACATAATACATTGTGCTTTACATTATGACAACTACAAGCTCACTAGGCAATAGGAATTTTTCCATTATAATCTTATTGGGACCACTGTTGGATATGTGAAACAGTTATGCAGAACGTGGCTATAATTTGACAGCCAGTAAATACAATAGAAGAGTTGTGTATTTAAAACCTATGACTTCTTAGAGAATTACGAAGGGGTCTACAAATAAATAAGTGACATTTGTGATTCTAAGTTAGGCACAATAGGAAATTAGAAACAAGTCACTTGTTCAAGAAGAATAACCTATCTATAGAAAAACAGGCTTGAGTTTTGGGATGGAATAATTGGGGAATATAAAATGCAGCAACAAGAATTCCCAGCCGAAGCCGGTTTCGCTCGGTGGAGCGTCGGTCTGCGGACTGAAAGGTCCCAGGTTTGATTCCAGTCAAGGGCATGTGCATTGGTTGTGGGCACATCCCCAGTGTGTGTGTGGGGGGGCACATCCCCAGTGTGTGTGGGGGGGAGGGGGGCGTGCAAGAGGCAACTGGTCGATGTTTCTCTCTCATTGACGTTTCTAGCTATCTCTCCCCTTCCTCCTCTCTGTGAAATATCAATAAAAATATATTTTTAAAAAAAAAGTTCCCAGATTTTGCTGCCTCTCCCCATTACCTGCTTCGTAGGGAAGGGAGTGCCTACAAGGGTTCCAATGAGCACTTTACCTGGTTCCCTGCTCCGCGAATGACAGCTTTAGTAGAGGCTGAATCACAATCTTCTGAAAATGCAGCTGCATGTCCTGGCTTCAGTGGTGTATTGTACAGTGCAAAGATATCACCTGAAGTAGATAAGATATAGATTATTACTAATTTTCTCAAGATAACCTATTCTTTCCAATACTTAAGAGGATGATCTTAATAAGGATACTATATATAAGACAACAACTACAGACAGAATAGCACTAATGAGTGAAACATCCTTTAGTACCTTGCACAATCACATCATCATCCATGTATATAGCCTTCTTTGCGCTGGGAACTAGAATAGGCAAGTAGAACCTTGCAAAGGTTAACTGGGGAAGAAAAAGGAGAGGTTGGCATAGGACTCAACGAATGGCTGTATGCACATTTCATTTACTAGAATCTCCCAGAATGCTCTCGGTGCCCCTGACCAAGACAGCCAAAGGCCACTTAGAATCGCCCAGGCTTGGTCCCAGGAAATGACTTGCATCCATACACTCAATCATTTCCTAAGACTCTTAGACAAAGATGAATGGAACTCACTGGTTTTACGGATTCCCCTTGGTCCGGTTCCTCCTTTACTTTCCCTTCCAAAAGTTTAGTGTCAAAATTCACAATTTTGTACCTGATGCTTTTCAGAATACTGCTGCTGAGCCAAGACCTAATGAAAATGAAGTGCCAAAATTTCAGTTTTAAATAACCATGTCCCCAAACCACAGCCTTATCTTTTTGTGCCTTCAAAAGAGAAACCCTAGGGACCAATAGGTGCTTTCAACCTCTTCACTTCTCTGAGCCTCAATTTCCACATCTGAAGACTTCCCACCAAAGTCCCTCCCTGAGCCAAGATTCTCCACCAGGCTCACAATTTTTATCACTTCTGAAACTAAACTATTGTAGAAGAACTCCCTATGGAATTGAGAACATCCGATCACCACATGGATCAAATACATGGGTGAAGAAAATGAATCAAAGTGGGATGGCAGTAAAAGGTAATTATCAACAAAGCTGGTAATTAGCTAATCTACAGGCAGTGATTCACTGTAATGACTACATAATTCTTCCACCCTAGTCTAATGTACTGCCTGTGAGGAAAGTATTGCATCCTTTTCTTAGGTCCATTTCAATTCAGCACTTCGTGGACACAATGTTATCTGAAGTCTAAATGTTTTTCTGAGTTTTCAAAATCGAAAAATAACTTGCATGAAACATGGAGAAAGCTACAAGGACAGAAATGTTTTAGAACTTTGACAACTACTGTGTTTCCCCAAAAATAAGACATCCTACGAAAATAAGACCTAGCACATGGAAAGATAAGACATCCCCTGAAAATAAGACCTAGCACAACTTTGGGAGAAAAAATTAATATAAGACACTGTCTTATTTTTGGGGAGACAGGGTATTAACGTGTTATACCAGATGTTTCTTGGAATAAATCTTGGAACATTAATTCAAAGCATGGATGCAACTGTCACTCAGATTGGGTTTCTATTATTAATCACTACAATAATGAATAACCATTTACTGAGCGATTATGTACTAGGTATTTTTTTAATATTTTTTCTCATTTACTTGACACAATAATCCTCTAAGTGGAATATTTTCATCCCCTATTTAGAGATGAGGGTTTCAAAGGGTTAGGTAACGTTCCCCAATCACTCTGGGCCAGAATTTGTATCAGTGCCTGTGCTCACTTCACAATACCTTGCCATCGCTCCCACTTCCCTTCCTACTCTAGACCAGAAATACTCAGAGCATGTTTCATGAGATAAGAAACTTGTAACAGAATGTAAATCAACATATTACTTCCTGCATTGAGAAAATTACTAAAAAAATACCACTTGAGTTAACAGTATACATAGTGGCTCAGTTGATTTACATCTTAGTAAAAATTCTTTACATTGTTTCTGATATCATGGGGACATGCTTATGATATAATCACCTGGGAAAACTTGTCATGTGCAACTTCTATGTGGTATAATCTCAATTGTGTAGAGAAAATATATACTTATAAAGCATTCTCTAGAAGAATCACCAGGCAAACAGAGCTCACCGGAGATGGTCTGCTGTATGATTGAGCGTAACAATGTAGAAAATGACATTGGAGCGAGTGTTGTGCTGGATGCTGTTTATGGCTGCAATGGTCCCCCCGAGCCTATCTTCAGATGCAGCAATGACCACAGGAACCTCCTCTTGTCTCCCATCTACAGCATCATGGGGAGCATTTGGGATAAAGTCTATGGGCTGAAGCCCCACAATTCCTGAATCTGCAAAGAAAATATAAGAAAGGTCCTGTAATACAAACACAACCTCATGAGGCATTGACAAAGAGCACTAGACATGAAAACAGGTAAGGACTCTGATGCTTATTTACCTCATTCCCATTACAATGTGAATATACAGCCCAGAAATTATGTTTTCCTATATAGGTTTTTGGAAAAACAGAAGCAGCATTGAAAAACAAACACCCAGGTCAACAAAATTATACACAACTGATGGGAATAGAACAGAATTTTTCTAGCAATTTTTGGCAATTTGTACCAAGAGCCTTAAATAGGTACATGGCCTTTGACTCACAGTATGTAATTCCTTTTGCCTCTCAAGGACATAATCTGAGAGGTAATCAAAAGCCACGATTTTATTTACAATTGTGAAAACTTAGAAACAAAGTTTTTCACACTATGAATCATGACCCATAAGTAGGCATGAAATCAATTTAGAGGGTCATGATCAGAATTTGAATGGAAAACGGTTCCCGAATTGGAACAGTACATTGAATTAGAAAATATCAGAATGGGCCGAAACCGGTATGGCTCAGTGGATAGAGCGTCGGCCTGAGGACTGAAAGGTCCCAGGATCGATTCCGGTCAAGGGCATGTACGTTGGTTGTGGGCACATCCCCAGTAGGGGGTGTGCAAGAGGCAGCTGATTTGTATTTCTCTCTCATCGATGTTTCTAACTCTCTATCCCTCTCTCTTTCTCTCTATAAAAAAATCAATAAAATAATAAAAAGAAAATATCAGAATGGGAAAAAATATATATCAGAGTATATCCCACAAAGCAACTGCACATACTGTTTTGTTAACCTTTTTGCCTTTCATAATATATTTATTCATTTAACACTCGGTGCCTACTATGTGCCAGGCAATATCCAGGCATTGGGGTTATGGCCATGAATAAAAGACAAATCTAAATCTCTACCATCATGAAAGAAGGATAGACAATCAGCACACACACGTATATGTTTGTGCTATATGTAATTCTTATTGTGGGGTTGCCATAAAAAAATCAGCAAGTCAGCCTAGCTGGCTTTGCTCAGTGGATGGAGCGTTGGCCTATGGACTGAAGAGTCGTGGATTTGATTCTGGTCAAGGGCATATGACTGGATTGTGGGCTCGATCCCCAGTACTGGGTGTGTAGGAGGCAGCCGATCAATGATTCTCTCATCACTGATGTTTCTATCTCCCTCTCCCTTCCTCTCGGAAATCAATATTTTTTTTAAAAAGTTCTGATCACAAGAACAAAAATTATTTTTTTTAAAAATCAGAAAGTCATTGTACCAAAAGACTTTCCTATGGAAACAAATAAACTATGTGGTATTAAATTACATATGAACTCTGGTTGGTTTGGCTCAGTGGATAGAGTGTCAGTTGTGGACTGAAGGATCCCGGGTTCGATTCTGGTCAAGGGTCAGACCTCAGTTGCAGGCTCAATCCCTGGCCCTGGTTGCATTGTGTAGAGGAGGCAACCAATCTATCTCTCTCCCACTGATGTTTTTCTGTCTCTCATCCTCTCACTCTATCCTCAGGAGAGAATTAACCAAGATAATTAAAGAAAATAATAAAGTTACATATGAAGTTTCCACTGCCATGGTAACATACTTAGGATATAATCATGAGGAAAAACATGTCATATGCAAATTTATATATATTATAGTATAAATTCAACTATACAGAAAAAATGGGGGGGGGTGTCCTGGAAGGTACTAAGTTAAAATTTTAATAATAATTATCTCTAGGCATTGATCATTTAGTCAATGGATATTTTATTGACACCTCCTACATATCAGCTGTCACTTAGAGGCACAGGAGATAAAGCGGTAAACAAAATGCCCTCATGGAGCTTGAGTGCTATTTTCTTTTTTATAAAAGTTCCTATGAGAAGCAGGCATTACTTTACGTACATACAGGGGTGGGCAAAAGTAGGTTATAGTTCATATGGGAAATAATACAATATATACACACACACATATATATTCATATAAATACATACTCACTTATATACACACTGTTATAAGACATGCTGTCAGAACACTCAGGAAAGCTATTAGTTTTTTCTTGCTCTGGTCAACTATGGCATGTGGCAATCCAAAATTGATTTTTAACGAATACTCAAGCTTCAAACATGCCTCAATACCAAGGCAGAACAGTATAAACAACTAATTTTTAATATCTAGCAATGGAGTTATATAATAAAGTGATTTTTAAGATCAGTTTTGTTTTACTATTAGAGTCCTGCTGATACAGTTCACAGGTTATAGGAAAGTATCAGGAGAAGGGAGGTAACCAGACTGACTGACCTCTAGTGCAGTGGTTGCCAACTGGTGGTCTGCAGACTAGTGATCAGTGAGGTCCAAAAGGCTGGTGACCGCTGCTCTAGTGACACAGCTGGCATGAGACACCTAGGACACTCACTGGCCCACCTTCTGAGGCTGCTCCGCTGAAATGTGAGCCAACAGAAGCCACCCACAGAGGCTCCTTACTGACCTCTGATTTGGTAAAGCATCTTTTGTCAGATCAAACTCTTAGCAAACAACTGCACCGAAGAGGTGGGAAGGGAAGGCTACAGAGCACAGTGAGTGCCACCATGCCTTAACCCAGGGCCTTTAGTTTTTGTAAAGCTAAGAAAGGTTTCTTTTCCTTTCACCCATGATATAACTTAGGGTGTGGGACTCACTCCAGCTCCTCCACAGATGCCAAGGGTTCCCATACCTGAAACTTCATTCCTTAGCAAACTGCTCAGGCCAAGGAAATTATGGTGCAAAACCAGTAAGAAGAAAACAACAGCCAGGACCAGGATGATGATGTTTACTGAAACACAGAGGGAAAGCCTGCATTATATCTCTTTACCTTGTGATCAGGAATAAAAACATAACCTGTAGAAAGAGCATACCTTTACGGAATGTCATCTTCCTCTTCTGTCTTACATAAATATCAGTTATTAACCCTACAAAACAAAAAGAAGCCCCCAAATTCAGCAGGTACAGAAGAAAGGCCATCAAAATGCCTAAACACTTTTATTTAAACAGGAACAAGAATTGCATACCTTCTGCTAGGTATGCAACAGTTTCCAAGAACCCAATTTGGGATCTGAATTTTTATGGCAATCATAATAAAATATTTCCAAATAACTTGGAAAAATAAGGTAACCTTGTACATTATATATCTCAGATGAAAAAAGAAATTCTACCAAGAGGACTAGCTGGGGTCTAACCACTCTGGAAAGTATAGTTTCTCAGACAAAGCTCTAACATCTGCTTACTAGGACCCAACTTTCACCAAGCCTGGAGAAAACTATCTCACTCAAATTCAAATAAATCTCATCTCGTTAATGGTACAAAGGACAGTGATTTAGCTCAACACTGTCCAGCAACAGTCACAGGTGGTGTGTGAATTGAGAGGCACATGTAGTTGTGCTACCCTGTTTCCCCGAAAATAAGACAGTGTCTTATATTAATTTTTTTCTCCCAAAGTTGCGCTAGGTCTTATTTTCAGGGGATGTCTTATCTTTCTATGCACTAGGTCTTATTTTCGGAGGATATCTTATTTTTGGGGAAACATGGTATTACAGTTGGTTAGACACAAGAAAAACAATCCTAGTATTTGATGGCATGGCAGAAACCACTGCTCCTAACTCTTACACAGTTAACTGTTCGAAAAATATCAATTATTAAGGCGTATGTCTGAGTCTTAGTTCCTTGCCTGGTGCTATTCCTACTGATGGGTTTGTTGATTTGGGTTAGAAGGTACTCATTCTAAAAACAAAACTGCATGCAGACCCTGGAATGTGTACCAATGGCTTATATTTTTGTTATGAGTATACAGAAATATACAATTTGGCCGAAACCAGTTTGGCTCAATGGATAGAGCGTCGGCTTGGGGACTGAAAGGTCCCGGGTTCGATTCCGGTCAAGGGCATGTACCTTGGTTGCGAGCATATCCCCAGCAGGGGGTGTGCAAGAGGCAGCTGATCGATGATTCTCCCTCATGGATGTTTCTAACTCTCTATTTCTCTCCCTTCCTCTCTGTACAAAATCAATAAAATATATATTAAAAAAAAAAGAAATATACAATTTGATCAGTAATATTCAAAGTGAAAATTAATATTTTTTGTTTAGAAATTTTTAAATGTCCACATTCCCAACTTACTCACAAAACACATATGCACTCACACACGGCAGGACCCCAAAAAATATGGCAGTAGGGCAAAAGACTTCCTTTTTAAAAAAATCCTCACATAAGGATATGTTCTTACTGATTTCAGAAGAGAAAAAGGGAGGAGGAGAGAGAAGCAGATAAACACTGACCAGCTGCCTTCCAAACAAACCTGCATCCTGGGTATGTACCCTGACCAAGAATTGAACCTTTCAATATATATCAGTACAGGGGATAATGCTCCAACTGAGCCACTCTGGCCAGAGCAAGGCTTTTTTCTTTTTTAACTTGCTAGTTACCTGCATTAGTACTCCCATTCAGCAGCTGTGCTCATCTTTCTGCTTTCCCCCATTACTATGTACACGAAAAGCCATTCCACTGATGGCCTGTAACCTACCTTATAACTGCCTCCTTGGTGCAGCCTCGGCAAACTCTTTCTCTCTCTGCTGGATCACGCCCATCAGCATATTATCATGCTCCAGGATCTTCCACTTAAAAAGAAGAAAGCAAAAAAGAAACCACTCCTTCACCCCAGTTGACCCTCAAACCCATTTCTCTGCATCCCCTCACTGTAGCAGCTCGATGGGATGTAAAGTACCCAGCTCCACTTCCTCTTGCTCCCTTTACCCTTCTCCAACCAACTTCTATTCCTACCGCTCCATTCAAACTGGTCTTATCAAAGTCACCCAAGACCACGGTCATTTTTCTGTCCTCTTAACCTATCAGGGAAGTTTACTACCCACCTCCTGCTGCCCCCACATTATGAAATTTCATTTGTTTATTTCTTCTAGGAGAAAAGCGACCCCAATGAAAAGTGCTTATCCTCTCCATCTAAAATCACATCTGGCAAATGGTACGAGGCATGTAATACTTGCTGAATGATCGAGCTTATTCATCTAGGGCACATGTGTCAAACACAAGGCCCACGGGCCAAATCCGTCCCGCCAGGCCTTGCAATGTGGCCCGCACCGCGCTGTCATCACTGCACTCCGCTGCGTTTCCATCACAATGACAGTTTATGACTGTTCAGTAAACCATTCGGCCCGCGATTTAGGCTGGATTTTAGATTTTGGCCCCTTCTCTGATTGAGTTCGACACCCCTAATCTAGGGGCAGCAAGAGTGGGTCTCAGCTCAGAAAGGGAAATCAATCTTTTATGAGAATCATGAGAAAGGGCATGGATTCCCATGGAGATCTCTCTCAAGTGGAGCCTGACAGGCAATTTCCTCTTCCCGTCTTACCTGTACCATAAAGTCTCTACAACTGCCACCCTCTTAAGTTCATTTAAAGAGGGATAGCGCAGAGGAATATGTCTATTTCTACGTAAGACAAAAAAACCTTAAGCCATTTTCTCCCACCTCATCAGGCCAGGGCTTAGTTGGCTTTCAGGAGTAAGGGAGCCCCCAAACCCTAACTTCAGCTGCACCTCCCCTGAGTTCCCACACCTCCCCGGTCTCCCTCCCTCTGGGTAAAGGCTGCTGCCCTGAATTTCTGGGGAACGTGGCTGTCTCCCTGGGCACACTCTGGTGCTAGGAAGGCAAGGTGGTGGTCACAGCCACATCCTTGGCCCACTGCCTGGCACAACAAAGGACACCGTGAATGTTCGCTGACTGCATGCATGAGGGGCGGCGGCCACGCACCAACCTGCCCCGGGAGCGCCGAGAATCCCACAATCAGTGACCCTTCCCTTCCGTGCAGCATCGCACAGAGGCCGGAGGGCCCGCTGGGCGCACAGGCCCGGCCTCTGCAGAACGGTTTCTCTCTGAAAGTGGGAAGGGGCCTAGGCTTTTGAGACAGACCCTGGCCTTAAGAGAAGCAGAGAGAACCCCGCGCTGGTCTCTCCCGGGAGGGCCCGGTGCAGTCGGTGGAAGGCCAGCTTGGAGAATCTAGGGTGCGAGCTCTCTCCACGCCGGTGCAAAAGACAGCCAAGGGCCCGGCCTCCTCTCCGAAGGGATTTCCTTCTTCTAACCTGGGGTACTCCCTTCTAAATTCTAGGGGTCACAAGGGCCGCCTAGGGGTGCGGGGGATGTGACGCTCTACAGGTTCCCCTCGGGCCCAGAGAAAGACTCTGGGTTCGGGTAAGCAGCTACCCTGCGGACGCTCGCAGCCAACTTACCTGCAGCCGGAGGAGGAGCCCGGCCCGCCCCGCCCCGCCAGCTCAGCTCCACTGCAGGCCCGGCCCAGGCTCCGCCCGGCGCCTGCGTCACCGCCCTGCGGACCGAGGCTGCCCGCCCGCCGGCTCCGCGCCGCCCGCCGCTCCGAAGGCCCAAGCCCGCCCGCTGCGAGGGCGGCGAGAGTCCCGCTTGACAGGCGCCGCCGGGCAGCCCCGGCGCCGGGGTCCTCGCCACAGAAAGCCCGTTGCCATGGCGCCGGAGCGCGCGCCGGCGGCCGTTGAGCCTCAGAGGCGCAGCCCAAGACAGTGTGGGGAGCCGAGGCCGCGGTTCCCAGCGCCCAACGGCACCGACGGCGAACCGTTCCCCGGCGCGCAATGGCTCGTCGAGGCCGCCGCGGTCACCCCCTCAGCGGGCAGGGCGGCGGGGTCCCGGAAGCGCCTGGCGCCTAGCGATGGAGCGGGGCGGGGCCTCGGGTCGGTCGGAGACATCCGCTTCCGGGCCTGCGGCCATTGCTCTTCCCGGATCGACAGGCTCGCCTTGCCGTGCCCGGGACCACTCCCCAAGTTGTTCGGCACCTGAGGCGCGGCCGCCCTCGCCCCGCCGCCGGACGCCCTCGCCCCGCCGCCGGACGCCCTCGCCCCGCTGCCGGACGCCTCAGCCAGCCATGCTGGAGCACCTGAGCTCGCTGCCCATGCAGATGGTGAGGCCCGCCGCGGCCCCCGCCCCCTCGCTCGCGGCCCGCCGGTCTGACAGCTTCGGAGTCCGTGTGGGAGACCCGCCCGCTGCATCGCGGCTCCTGGCCCAAACTCCTACCTTATGCTCTTCACTTCCTTCCTCCGCGAGAATCCCCTCGCCCGTACTCCGTTAGGATGCTCCCGCTGCCCCGGGAAACCCCGCTTTTCTTCCTCGCCCAGGCCCTTGGGGACCCCCTGACGCTGGGTTGCCCGGTGCCAACGCCGTGAAACCAGGGCAGGGATTTGTATCTCTTCGGTGATGGAACGAATCCTGCTCTGCTTTCCTTCACCTTTAGGATTACAAGGGCCAGAAGCTAGCTGAACAGATGTTTCAGGGAATTATTCTTTTTTCAGCAGTAAGTATTGACTTAGCATGATCTTTTTTTTTTTTTTTTTTTCCTTCTTCTTACCCACCAGACTGACTATTCAATATACTTTGTCTCTAGATAGTTGGATTTATCTACGGGTACGTGACTGAACAGTTCGGATGGACTGTCTATATAGTTATGGCTGGATTTGTGTTTTCGTGTTTGGTAAGAAATCTGTGGGTGTTTGAATATTAGTGGCAACTTTGTGTTGTCTGAATTGGGTTGTTTTGGTTGGACCTATTAGTGAAAACCAGCACCAGCTTTTCCCTCATCCTTTTCCATCAATGTTACCCTTTGCTGCCACTTGAAAAGTAGAATGCCAAATAGTGTCGGATGAGGAAAGCTGCATAAAAAAGGATACACCTCATTTATTTTAGCAGCTGCTCCAAGCAATAATCTGAAAGTTAAAGCTAGCAGAAATTTTTATAAAATACTTTTAATTTTTTTTTAGCAGAAATTTTTATAAAATACTTTTAATTTTTTTTTAGGGGAGGGAAAGGGATAGAGAGAAACATCGATGAGACAGGAACATCATCAATCAGCTATACCCACACTAGGGATGAGCCCGCAACCCGGACATGTGCCCAGACCCAGAATCAAACCGGAAACCTCTTTCTGAGTCTTGGGTGTCGTTCACCCTCTGAGCCACACCAGCTGGGCCAAGTTTTTTTAAGATCTTCACACTGCTCCCTCCCCTCCCCTATGTGTGTAAACTGTGAAGCTTGCTTGCATCACTTAAAAGTATCTTGTGTGAGCATTGGCATGTTTTTCACATGAATATCAGTTTTGTTGTTGGTTTTACCTTTAGTGTAGGAGTCATTTGGGAACCAGGCATTATACGGAATGCTCTTTAATGGCTACTACTGATTCATTTTCTCTGTTCTGGCTCAGCTGACACTTCCTCCATGGCCCATTTATCGCCGGCACCCCCTCAAGTGGTTACCAGTTCAAGATTCAGGCACAGAAGACAAGAAACCAGGGGAAAGGAAAGTTAAAAGGCATGCTAAAAATAATTGATTGGGAGTTTACATGATTCAGCTTTATTATTGTACCTGCTTTTGTATCCTGTGAGATGAGCTAAATTTTCACACCCAAACAAGAGCTAAAAACCACCTATGCTACGGTACAACTGTTATATTTTTCTCTCTATATTTCACTTCTCAGTTGGGCTTTGACTAGTACATATTTTAGACCTCTTCGTAATCTTTCTCTGAAATGGAGAACAGAAAATACAAGTATGCAAACTTTCTTTCAGGTCTACAAAAGTAATACTTGCTTCATAAATGGTAGTACAACTTAATTATCAGAGTTTTATAAATCATTATTAAGCTGTTTGAATATTTTCAATTAAAACTCACAGTGCAAGTCTATGCCTAAAGAGTCTTTTATTCATTGTTCTGATAGTAAGATTACTAGTAAAAGCCAAAGTTAGAAGCTCATAGTTCTGAATGTCAGTAAGCACCTAATGAAAAAATTTACAAATGTAAATTTGTGATGTAGTAGTATTTTAGTACCACTAAAATAAGGCTGATGTTAAGCAGAAAACATTTTATTATTTTTTAAAATATATTTTATTGATTTTTTTTTTTTTTTTAGAGAGAGAGGAATAGAGAATTAGAAACATTGATGAGAGAGAAACATCGATCACCTGCCTCCTGCACACCCCCCACTGAGGACATGCCCGCAACTAACACACGTGCCCCTGACCAGAATCAAACCCGAGACCTTTCAGTCCGCAGGCTGATGCTCTACCCATTGAGCCAAACCGGTTTCTGCCATTTCATTATTCTTTACCTGAGGTGGGCCAGAGGGAAAAATCTATGAAGATATAAATTCCTTTTACATTTTCCAGAAGACTGAAAAGAAAATTTTCTAAAGATCTTATGTGAGATGGAGGGTTATTATAGATAATATTCCGTTTCTCAATACCAGGATATATGACTTCCAGACTGTGAGTTTAAAAAAAAAGGATCAAAGACCTTGATACAGCAAAAGTCAGGCAAGTTTTTTAAAAGGCAGTATAATAAATGTGGTTTAAAAGTTAGGAGCAGATTTTTTTCATTCTAAGAAAATAATATGTACAACTTTATATCAATAAGTTAGAAATCATAATCAATGACTTCTAGAAATGTAGATTTCTGAAATGTGCAAGAAATGATGAATAGCTCAGGAAGACCAAGGATTTGCCCCCATCTAGGCATTGGGACTAGATGTGTTTTTTATCTTTATTGTTGAAACTGTTAACAAGTATCCTCTTTCTTCTCCCTCTCCCCCAAATTGGGACTAGATGGTTTTATAGTTGAGTTCTAACAAACCCTTCAAAATAAAAATAAAAGGTCTCAGAAACAAGGCTATGAGCATTTTAAGGACAAGGGAGTATTGTTTTAGTCACCACTGCATTCCCAGCTCCAGGAATAGCACCTAGCAAAACAATAAAGGTCTGTTAAGTGACTGGAAAGGAAACATTTCATTAGAGTATTTTATGTGTGTATATATATATTCAAAGAAGATACCTTTTTTAAAAAATATTAATTTATTTCAAGAGAGTAAGGGAAAAGGAAAGAGAAACATCAATGATGAGAAAAATCATTAATCAGCTGCCTCCTGCATGCCCCCTACTGGGGATGGAGCCCACAGTCTGGGCATGTACCTTCACCAGGAATCAAATCATGACCTCCTGGTTCATGTGTCGCCACTCAACCACACAGCCATACGAGCCAGGTGGGAAGCTACATTTTTAATTAAAAACATTTTTGGAGCAGATTTCATTTTTAGAGTCTCTGAATACAGAGGTGAAAATTTACTAATCAATACTTATAAAACCTTTACTAGGTGGGCAATACCCCCTCATAAATAACTAACAGGTAATACATAAACATACATTTGAAACATGAGAAGACAAACTTCAGGAGAGAAATATGCTGAACTCTACTTATAAATTGCTTAATTGGAAAAGGAATAAGTGTTTTAAAAATGTTTTCCCTCATGAAGAAATCTAAAAAAATTTTAAAAAACACACATATAAAAACATTCATTTACAAAGCCAAAATATCTCTTAGTTTCAATTCTTCTATACCCTAGATAAGGTGCATATTACATGAAAATACAATGTTAAATGTCCATCAGTATGTAAAGAGGAATTCACTTGCTCAAGTACTAGAAACAACTTTACATTCTTTAAATATACTCCTGGAATCTTGAATTTTCCCCCAAAATAATTTATCAACTACTACCTAAGGTAATAACAATGACAAGTAGTATCACTGGACATATGTCGTTTATTTTTCCTATTGCTTTTATCACTGCAGTATAATATAAAACTTCCAATCCAATATTATATGGTCCTTATTCAGGCTAATTACAATAGTACCTTAAAAAAATAAAGTTCTAGATATAAAATTGGTGGTTTAAGGCTCAGTAAATAACCAAAGTCTTATAACAGATTTTTCCTCACAAAATAAGACAGCCAAAGGTTCTGTTGTGACTTTGCTTCATATTACATTGGTCTGTCACGTTTTTCCAGTAAAAAACAAAACTAAAAACCACCCAAGAGCTATAAAGATGGTGAATAGCCTCCAACCATCATTATAAGTTTGTTTCTGTTTAAGCCAAAAACTTTTGAATATAAGTCTTTAGCTCTGGCAGCAGGTTAAATTCTCAAAAATTCACATTTTCTTCAAAAAATTTCAATTGGCGAGCTTTCACACTGTAAGTCGTATACTTTTCACCCATATGCTTCTGCAAACGTACCTATTTGGGAAACATAAAAAGAAAATCAGTATGTAGTAGAAAAAAATATTTTTCTAATCTTAGAACAGCTTTACTAAGAATGATACCAAAGGTGGGTATCATATGGGTAAATACTAAGTATATTTACATAAAAGTTTGAACTTCAAAATATCAAAAATTGTAAGAAATTAAAAAGCAAACAATAAGCTAGGGAAAATATTTTCAACATACATGCAAAATATATTAATATACAGATGTCCTCCTCTGGCTGGTATGCTCTGTGGTTAGAGTGCCAGCCCATAAACTGAAGGATTATAGGTTCAATTCCCAGTCAAGGGTACATACCTATTATAGGTTACAGGCTCAATCCCAGAGCCCAGTTGGGGTGCATGTGGGAAGCAGCCAATCAATGTCTCTCACATTGATGTTTCTCCCCTGCCTCTCCCTCCCATTCTTTATAAAAATCAATGGAAAATACATTCTTGGGTGAGAACCACAACAAAATATATTGTGTGTATGTGTGTATATATATATATATATATATATGGTGTTCCCAAAAAAAAGTATACATACACTTTGAATAATTTTAAAGGCAGTGTTTATTAAAATAATGTCATTTTCAAAACTGAACTATCAGCTGTGTATGTATATTTTTTGGGACACTGTATATAAACATGTTAATATATATGAGCTCTTAGAATCAAAACTAGTATTTTATTGAACATCAGAATTGATAAAACAACAAAAGCAATCCCACATGTAATTCAGCAAAGGCATTTACAAAATAATACAAATAACCAATTAACATATAGAAGTAAAACTTGACTACGTGACACTGTTGAAAGAAATGCCTAAAATTAACTGATGTGTTAAACAGATATGGACCTCCTGATACAATGTACTGAGGACACATCACTTCTGTAATACTCCTGCCAATAATGCATCATCTGAATCTACTCAAGATGTCAAACAAATCCAAACAGGCATTTTATAAAGTAGATGGCATATACTCTAAAAATGTCAAGGTAGTAAAAAACAAAGTCTAGATAATAGTTCCATATTAAAGGAGAAGTAACAATAAAATGTAATCCTAATTGGTTCCACATGTGGCAGGGAGCTCTGTAGATGGAAAAATCTCTGAAAATGGCCCTATGGGCATACAGCAAATAAAGACACTTTTCCACACCCCAAGATAATCTAAAAATAAGAACAGTAAGCTGAAACCGGTTTGGCTCAGTGGATAGAGTGTCGGCCTGTGGACTGAAAGGTCCTGGGTTCAAATCTGGTCAAGGGCATGTACCTTGGTTGCGGGCACATCCCCAGATCAGTAAAATAAATTTAAAAAAAAAAAAGAATAGTGAGAATCTGTACTATATGAATTAAGATCAACTGCCTGCCTCCCCATTCCCAGGCCTAATGAGACAAAAAGTACATCAGACTGGTGAAGCCAACAAAACAGGGCTCTTTTCCCCAGCTCCTAGTCAGAGGCTATGCTCATGGATGAGGGAGGACATCAGAATACCTTATCTCATCCTGCCCCCAGTACCTGTTGAGGATAAGTTTTGGAAGAGTGCAGCCAAAAGGTGGGAGTTTCCTCCTTACACCCAGCTTGACTTGTAGGAAGGAGGCTCTACTGAAAATAGTGAAGTCCTAATCTACCTTTACCCTCCAGAACTTTTTTATTTTTCAAAATATATTTTTATTGATTTCAGAGAGGAAGAGAGAGCTCCGGAGAGAGACAGAAACATCAATGATGAGAGACACTCAGATTGGCTGGCTCCTGCACACCCTCCACCAGAAACAGCCCATAACCCGGGCATGTCACCTTGACTGAAATCAAATCCGGGACCCTTAAGTCCGCAGGCCCAATGCTTTATCCTTTGAGTAAAACCAGCTAGGACCCACAGAGCTTTAATTATTACTTTCTAAATATGTTTTTATTGATTTCTTTTAGAGAGGAAGGGAGAGGGATAGAGATAGAAACATCAAAGATGGGCCCCTACTGGAGACTGAGTCTGCAACCAGGGCATGTGCCAACGGGGAATTGAAGAACCTCTTTGTTTGATGCTCAACCACTGAACCATGCAGGCCAGGCCCACAGAGCTTTTAAAGTGGGGTTATCACTCAGAAACAAACATGCTAATTGTCCTCAGACCTCAACTCCAGAGCTTTGCTCAGATATTTTACCTGGAATCTTTTCTTAAATGAACTGACTTCATTTGAAGCAAACTATGGAAAAATTCAAGCCTAAAAGTTCTCTCAAAAAACAAAACAAAAAAAAGGAGATTGTAGATTCATTGGATATACAGGTTAAATTGTAGGCTACTTTCATGGAAACAAACAAGAAGCTGGGAGGAGGTTCCCTGGGTCAGAACCATTCTCAAACATTGACCTTTTGAACTATCCCTTCAAAGGAGTCTAAATTTGAATATAAGTCTTTATTCTGATCAATCTGTAGCACAGTTTATGCCCCAGGACATTGTAGGAAACAGCAGAGCAAACAGCCGGGTGAGATCAGGGAAAAGGAGAGTATCCAGAGAGCGCTCCCAAACCCTGTCGTTCCAAGGCGGCTGTGGACATGCCCAAAGTTGCACCCACTGAGGGGCAATATCAGAGGCTTTACACTGGAGGAAGGAGGAAGGGGTGAAATAGACTACACTAAAACAATCCAGCCAGTTACTAAACATTCAAATAACAGTAACAACCCTCACTTCCAGGGAGGCTAGTAACCAAAATTATAAAAACACTAGGGGCCTAGTGCAAGGATTCGTGCACATTGAAAGGAAATTAATTCGAAGATTTGTGCAGTAATTATATTACTGCAAAAAGTGACATGTCAATATAGTATATGTAAGACAGTATCATAAGTGAAAACAACATGTCATTGGCACCAGCGAGAGCTTTATATGTATCATGCATGAGCGAGTTAACGTTTATTTTTAAATTGCCAGTGCACATCATATGTACCAGTCGGACAGTCACTTAGCCTTTTATATATATAGGTGTCTAAAATTTCCAGTTTCCAAAATAAAATTATGAGACAGCAAAGAAACATGACATTCACTGGGGGAGGAGGGGGAGAAAGCATGTGAAGAGAAATTGCCTGTAAGAACAATTAGATATTGGATGTAAGAGAAAAAGACATCAAAATAGCCGTTATAAACATGTTCACAAAAACTAAAGAAATTCATGATTATAGAAGTAAAGTATGATTATAATGTCATATCAAATAAAGAATATTGATAAAGAAATAAATTATAAAAAGAACCAAATGGAAATTCTGGAATTAAAAAGTACTGCATAACAAATAAAAACTCATCAGAGGGGCTCTACAGTATATTTGAATGAAAGAATAAGGAAGCTTGGAGATATATCCGTGGAGATTATGTAATCCACAGGGCAGAGAGAAAAGAAAACAAACAGTCTCAGGGAAATGTGGGACACTATTTGTACATACCATCACCAGTGTGATGGATCAGCGAAAGAAGAGAAAGAAGTAGAAAAATATTTAAAGAAATAATGGCTGAAAATCTCCCAGATTTATTGAAAGAAACATTACACATGCAGGAAGCTCATAAACTCCAAGCAGGATCAGCTCGAAGAGATCTACATACAGACACATTACTGTGCTAAAAGCCCAAGACAAGGAAAAATGTTAAAAGCTGCAAGAGAAAAAATTACATCACTTACAAGGCAACCCAAATTACATTAACAGCTGACATCATACACAATGGCAGTCAGAAGGCGATGGGATAACATTCAAAATGCTCAGAGAAAAAATAATGTTAACCAACAATTGCATATCCAGTAAAGCTATCTTGCAAAAATGGTCAAATTTCCAGAAAAACAAAAACCACTTGTAGCTAGCAGATCCTCTTTAAAAGTGGATTCGTCAGGCTGAAAGCAAGAAACCCCAGGCAATAATTCAAATTATATGAAAACACAAAAAACACTGATAAAGGGAATCTATATTTATCTATATAATAGAGGAATAGGCAAATTAGCCAGGACACCAGCAGGGACCTCAGACCCCCCCTCGCCCTGTGGGGCTTGAAGGACCTCAAGCCACGCCCCCGGCCAGGCTCTGGGCTAGGAGACAGGCTGCGCCCCTCACCCAGCTCTAGGCTGGGGACCTCAAGCTGCGCCCCTGCCCAGCAGGACTTGATAGGGGACCTCAGGCCGCCTGGCAGGGCTTGGGGGGGCTTGCTGGGGGACCACAGGGTGAACCCTCCTCAGGCCATGCCCTATGCCCAGTGAGGGTTGACGGAGGACCTCAGGCTGTGCCCCCCCTGCCCCAATGCCAAGCCAGGGGGTCTTGGGCTGCATCCCCTGCCCGGCAGGGCTTGACAGGACCTCAGGTCATGCCCCCCCAGTAATGGGCCGGAGGGCCTGAGACTGCTGAGACTGTTCACCCCCCACCCCCGACCAGGAAGGGCTTCACGGGGGTGGGGCCAGCTGGATCTGGATCTCCTGCATTTTCAAAGTGTGTGCAGGTGGTGGTCAGGGTCTTGAATCTAGGCCCTGTGGCACACCCCAGACTCTAAAAGGAGGGCGATTTTCATATGGTGATGACACAAGCAGTTCCACGTCACCCCAGCTGCTCGGGGCCTCTGGGTAGTATATGGGTAGTATAGGAAGGTGGAAAGGTGGCTCTAGCCAGAGCAAAGGTGGTGCCGGCAGCCAGGGGAAGGAAGGCCCATTCTTGCACGAATCTTTGTGCATTGAGCCTCTAGTAAATATATATAAAACCCTAAGCAACCGTTTGACTGGTAGCTATGATGTGTACTGACCACCAGAGGGCATACTTAACACACAGGCATGGAAACATGGAATATGCATACTAGAGGCCTTGTGCACTGGTGGGGTCCCTCAGCCTGGCCTGCGGGGATTGGACCAAAACCAGTAGTCCAACATCCCCCAAAGGGTCCCGGGTTGTGAGAGGGTGCAGGCCAAGGACCTAGCAGTGCATGAATCCGTGCACCGGGCCTCTAGTTGTGTAAATAAAACAACATGCCTGCATATTGCTTCTCCTTTCTATTCTAAACTGATATTAAAAGCAACTGTATAATATATGTATAGAACAGTGGTTCTCAACCTTTCTAATGCCATGGCCCTTTAATACAGTTCCTCATGTGGTGGTGACCCCCAACCATAAAATTACTTTCGTTGCTACTTCATAACTGTAATTTTGCTTCTGTTAATGAATAGTAATAGGACACTCACCTCTCTTTTTAATTCATCCTCCTCTTCCAAAAGATCATACACCTGCTCTAAAAGCTGAATCCCCAGGCCCTGGATTACATCAGCTCTCAAGATTTCAACTATTCTTCTGATCTTTTCAGAACCTGGAATGATAGCTTAAAAGTAACAACAAAGACAGGGGAAAATGAGTACTTTCACGATGGCAGTAAGAAGAACGTAATGTGTTGTTTTTTTACAATCTTGTCATGTTAAGATCTTTTTCATTTTGACAAGAGTCTAGTTTAATGACTTCACGTATTTTCAATGACTAAAATGTATATAGGCATACTTCAGAGATATTGCAGGTTTGTCACACACATTTTTGGTTTTCCCAGTGCATGTAAAAGTTATGTTTACACTATACTGTGGTCAATGAAGTATGTAATAGGAATGAAGTTTTAAAAAATCATAGCCGGTTTGGCTCAGTGGATAGAGCATCGGTCTATGAACTCAAGGGTCCCAGGTTTTATTCTAGCCAAGGGCACATATCCAGGTTGCAGGCTTGATCCCCAGTGTGGGGAGTGCAGGAGGCAGCTGATCAATGATTCTCATCATTGATGTTTCTATCTCTCTCTCCCCATCCCTTCCTCTCTGAAATCAGTAAAAATTATTAAAAATAAAAAATCAATGTGTATACCTTAATTTAAAAATACTTTATTGCTAAAATTGCTAACCATCAACTGAGCCTGTCGAAAAAAATGGCATCAATAGACTTGCTCAGGGCAAGATTGCCACAAACCTTCAATTTGTAAAAAACTTCATATCTGCAAAGTGTAATAAAGTGAAGCACAATAAAACAAGGTATGACTATATATGAATGTATGCCTTATGTCTCATTAATACTTCCTAAACTTAAAATACACAACTGTCTAATTTGAAGAGAATCCATGTGAAAAATTCCAAACACGTATTTATTTACACTTATTTTTAAAAATCAATTTTCATGCAACTTTTCAGGAACACAACTGTTACATAAAACAAGATATACCTTTTATGGAGATATCCAAATGAAAGAATAAAAAGACAAAACAATTTGCAAGCATTAGCTGCTCCTTGGTTTGACACATTTCTCCAATAAACATGCTCTCCAGTTTGCTGTAAGAGAATAAACTGATCACCTAAAGGTAGCTCTTTAAAATGGAGTTCCTCTGCCTGTTCTGCAACTTTCCCATGAAGTATCAGTGTGTCCCGATACTTTCGATGAAGTTTAAATTCTGACACTGGATCAGGCACTGGGAAATCCTCACAGCTCTCTTTAGAGTCCAATTTTAGGGTCTGAGTCATCAGTTGTACCAAATCACTCATTTCACTTGATTGACCTTTCCTAGAAAAAAGAAATTCCCCTTATTATTATTATTAAATTAGCTTCATGAAAAGCTTTCATTGGAAAATGAGATGTCAAGGGTGGGGTGGCCGGGCAGAATTAATGGGGGAAAGGAGACATATGTAATACTATATATAATACTTTAAACAAGAATTTTAAAAATAAATAAATAAATAAATAAATAAATAAATAAAGAAAGAAAGAAGATGCCAAATAACCTTTAGGAAGTTCTGCTTCCCAATGGCCAAGCAAGCTCCTGCAGACAGACCCTTCCACAGGTAACAAGCATAAAGGTTGAACATAACACAGACGCCAACTATAGGAAGGCACTGGAGAATGTACAAAATCTGCGAACAGATTCTGGAGGGAAGCCAACACCTTTTACCCTAAGGGAAGGCCGTGGTGCTAATGAACAACAGAAAACTCAGTCTTTCTGGCCTGCAGAACCAAAGGACACAGTTTAAGACAGCCACTGCCACTAGAGAGAGAGAGGAATCTTGGAAAGGGGAGAGCCGGAAAGAGGAAGCCCCAGAATTCTACAAGTTCTGCCCAACTATCTCTAAATAACTTAACTGCATTCAAGTACAAAGCTCAAGAATATTTAAAGAAATAAAAATACCATGTTCTAATGAGAGAAAATTGGCAATGTCTGGAATCCAGTCAAAAATAACAAACATGCAAAGAAGCAAGAAAATAGCACACATTTGTGAAAAGAAAAGAAGCAGGTAATAGAAAAAGACCCAGAATCGATAGAATTAGTAAATAAATAATTAGTTATAAGTAATTAACTATAGAGTCATTATAAATATATTCCATATATGCAAAGTAAATGAAAGTATTAAATATTAAGGAGAGGCATGGAAAATATTTAAAAAGACCCAAATTAGCCCTGGCCAGTGTGGCTCAGTTGGTTGGAGTATCATCCTGTGCACCAAAGGATCACGGGTTCCATTCCTGGTCAGGGCACATACCTAGGTTTTGGATTTAATCCCAGTCAGGACACATACAGGAGGCAACTGATCAATGTTTCTCTCTCTCTCCAAAATAAATAAAAACATATCCTCAGATGAGGATCAAAAAAAAACAAAACCCAAAGTGAACATTAGAAATGAAAAGCACAATATGGCCGAAACCGGTTTGGCTCAATGGATAGAGCATTGGCCTGTGGACTGAAAGGTCCTGGGTTCGATTCCGGTCAAGGGCATGTACCTTGGTTGTGGGCACATCCCCAGTAGGGGGTGTGCAAGAGGCAGTTGATCGATGATTCTCTCTCATCGATGTTTCTAAGTCTCTATCCCTCTCTCTCCCTCTCTGTAAAAAATCAATAAAATATATTTTTAAGAAAAGAAAAGCACAATATGTTAAATACACTGGATGGGATTAACATATCAGACACCATACAGGGGTCTTCAAACTACAGCCCGCGGGCCACATGCGGCCCACAGAGGAGTCTGATCCGGCCTGCCAGGTTTTTTGGGCAGTGAGCGCAGCCGAGGTGTTACAGTAGGAATTAGTAGTTCATATAGTCCGGCCCTCCAGCTCTCTGAGGGACCGTGATCTGGCCCCCACTTTAAAAAGTTTGAGGACCCCTGCAAGAAAGGCTAGAATAATTCAACAATATCGCAACAGAACCTATGCAAAATGAAACAAAAGAAGTCTAAAAATATTAATACCATTGGTGAGCTATGGGACAGCTTTAAATAATTAAAAATATAACTAGAATTCTCTAGAAGGCAGGAGGGGGTCCAAAAAACATTAGAAAACATTTATAAAATTCTCAATGAAAATCAGATGTGCTCATTAAAAGAGATATTTTTAGCACTAGCATATATAAAAAACCATTTATAATGTTAGCAATGACAATACTACAGGTCTGACTACTACTATAAATATACACTTAGGGTTAATTCAAATAGAAATACTTTATGAAGAGAGAGAAAAATAGAACTTACCCTTCCCTGGAATCCCCATCTGATTTGTCAGTTGAACTTGTAGAAGAACTTAACTCCTCCTCAGAGAAACAATGGGTAAGTTTCCTTTTCTATTAATGTTTGGGAAAACAAAATTCCACATGACAACACAACCAGAATGCAATAAATGGAAAAGTCTTAGATGCAATGTCTAGTTACATTGTGCACTTATGTCCAATTTAACAGGAGAAACTAATGAATATAAAAATTGAAGTTATTTTACCTAAATCATGTCCTAGTTCACCCATGAAATTCACAAGTGAAGCCTGAGGAAACATCAAGGCCCTGGAAAGTCTCAGTTATGAAGACATTTCTTTTCCAGACAAGAGTGGACAAACAATTCTGGTGTTCCAACTCCTAAGCAGAGGGCTGGTACCATAAGGGATACTGGCATTTTAAGCTGGATAGAATGCCACCTAAATAAAAGCAACCTCAGTTTGTTCATATGTGAGATAATTACACACAAACCTTACAACTTTGGAAAATGGAAAGGACCATCTCAATTAGCGAAACAACTAAATCACAGGATATTGTTAAGGAAACAAATTTTGCCATGGAGCTGGTATTTATGAAGTTTACTATATTTGAAGCATAGCAACCTCCATCTTGTATAAAACTGTTTTTAAATTCTCTGCTATTGTTAGATAGTCCTTTGTTCTGTAAACTATGTCATTTTTAGACAGCCTCTTATTCTGTAGAATAACTGTTTTAGTTTGAATAATAGAACAACATAAAAACTTAACTGCTTGACCTTGCAAGCTAGCCATCTAACGTAATGGACAAATACTGATAATAATTCCCATATTCTTATGCCAAATGTTTATTCTTTATATACCCAAGATTACAAACTATCTGTAACAATAACTCACACAGAGCCCTTTGTAAAATCTGCAGACAAAGAGTCTGAAAGGTATAAGTAGAGAGAACTTCCTCTATTTGTTTGCTCAAAGATTTGAAAGAAACACTTCCCTCTGGGCTGTATGCAATAAATGACTCCTAATTAATTGGCTCATTAAGGCATCTTGTATCTCACTCGCTGATTTACGACACAACGTATTAGGCTTGCTAGGTGTAGACATGTCCACCTGTTCTCCTTTGAGCTAAGTAATGTACCTGAGCACAGCTTCGGTCAGAAGACAACCCTGGAGCAGGGGTGAGCTGGCCTTCCTCTTGTGGCTGTCCTGGCCCCGGAGCACTCAGAGAAGCTCTCCTCACTGAAGGGCCTGAAAAAGTGACCATCCCCAGCAGTGGTTTGCGATGGGCTGGCCTCAACAGAAGAGGGCACTGGGTATGGGAGATAACCCAGAAGGGCCAGCCCAGAAGTAACTCAGACAGCGGATCATCATCACTCTGTTACCTGACACTTCAAAGTTGAGCTCTAGGCCTACCAGCTCTGTGACCTTAAGCAAGATACTTAACCACTCTGAGCCTCAGCTGCAAAATGGGATAATGCTGACTACTTTTGACAGTTACTGTAAATATAAATTGAGATGCCCTTAAAATGTTTACCATAGTGCAGGAAACTTAATTAGCAATCAATAAATGGAAACTGCCAGTATTGTCTTTAGTTAATAGTAACAGAAATAATCACAGCACGTAGCCCGAGGCACCACCATTCTCCAAGTTTTCTCTCTCAGTTCCTGAGAAAACAGCATTTCCATGACATGGAAACAAATTAAACACTCAATTTCTTGTCTGAAACCTTCCAGGCATTACTGCCACTCAAAGCCGTCTTGCTCTCTTTTTAAAATTCTCTTCTATGCTGAATTGTTTTTAAAGGCTTGACTAAGGAATTTCAGAATTTCTTTCAAATCAGTTTCCAAAATGTATTACTATTGCTCGAAAATTCTTAACACCTCACTATCAGAACCAATACTTATGTCCACGAGTCAAACCTCCAAAAGACGAAGAAAAGAGAAGAACTTTACCTGAGGGGAATCTCTCTTCCTGTGACTGCTTTAGTCGCCTCCTCTCTCTTGCTGATAATGGCCGGTCCTTTTAAAGAAAGTCAGAATTATGTCCATTTCTACTCAATATTCTTACAATACCTACGATGCATGAAGTGTCATGCAGCTCTGTAGGAAAGCCCTTGCCAGGCCTTAAAGGAATGTCCATTGAGAGTAGTCTGCATCGGTTACAGCTACCAGCTAGGACCGATCACAGCAGCCCCATTCCTAGGAAGTACTGTACTCGTTTTTGGAAGGACAATTGGAGAATTTTGCATTTCCTCCATTCAGAATCTACTTGGTCTCCTAGTAAACCATACGTGACCATCTCTGGAACTTTAGAATCTGTCCACTTCAATCAGAGCTTCTACTAAGAACCACATATCTATTCCTCACAGTGCTTAAAGTAGGGCTAAGATATTTTAATACAAACTTCACAATATATGCAGGATTTCATAGCCAAAAAGCTTTATACTTTTTTTTTTTTTTTAATCCAACATATACCCCCCAGAAACCTTTGATGATGACGTCTCACTGCTCTGGGAACTGCTCACAGACTCAGGGATCACTCTGTCTTGGTTTTCAGCATCCTTTGGGGTTGATGTGGCTTCCACTTTTCCAACAGCAGGAAGAGGAGGCAAAAGTTGAGGCAGAGCCTCCCGGAACTTAAATATTTTTAAAAGAGGGGGAAATTATCAGTTTCATATGATAATGACAACCCACCTTCAAAGTACCCCTATTAGTTTCTTACATATTCAGCAATAATTTGCTCTCAAAAACGATAAAACACTGAATTTTCAGGGAAAGAAATTTTGCCTAAAGTGAAGTATTATTAGAGCATGCCTATGAAAGTTACTTCAAGGAATGGTGTAATATCTCAATTAAAGGGAAAAAAAAGAAATGAGATGTCAACCTGATTTTATACAGAAGATGAGGGAGAAAATACTCATCAATATAACAGGGAGTATCAGAGGTACTCATTAGCCTGTTTCTTTAACTCTCAATCTGTCCATCTTTGCTGGAAAAGACAAAATCCTTACTCTGCTTCCAAATTATCGACATTTGAAAAACTACTATCTTGACCTTGTTAACACTCCTCCTCCCCCCAATGTTTCTTGCATTTCTTGTGTACCTACTGGCAACTGCTAATCATTCTAAGTAGAACCTGAGCTTCCTAAAATATATTTCCCCAGCAGTAGCACAATGACTTAGTCAAGAGATCTCATCCAACCTGTCTTTTCTCCCCACTGTGTTCAATCTGTTCTCTTTTCTTCTGCCGTCGCTGTCGAGACAGGGAAGGCTCAGACCCAGAGCTGTGTGGCTGTAACCCTGGGTGGATTCTGTCCTGTTCTTCTATACTCCACTCACCAGCAACTTGATCCTTAAAAAATACACACACAAATACATACAAAATAATAAAATAGTCTTTTGAATTTCCAACCAGCCAAACCCTCTATACCTACTTTTGAAATTATAAATGAAAACGAAAAGAAGTTGTTTTTCTCAAAATAAATGTTTATTTACAGTGTTTATAGACTAGAAAAAAATGCTAAAATCAGTTATCCATATTTTCTAGCTTTTTTTCTCTTTTCCAAAATTAAAAATATAATTATTTTAATTATTCATATTGTTATTAACCTAAAACTACTAATGTTCAGAAAACTAAGAAATATTTTAAATGAAATCCAATTCAATATACACATAATTCCCAAGTAAACATGAATAATTTAGATGCACCATGAAAAATGCCTTTAAATCACCATGAAAAGAGCATTGAATTTGGAGTTAGATGGAGTCATATCTGAGAAATTTAATCTTCCAGAACCTCAGTTTCTTCATCCATATATAATTGGATAAAATACTTCACTCACATTTGTATGACTGTTGGGAGAATTAGGAAATACAGTGCACTAAAGTACTTAGAACTAAAGTACTTAGCACATTAAATACTCAAAAAAAAAAAAATCAGGGCTACTATGTGCAGTAGTGATGGTAAAATAACTTGCCTTTTAAGTTATATAAAGTTCACCAAAGGCTTAGTCTTTTTTTACTTATTTGTTTTTTAAAATCCTCACCTGAGGACATAATTTATTTTTATTGATTTTAGAGAGAAGAGGAGGGAGGGAAGAAAGGAGAAAACATCTGTCTACCTGAAACCTGAGTATGTGCCCTGCCAGGAATCACACCCAACATCTTTCAGTGCATAGATAATGTTCAACCAGCTGAGCCACCCTGGCCAGGGTAAGGACTTAGCATTTTATTGGGTAGCTATTTTAGAAACAAATTTCATACCAAACATTAAAATAGATATTTAAGCCCTAGCTGGTTTGGCTCAGTGGATAGTGTCAGCCTGCAGACCGAAGGGTCACAGGTTCGATTCTGGTCAAGGGCTCGTACCTTGGTCCTGGTCAGGGCATGTGCAAGAGGCAACCAATCAGTGTGTTTCTCTCCCATTGATGTTTCTCTCTATCTTTTCTTCTCTTCTACTCTCCCTAATGGGGGGGGGGGGCGGGGGGGGAGAAGAAAAAATATCCTAAGGTGAGGATTAAAAATAAAATAAAGTAGATACTTAAATTTTTCAAACAAGTTTTAAATATAAAAATATCTAGGTTTTCAAATAATTGAATATGATTCAATCAACAATTTTTTTCAACAATTTTTATCAAGAGCCTATTTAGTACATTTTTAGGAAGAAAAATTAACATAGTATTAATACAAGGTGAAATTGCTTCTAAGAGTCATTATCATTAAGATATCATCTAAAATTCATGTCCTCTAACAAATACAAAATAATGACTCCTGTAGATAATAATTTGTTAAATTTATTCTTTCAAGAGTACACCTAACATTATGTATAAAATTTAGTAAATGATTAGATTTTACAATATTATTACATAATATATAAGGTGAACAAGATGACCAAGATAATAAACAACGATTGATATAATTCTGAAGCATGAGGTAAATGTTTCTCTGTTGGTAGTAAGCATAGGCTGTTCAAAATAAAGCTTATACCAGTGTAAGAGTGACCGAATAAATGACTTAGGTGATTTCTCCATGAAATCCAATTGGTCTTGGAAAAAAAGGTTCTACTTTTAACAATAGTAACACAAAAAAGAAAATGCTAGACATAAAATTCTCTCAAACAAAAAATCTGCTCTAAAACCCTGATGTAAGCCCGGCTGGTGTGGGTCAGTAGTAGAGGGATTCGATTCCCAGGTAGGGCACATGCCTAGATTGTGGGCTCAATCCCCAACAGGAGGCAGCCAATCAATTGTTTCTCTCTCATCAATGTTTCTCTCTATATATCCCTCTCCCTTCCTCTCACTCTAAAAATCAATACTTAAGATATGCTTTTTTAAAAAGCCTTATATAACAAATTAATTTGATCAGGAATAAAACAAGGATGTTCCCGCTCAACACTTCTATTTACACACTGTAGTAGAGGTTCCAGCCAGAGCAATTAGGCAAGAAAAAGAAATAAAAACAATCCAGATTGGAAAGAAAGAAGTAAAACTACTCTGCTCACAGATCTTATATTCAGAAAATCGTTAAGGCATCCATTATAAAATAATTATTAGAACCAATAAAAGGGTTCAGTAAGGCTGCATGGTATAACATTAATATACAATAATCTGTATTTCTATACACAAGCAATGAACACTATGAAAATGAAATTAAGAAAACAATTCCATTTACAATGGTATCAAATGGATGGTTCATAGGTCCATTCTTTTTTTTTAACATATGTATTTTTATTTTACTTACTTATTTATTTTTTAAATATATTTGATTTTTTACAGGGAGGAAGAGAAAGGGATAGAGAGTTAGAAACATCGATCAGCTGCCTCTTGCACACACCCCACTAGGGATGTGCCTGCAACCAAGGTACATGCCCTTGACTGGAATCGAACCTGGGACCTTTCAGTCCGCAGACCGATGCTCTGTCCACTGAGCCAAACCGGTTTCGGCAATAGGTCCACTCTTTAAGATTTTTTATGAAAGCCTGGCCGGTGTGGCTCAGTGGTTGAGAGTGGACCTAGGAACCAGGAGGTCATGGTTCGATTCCCAGTCAGGGCACATGCCCGGGTTGCAGGCTCAATTCCCAGTGGGGGCATGTAGGAGGTACCGATCGATTATTCTTTCACATCATTTATGTTTCTATCTCTCCCTCTCCCTTCCTCTCTGAAATCAATAAAAAAGTATTTTTTAATAAAGTGAACTTGAATTTAATTTGACAGCCAAGCAGAACAAATAAGACACACACAACTTTATCTATAAGGATTCCAGTGTCCAGAGAAAGCTTAAGACTATATTTTGGTTTAATCCAATGTCTTTAAATGATAAAAGCATTATACTTGTTCTTTTCCATAAAAACAAAACTTTATTAAAATCATCTGAATATAAATGTATAAAAGTTTTGTTTATATAAATGTTAAGTAAAATATATAATGTATCAAATTCAAATATATATAGCATAGATTATAAAAATATAGTCAATATACCTATTAAATCTATTTATGAAATATTTTATACAAAAAGAGTAAAGTTAATTAAATGTTCTAGTTTTCTTTCTAATCCTCAGCTATAACCATGCTTCATCTAATTTAGGTTTCTTTCCAAGTTCAAGTAGAAGATGACCACTAAATGTACTTAGAATACATTATACAGTCTCTCAGTATCAAATCCTTCTGTTCCTTTTCTTTTTTGTTACCTTTTTTTTTCTTCTCTTCTCTTCTTCCTTCTCCTTTGGTTTCAACATATAAAATATTTGTTTTTATTCCTTAAGAAATCAGAAACTTCCTCCCTCTCTCCCTCCTTCCCTCCCTCCCTCCCTTCCTTCCTTCCTTCCTTCCTTCCTTCCTTCCTTCCTTCCATTTCACTAACTTTTCAAAAGCAAGAATAAGTGTAATTTATCTAAGTGTTGGAACTACCTATCATCCACTTGGAGGACTAAGGAAGAATGATGATACTGAAATAGGAAAGAAACACATATAAATAGCATGCTTCCACCAAGTACCTTATGCCAGGGCACCTAAGGCACCTAAGAATCCCTTGGGTCTCATCCTTTGGTTTCCATTATGTTTAAACTGGAACACTGAAGAGCTGATCTTCCTAAAACCACAACTGGAATACAACCAAACACAACCCACACCTCTGTAACCGCACTTCCCAGTCTCCTCTCTGAGATGAACACCATGCACACCGCTCACCTGGGCCTTTGGCTTTCGGTCTTTGTTTAGGGGCTGCAGAGGCTTCTCTCTCCTTTCCCCAGTGACACTGTTAGCGGAGCACGTAGAAATTGGGTTTCCAGGTCGAGTGCTGGATTTAGTGTTATCCTGCAGCCTCTCCTTCACTTGAGAAATATTACCTTTACCTTCTAGCTCATTAGAGGCACTTCTGCATCTTGGCTGATTCTCTTGAACTAACCCGTCGCTCAAGTTCCTTTCTGCAGGTAATATGTCAATGTTCACTCTGCTGATGGTAGCTAGTGATTCTGTGGTACTGCTCACGTCTGCTTTGCAGGTGTGGTCTTTCAAACTTGCAGGTGTCTTCAGGGGGTCAATGACTATGTGTTTCCCCTGGGATAAACCTTTGTCTTCATCCTAAGTGAAATGCTTCCAAGTTATTACAGCACTCTTTGCACCATATAAACAAATTAACTCAAAATGGAACAACAGGTTCCTTACAAGTTAAATGTAGGATTACCTGATGACCCAGCAATCCCACTCCTAGGTATATATCCCAAAGTTCTGAAAGTAGGAACTCAAACAGGTATTTGTGCACCAATGTTTATAGCACCATTAGTCACGATGACCAAAAGGTGGGAAAGACCCAAATGTCTACTAGCAGATGAATGGATAAACAAAATGTGGTATACATACAGTGGAACATTATAAAGCCATAGAAAGGAATGAAGTTCTGATACATGTTACAACGTGTATAGTCCTTGAAAACATGCTAAGTGAAATAAGTCAGACACAAAAGAATAAATATGGCATGGTTCTACTTATATAAGATATTTAGAACAGGCAAATTCATAGAGGTTAACAAGGCCTGGGAGTGGGGGAAAATGTAGAGTTAGTGCTTAATGGTTACAGTTTCTGTTTGGAATGATGAAAGTGTTTTAGGAGATAGTGGTCATGGTTGCACAACACTGAGAATATAATGAAGGCTACTAAATGGTACACTTAAAAATGGCTCTCCCAGCCGAAACCGGTTTGGCTCAGTGGTAGAGCGTCGGTCTGCGGACTGAAAGGTGCCAGGATCGATTCCGGTCAGGGGCATGTACGTTGGTTGCGGGCACATCCCTGGAAAGGGGTGTGCAAGAGGCAGCTGGTCGATGTTACTCTCTCATCGACGTTTCTAGCTCTCTATCTCTCTCCCTTCCTCTCTGTAAAAAATCAATAAAATATATTAAAAAAAAAAAAAATGGCTCTCCCAGTCAGAGTGATTCAGTGGTTGAAGATCAACCCATGAACCAGGAGGTCTCGGTTTGATTCCCAGTCAGGGCACATGCCTGGGTTGCGGGCTTGACCCCTAGTGGGGGACATGGAAGAGTCAGCCGATCAATGATTCTCTCTCATCATTGATGTTTCTATCTCTTTCTCCTTTCTCTTTCTCCTTCTCCCTTCCGCTCTGAAATCAATAAAAACATATATATGTATATTTAAAAAGTTAAAGATAGAATTACCAAATTTCCAGTCCTAGTCATATACCCAAAAGAACTGAAAACAGGCCCTGGCCAGGTAGCTCAATTAGTTAGAGCATCGTCCCACTACACCAAAGTTTCAGGTTTGATCCCCAGGTAGGGCACATACAAGAACCAACCAAGAATGCATAAATAAATAGAACAACAAATTGATGTTCTCTCTCTCCTAAATCAATAAAATTTAAGGATTAATCACTAAGAAAAAATAAAGAATTATACACAAATGTTCATAACAATAGCCAAAAGGTGAAAACCACCCAATGTCTTATCAATGAATAATTGGATAAACAAATTGTGGAATATACATACAATGAGATTATTCACACACATATATAAATGAAATATTGATACATGCTATATGGATGTACCTCAAAAACATTGTTAAGTGAAAGAAGCTAAGACACAAAAGGTCACAGATTGTATGATTCCATTTATATGAAATATCTAGAATAGGCAAACCCATAAGAGACAGAAAACACATTGGTGGTGGTTTTCAGGGGCTGGATAGGAATGGAGATAACTAATAAGTATGAGGTTTCCTTTGGAGTGACGTGAAGACGTTTTGGAACTAGATAGAGGTGATGGTTTCACAATACTGTGAATGTACTGAATGCAATTAATTGTTCACTTTAAAATGGTTAACTTTGCTATAAGGGGTTAATGGGGGGGAAAGAGGGACACATGTAATAGTTTGAATAAATATTTTTTTAAAAAATGGTTAACTTTGTTATATAAATTTCACCTCAATAAAATAAATTCTTAGAATAAAGTTATTATAGCACTGACTTCATGAAGTTTGACAGCCCACTTTGAATAAAGTGAGCTGAATGAAATCACCTTCACCAGCATTCTTTCTCTATAATAAATACACAATTAATTACACAACAGAATCTCCAGTAAAGCCTAATCACTTAACACAAAGTAACTTATTTATATAATCTATCATTTTAATACAGTTTCTAACGCATGTATCCTTTTAAAAAGAAACATACCATTACATATGTCTTGGAGCCCTCAGCAGGCTGTGGTTGGGGAGGGACTACTTCATGATTGGATTCAGCCTTTCCAGAAACCACTGAAGAAACAGGCTTGGATTTAGAGTCACCATTTTTAATATTATTTTTGGAGGTTTTTCTTTATGAGGAAGAAAAGAAAAAGTTATCGATATAATGAAGATGAAGTTTCCTTCATTATATTATCAATATATTGAAGATGACAAATATATGAGAAAATGTGTGTATGTTTAATATTCCCTTGCAGAATTGCTTAATTTATAGAGAACAGCCTTTTAAAAACCAGGGGTAATTCTACAAAACACTTGACCAGTACTCCTCTAAAACAATCAAGGTCATGAAAAACAAGGAAAATGAAAATTGTCCCAGACCCAACCTAACTAAGGAGACATGAGGACTACATGTAATATGACATCCTGGATTGGATCCTGAAACAGAAAAAGGGCATTAGTGGAAAAAGGGGGGAAAGCTGTCGCAAGTCTGGAGTTTGTTTAGGTGACAATAAGGTACTGATGGGGGTTCTTAGTACTAACAAATGTACCACGGTAATGCTAAGAAGAGAAACTCAATGGCAGGCATACAGAAAGTCTCTGTACTATCTCCAACTTTTCTGTAAATACAAACATTTTCCAAAATAAAAATCTTTGAGAAATTGCCCTGGCTGGCTGGCTCAGTTGGTTGGAGCATTGTCCGTGTTCTAAAAGGTTGTGGGTTCAATTCCCAATCAGGGCACATACCTAGGTTGCAGGTTCAACCCCTGGTCAAGGTGCATATGGGAGGCAACTGGTCCATGTCTGTCTCTGTCTCTCTCTGTCTCTGTCTCCTCCTTCCCCCACTTCCTCTAAAATCGATAAACATACTCTTGGATGGGATTAAAAACAAATTCTGAGAAATTGCCTCACATATATAAGTATCGGGATAATTTTCATCTTCAAGTTTCATATGTTTGAAATACTACCACAACTCCTTTGCCAAGTTTGAGAGTAAAAATGATTGATAATACTCAGCCTTGACTTGCAGAATAAATATATATAGAAATAATATCCCACTGTTCTAGTGTGACGTTTCTACAATGGGGATAAGCCTCTGGAAAATTCAAGGGAAGCATGAAGACCAGCATTGGAGATTGAAGGTCAAAGTTCTGTTTGGTGGAAAATTAGAGACAAAGTAAACAAAAAGGTAGTCCTTTATCCCTGGGGACTGGTCTCCCAAATTTAACCCGTTATAAAGCAGAGGTGATGAAGGCCTTCCTTAGCCTCAAGGTTTAGATTCTGGAATACCTGCTCAGTGAAGGTAGGACCTGCAAGTCATAAAAAATATTTCTTTTTATCTTGAGAAGTCATGAGTGGAGAGGGAAGCTTATGAAGGTCTCAGAAACCTGAGCACTATATTTTAGATGTGACTATTATATCATACTAGGGACCGGATGCACAAAGATTCATGCACAGGTGTGGGTCCCTCAGCCTGACCTGCACCCTCTCCAATCTGGGAGCTCTCAGGGAAGTCCTCTCGAATCCGGGAGTTTCTTCTGTCTTTGCAATCATATGAACAAATTATCTGAGACCCCAACCCAGTTTGGTTTGTTGCTCACAGAATAATAAAGGCTTTTTTTTTTTTTTTTTGCTTTGCTTCATTGGTAGAGATTTCCTGGAAGTTTTAGGATACCTTCCCTTTAATTTTTCATAGACACTCTGATTTTACTGATGTCTCTCACCTTTGCTTTCCCTCCATTCCCACCCGCAATAGTAACTTGCTCCAGGCTCACTTTGTTCTAGTGTCTAGGAGATCCGTCTGCCAGCAGAACGATTCCCAGCATTCCTAGTGCTCCCTGCACTCTGGGCTTCCACTTCCAGTGCCGGGGCTGCCACCAGAATGACTATTCCCAGAATTCCTGGTGCTCCCCACACTCTTTGTTTTCCCTTCCTATTCTGTCTCCGTCCCATGGCCTCTAGTTCTGCCAAGTCCTCCAAGCTGCCAGCTCTCCCTCTCTGCTCTTCATCTGGTGGCTTGGGGAGCCAAGTTCCCCAAGCCACTCCACTCTCCACTAGCTCTCCTGCTCTGCTTTCTACCCAGTGCCTATGTATGTAAATTAACCTGCCATCTTTGTTGGGTTAATTTGCATACACACTCCTGATTGCTGGAGACTGTAACAGAGGTACAGTCAATTTACATTTTTCTCTTTTATTATATAGGATAGTAAATAATGTAATAGGTTTCTTAGATAATCTCTCATTTTAATATGGTTTCTAAAATACATGTCTTTTTAAAAGAATCATATTCAATATGTCTTGGAATCCTCTGAGGAATGTTAAAGTGATTCTCTAAATCACATGTGTCAAACACAAGGCCCGCGGGCCAAATCCGTCCCGCCAGGCCTTGCAATGTGGCCCGCACCACGCTGTCATCACTGCACTCCACTGCGTTTCCATCACAATGACAGTTTATGACTGTTCAGTAAACCATTCGGCCCGCGATTTAGGCTGGATTTTAGATTTTGGCCCCTTCTCTGATTGAGTTCGACACCCCTACTCTAAATGGTTCTCTCAATTTCTGATTTTAGCAATTATGCAAACTCAACATATGTTCTAATTATGCAATTTCACTTCAATTTAAAAGGAACTCACCATAAATGCTTGCACATTAAAATTATAGAAGCCACCCTCTTTTATTCAATCTATATAGCCCAGTTACTTGCAAGGGAATTATCTTACGCCTTTGTGGCCTCCAAAAAGAAGTAGATTTGGCGCTTTATGTAAGGCTGCCTCAGGATGCTCCTTACAGAGGGTCTTTCTTCAGGCCTTTTGCTCAGCATTGTCCTTATCAGTTCTGCCAGCTCTGGGCTATAATCTTTCGGCATTGGTGGCAGCTACAAAAAGAAATAATACTACAATTATGACTAATCATCTTGTGAGACAAAGTAAATGAAGGGAGAGTTTTCCAATACTTATTTTAAGCCACATTATCCACATAAGCATAAAATAACCAGTATTAGTCTATAGGAAGCATACTGATGTCCTGCTTATAACAGCAAGTTGTAAGGTTGTAATAGTACATTCTTCCAAACCAGCATTCCTATTTAATTTCTCCCTCCTTCAGAAATAAGGGCATGAGACATCCTGTCAAGATGGCAGTAGAGGTAAACATGGTACTCACATCCTGGCACGGCCACAGTAAAATTACAACTAACCTACAGAACAACCAGTATTCAGAACCACCTAAAATCTGGCTGAATAAAAGTCCTACAACTAGGAAATTAAGAAGAAGCCACATAGAGACTGGTAGGAGGGGAGGAGATGTGGAACTGGCTGGTCCCATACCAATGTGTGGCGGTTAAAAATCTGGAGGGATAGTTCGGCTGCAGAGTTCTTCCTGAGGAGCAATAGATTCCAGACACAGACCAGGCCCCCAGCCCAGGGTTCCAGTGCCAGGAAGAGAGTCGCCATAGCCTCTGGCTATAAAAATCAGTAGGGATTGAGGCCTGGCTGGAGTCCCACTTAAAGGGCACACACAGAGATTTTACTCAGACAGACTCACTGTCTGAGCTCCAGCACTGGGGCAGCAGCTTGAAAGGCACCAGGGACATACAGGGAGAAACTGAATGGTTGGCATCAGGTTGACAGCTGGGGAGGGGCAGTTTCTAGACAAAAGTCCTGGCAAAGGCCACTGTTCCTTTGATGAGCCATCCTCCCACAAAGCTGGCAGGTGGGCCTCATATCTGAGTTTCCATCAACCTCACTCACACTGTTTGCTTTACCCTGGTGACTCCCTGAGGCCTTGACCCATCCAACTTCTGAGCCCACTCAAGCTGTTTCCATTGGTTTTTACATAAGAACAGCTATCTTGGCTCTTGCTTCAGATTTTCCTAAAACCTCTCAAAAAAAGCAGCATCTGGCCTCAGTAACCACTTAACTGCCTGCCTGATCCCCCTAATTGCTCACCTGCCTGCCTGATTGCCCCTAACCACTTGCCTGCCTGTCTGATCAACCCTAACTGTTTGCCTGCCTGGCTGATTGCCCCTAACTGCCTCTGCCTTGTCTCTCCCCCTCCCACCCCACAGCTTCATCTGGAAGGTTGTTTGGTCTAATTAGCATATTATGCTTTTATTATTATAGATGTGTGTATATGTGCATATATATATATATATATATATATATATATATATCTCTATATATCTAGAGTTATAGCTATATAAGACAAGACAAAGCAGGGAAAGCCATGTACCAAATTGTTGGCAATGGTTATCTATTAGGGATTAAAATGGATAGGAGAGGGGAATTTCATTCCTTTCTTGTTTGATTCTTTAAATAGTGTAATTATGGAAAATTTTTACTTCTTTTGTATTTTTAAATATCTAATTTTTAAATACTAAACAATTTAATGTTTCTCAAATTTAAAAATTAATTTTGATTAAATTAAATCAGTACGTCACTTATCACCTTAAACTTGTTGGTATATGGATGCCTAACACTACAGAGGGACTAACCTCATGGAACTAACATACAAAGTTGGTCACTCTAGTAGTATCAAAGGAACAAGCTCAAACAGAATGGACTCATTTTAATTAATTAATTATTTATAATATGTTTTTATTGATTTTAGAGAGAGAGATAGAGATAAAAACATTGGAAAGAGAGAAACATCGATCAGCTGTCTCCTGCATAACCCCTACTGGGGACAGAGCCTGCAACATGGGCATGTGCCCTGATTAGGCATCGAACCAGAAAACTCTTGGTTCAAGGATCAATGCTAACCACTGAGCACACCAGCCAGGCAAGAATGGACTCATTTTAAATGGGACTCATCCCATACATATATATACATATATATACACATATATACATACATACATATATATGTATATATGTGTGTATATATATATATACACACACATACCTAAGTGACCATCCTACCGGTAGCTAAGAAGTACACTGACCACCATGGGGTAGACGCTCAACACAGGAGCTGCTCAGCTGCTGTGACTTGGCAGTTGCAGTTCTCAGGTGATTCACCCGGAACCAGAGAGAAGGGAGCTCTATTCCAGGGTGTGTCACCCAAGAAGCGCCTTCTCACAATCCGGGACCCCTCAGGGGATGTTGGAGAGTCGGTTACAGCCCAATCCCCGCAGGCCAGGCCAAGGGACCCCAATGGTGCATGAATCCATGACCGGGCCTCTAGTTTAACCATAAGCTGCTTAGGAGAAGCTACCAATAGTCCCTTAGGGCACCTGCACATCCGGTGGCTATATGTAATGGTTTTCAAAAAGCCAATTCCTTGGAGCCATTAAGCCATTTTTACAAATTATTAAATGATCAATTCCTTCTCCTTTAGTTCAACCTTCCCCACAGAAGAGACCCTGGTTCTTCATTATCCACCCAACAATACCGATTACTCACATTTGTCAGTAGCAACTTACAATGCTGCATTAAATTAACATTGCTTTTTAAAACAATTAGTTCCAGAATGTTCTTTACCTTTCCTTCAATAATCCGATAAACTAAAGAATTCATGTCTTTTGCATTGAAAGCATGTTTGAGGGTGGCCATTTCATAAGCACAGCATCCCAGAGCCCAAACATCAGACTAGAAAAGAAAAATAGTAAATGGTTATATATCAGAATGCCTCATTTACATTTTTCCTCCTAAAAAAGAAATGACGTTTTCCTTACACCAATTCACAGAGAATTCTTTGACATAACTATATTGATGAGCTTTGAAATTATGAATACTGTCCTAGAGACAAGGTGAGCTGGCATACTGTCCTACCTTATAGTTGTAGGGCTTGTTTGAGAACAATTCAGGGCTCATATAGTAGGGGGTGCCGATGAGGGTGCTAGCCATGTCACAGTGGTTCTCTAATACTCGGGCAATTCCGAGGTCACCCACTTTGATGATGTTTGTTCTCGTTAGGAAGACATTTTGAGTTTTCAGATCTCGGTGAAGGATGTGTTTTTCATGTAAATACTGAAAAGAGAAATAAAATTTCACTAAGTATAAATATACCTACCTACTTATTTACTCCTGACTTCTTATATACCATTAATAATTACATGAGTTAAAGTGCCATAGTTATCTACATATCAAAACACTATTGTTCTATAGTCTCTAAATAAAAAGTCTGACTTACAACTTTTCAAAGTAAAAAAATTGCCCCAGCCAGGTAGCTCATTTGGTTAGAACATTGTCCCTAATGCCAAGGTTGCATGTTCGATCCCTGGTCAGAGCACATACAAGAATCGACCAATGAATGCATAAATAAGTGGAACAAAAAGGCAGTGTTTCTCTCTCTCTTTCTCTCTCCCTTCTTCTCTCTCTAAAATAAATCAGGAAATTAAAAAATATTATACATTAAAATAAAATAAAACGGGTGAGCTCAGCAATAGCAAATGTGCTGGCAGCAATGGCAGTGGAGTGGGCAGTGCTGGGCAGAGCGGGCTGGGGCAAGTACATGATGGTGAATACACTGTCAAGTCCAAGGTGTGGAAATCCACTCCACCGGGCCTGGGCAGGGGCCCACACTCCCACCTGCAAGACCTGAACGACATCACCCACAATGTCCACTGCAAGAACCACCGTGTCTGCAGACTCAACAAAAGCCACATGCTCCCCCATGGTCCCCGGCTGAGTGAACCTGGCCCTGACTCCTGGGCCACCTTGGGGGCCTCAAAAGTTCACTGATAGGCTCAAGAGAATTTCACAGGAGTACCCAGCACAGGCAAATCCTGGGTACCTGGGGTTCCCCAAATGCTCAGCAGCCCCCCACCACACACCTGTGTAATACAGAAATATATTAAAGGTGGACAACTGCTTTTTAAAAAGGTAAAAACATTAAATTCCAGTACCCTTCACAATTGTTCATTAACCATTATACCATTTAGTGCTTACAAACTCCCACTGAGGAGAAAAAAACAACTTTACAAGGTCAGAGGCACTTTCCTCTCAAATTCATAGAATCTTCAGCTTAATAATAATATTTTCAAATACAACAAGTTCATGTTTATTTAGAGAGAGTATCCTAGAATTTAAACCACAAGGTCAATTAATGCTGGACAAGTCTGCCCATATCCAGAGTATTTCAGAAACAGTCTAGCTACGGAATGCGTGTATATTCAACCACAAACATGTTTTACATTTCCACTCACTTTGTCAAGGGTTAAAGCCCAAACCCAACAGCTTAGGCATGTCCATTAGCCCAACCACCTCTCAGGATGACACAGCTGACCAGCTGGTAACAAACAAGGTCATTCTTCGCTCTCTGTCAACTCAGGGCCCTTAAAACGGACTTTGGTATAAATATTAAATGAATGGAGAATTGGCTTTTCCCCCAATTAGACATGAAATCCATGTCCACTTCAATATGGATATCACACATTCAGAAACATTCCAATGCTACAACAGGAGCAACTGGATCCACTTCACAAATGGATTTTCAAAAAATTACATTTTTTTCATGTACACATTTTGAGAAGAATCTCCCTAAAGTCCACCCTGGCCCCTTGGGGCAACCAGAATTCCGTGAGTCTGGACAGTACCTGCAGGGCCATGGCGATCTGGACAAACCACTCCACCACCCGACTCTCAGGCAGAAGCTGCCCTTTCTGCTCCTTGAGCTTCCGGTACAGGTCACCTCCCTCGCAGAAGCCCATGACGATGTACAGCAGACCGTCCCCGCCCTCCCAGGACTCCTTGTAGGTGACGATGTTGGGATGCTTCAGCTGGGACAGGAGCTGGGCTTCTTGTTCGGCAGCTCGCCGCTCTCGGCTGGAGGCATTTCGCAGGTTCAGCTTTTTGATGACATACTACAAAGAAAACACGTGTTTTTACAATGCATGAATAAACATACAGCTTTATAGGTTCAGAAGTATTTAGCACTCTCCTGAATGTCCTCAAAATTAATCTTCTAGAGCAGTGTTTCCCAAACTTTTGACATACGTGTACCCCTTCTATAATTTTTGTAACACTGAGTATCCCTCGTACTCATGAGAACATAGAATTAGGCACAGCTAAGCATGGTGCAGTGCATATTCCCACCAAACTCTGGTGCAATGCGTACCCCCATCCCTGGGGGTATGTGTTCCACACTTTGGGAAACACTGTTCTAAACCTGTCCAATCACCTAATCATTTTATTATTCAAAAAGCACAAAATTGAGGGGGGGAAAACCCTGCTCTCACTAACAGTACTTTTTATAGGTCAGACTAATAGCAGGGTAGTCACCAAAAAAAATTCTTCAGACAGAATGGATCCATGCAACCCATGGATATTAAGTTTTCAAAGGGATCCATAGCCCAATAAGGTTAAAAATCATTGACCCTCAACATACAAAATTATTCCCACTTAAAAAAAAAAAAATCAATATCCTCTCACACCTGATACACTACCCTCAATCAATCAAAAGACCACACAGTTATTATTCAACAAACACATATTTAATTGTGCTTTGTAAAATGTAATCTGCCCAAATGTGAGGGGCTATCCTCAACTAAAAAAAACAACAACCAATGACTCCTTCGCTCACACACACACACCTTTACCTACTGAATAACTGTCTTATGCCTGAGCTTTTGTTCCAGGCAGAGTAACCAGCATCTGAGCCAAGGAAGAGTAGGTGAGAGAGCCTTCTTATACTTCGGTGGGCATCTGTAAGCTTGCCTGGGGCAGCCCCATGGTGTTGGTGTGACTAACGGCACCTCCTTTCAGTTTCAAATTTGTCCAGCCTGTCCAATATATTCTATGGTCAACTTATTTATAAACCACATTAAAAAACTGGCTCCTTACCCTGAAGCTGAGATAAAGTGCTTTAAGGAAAAGAGTAACACTACACCCAAGTTTTAGAGCAATCGCTAAGATTGCAATGAAAGGGATGGATTGGAGAAGAGCAAGTCGTGTAGCAGGAGGGACGAACCAGTGGGAGGCCTGGACAATCGTTTCCCTGGAGATAAAGATGTCCTGGCGTGGGGTGGTACCAGTGGAGATGGAGAAGAGCTTGCCTGCTTAGTGGACAAATGAATGGGGGTGAGGGAAAGAGGAGAATCAATGGTGAGGGGAAGAGGGGAGCCAATGACTCCCAGGTGCCCAGCATGACAACTGGCTGGCTGGTGGTGCTACTCACTGAAATAGGGACCATGGGACAAGTTTGGCAGAAAGGTGATGAGATGAGGTCTAAGTATGCCCACTAATCTCCAGGTCATATGCATGGGGCCCGTCCTTCAAGGAGTAACATTTGCCAGGCGCTGTGTTAGGTCCTGAGAACGTTTGCTCCGGGAAAGTGTACATCAAGCACACCAATGAATTCACAAGAGAAGTACGGGGTGTTCAGGTGCATATTACAGGAAGGTATGGCCTAGTCTCAGTGGACTGGGACACTGGCCCTGAGGGAGTGCCCTGCAGACCACCCCGGGATCTAACGTTTGGACAGAGCAGGCGAACCCCTGCGTGTTCCCCGCCCCCTGATGGGCCCCAGCTCCGCCGACCTGCCTGCCGTCCCGCCGGTGCCTCACGAGCGTCACCTCCCCGTAGCTGCCCCTACCAACGACCCGCAGGTAGCAGTAGGCGGCCAGGGGCATGTTCCCGGGTGCGGCGCGGCAGCGGGCCACAGCGAAGGGCCCAGCTCATGCCCGAGAAGCTGCCGGGCCGGAGGCTGCCGAGAGGGCCCGGCTGAGCCGCGAGCGCGAAGGCCAGGCCCACGGAGACGCCGCTGCCATAGCGATCCCCGCCGGCGCCGCTCTGCGCATGCTCCTGCGGCCCGCGGGGCTCCGCCGAGCTTCCGCCGCCCCCGGAGGACCCGCCATAGAGCCGAGGCGCCAGGCGGCCAGAGCGTCTCCGCGGGGCCGGCGCTCACTCTCCGCTCCACCGCCCAGAACTCCCGGGTTGCCGGCTAAAATACAGTCATGGGAGCTGCCCGCTTGTGGAGCATTTGTTCTAAGTGCCTGGCGAATAGTGATCATTCATTTTAGGAGTATTTATTGCCCATCCACCACGTGGCAGGCTGACAAATTCCCTCCTGGAGCTCCCATTCTAATGGGAGTAGGTGACAGACTGTACTCTTGTCACTTTCCCCCTCCATCCCCCTCCAGCAATCCATCTTATTTTTTAATCATTGCCATGTAAATTGGATATATCAATACGCTTAACTCCTAAACATTTTAGCTGTATTGAGAAGTGCAAAGAAATCCATTAGGATCCCAGCCAGCCCCCTGCATTAAGTGACCTGACCAAACTCTGGCTTGGCTTCCAACAGCTTGAGGCAGTAGCCCTGGGAGGACCCACCCTGGCCCGCATTAAAGGCCTGCATTTTACTAAATAAATAAATAAATAAATAAATAAATAACTTTAAAAAAAGCTTGCAATTGTTAAACCTTCCTGTGTCCCTTTGAGGAGATAGCTATGTTAATAATCTACAGCCCACGAGTGTCTTTCTCAAGGACCTGAATTCATCTCTTTGAAATAAAAGATTTCTTCTGTCTACCAATTTTTGTCCAGTTGAAGCAATATCGCCCCGTTGGAAATACAATAAAAGGCTAATATTGCTAAGTGTGTAGTCATCCAGTTAGCCGTTCAACCAAATCAAAGTGTAATATGCTAATGATATGCTAAGGCCACTCAACTGTTTACTATGAGATGCACTGACCACCAGGGAACATATGTTCTGACCCGTAGGTTAGCTTGCTGCTGGAGTTCGGTGGATGGAGATGGAGTGAGATGGGCCAGACATGTCCTGGAGCCCTCCTGCAGTCCCTTCCTGGCTGGCCAACCTCCTGCATCCCTCCCCAGCCAGATTGTGCACTGGTGGGCTTCACACTCACCCACCTGCTTTTCTCTCCCTCCCCTTCGCTCTGGTCCCTTCCTGCTCAGCTCTATTTCCCAGGCACCTCCTCCAGGAGCCTTCTTCTCAGCCCTGTGGGGATGAGCTCCAACCCTTCCAGATTTTTATTGCTCTTTCATTCTTACATGCTCCTCTTTAGCTTCTGACCACTCATTTGGCTCACTGGGCTTCCTTTGACTTGCATCAGCTCCTTTTCCCAAGTATCAGCTCACAGAGCACAGCAAAGCACTCCTGTTTCATCACTGTGGTGCACTAGTGCTTGGCACTGTGCCCAACCTACCACAAGGTGATCCATACTATGTAGGAAAACTTCAAGGGTACATTTTAATGTTGATTCAGCTCATCTTTTACAGAGGCCAGAAAACAGGTCAAAAGGTCTTTATGGCCTGGGGACAATAAACCTTTCCCAGAAGCTGCTTTGTGAGACAAAGTCCAGGACAAGCAAATAGAGATCAAAGAGGTCCCTGGGTCCCCTCACCATATCGGGGTCACAGCAACCAGTTCATTTCACCCAGGGCCCGGAGTGGGTTCACCCAGGGCCATGTCTGTCCAGCGTGCTGTGGTTTGTAGGAGACAGTGAGGGTTTGGGCCTAAAAATTAAGAAATTGCAGGTAAAAGATGGGTCTTTTACTCAGCTTCTCCCTTCTTCCTAATAACGCAGAGGGCCTTTCTGCCTTTACATGATAGGCTTGGGCTTTGGAGACTAAAAGATCTTGGATACCTGCTCTGTCCCTTGCTGACTCCTTGCATCAGAGCTCAGTGCTGAGCCCCAATGCAACACGGGAGTCCCTCACAGGCTCAGAGGTGCACCAGGAGGCTAAATCAGACAATAAAGGGATCAGAGCAATGCATGACACACAGTCAGCCCTCCATTATGAAGAGGGGCATTCATTGTCGTCTCCTTCCCTGGTGGGAGAATGCTGGGCTACTTCTGTTCTTTCCAACTCTGAGCGAGAGAGAGATGAGGCAACTGTCCTGAAGGAGGGGTAACCCATTACCCATCCATAAAACTGCCTAGGCCGCCTCTGGGAGAACTGCTAGGGTAAACTCCTGACCAGACTCAGAGCGTGCCTCCACAGAGAAACGGGCACGGGCAGGCCCTTTGCAAGCCACGGGCCTCCCTGGCCAAAGCGGGACTTGCTGACAAGTTTGCTGATACTTAGAGAATTTTGAAAGGACACTTAACAGAGTTTAGAAATCCACTTTTAGCTGTGGCTTCATGACACATGTCATCGTGTCACCAGTGCTGCCCTGTCCCAAACCCAGAGTTAGACAAGCAGCCAGGGTCTCCCCAACTCACCTTGTGTGAGTGCAGTTCTGTACAGAGGGGCAAGCTCTGAGGCTGGCCAGTTTACTCAGTTTAGACCCCCCCCCCCTCCCAGGGAGAAACCTTTCACTGTCAGTTTTTTACTCCCCCCGCTCCCCAATTGTAATATTTGTCTTCATCCTGTCTAATGTTTAATCCATGTTTATCTAGCACTTTATTGATTGATGTTCTGAGTGAAGCGACAAGGCAGCGGGAGCCTTGAGACCAGGTTTGGCGCCATGGGGCTGTGGGTGCTGCTGTGTGTGTCCCTGATGTCCCTCCTCACCCTGCAGGCCCTGCCCGCTCAGGCTTCACCCCAAAGGCCCAAAAGCAGCGAGGTATGTGGGTAAACCCCTCGGGTCAGAAACAGGCAGCTGGGTCTGGAGGGGGCCTGGGAGGGGCACACAGGGACTGGGGCTTCCCCTACCCACCGTGACCACCTCTGGCTGGAGCGTGAGGCCAAGGAGCAGAGCATGCAAGCTGCGTACCTTAAAGAAGCCTGAGCAGTCACACTCACACTGACCCCGGTTTGTTTTACAGAAGCGACAGGCTGTGGACACAGTGAGTGAGTCTCCGCAAAGGAGTCTGTGGTGGGGCCACTATGACAGCCGCGATTTCCCCGTCCCCCGGGGGGTGTCCCTCTGTTAGTGCTCTGGGTCGAGGGACTCCTGTCTCCTGGAACTGGGGGCTCCCCACCCCACCTCATCCCCAGGTGCTCGGTCTGAGGCAGAGAGAACGGATGGGTCTCCCTGGGAGGTCTGGTTTGTGCTTCCGTCACGTTGTGTCCGTCAGGCACCTTGTGTGCTGGCCCCAACACAACACAAGGCCTCTCACTGGCCCAGAGGCCCCCATCCCAGGCCACCGTGCCCTCACGTCTCACTTTAGAGTGTCGACGGCGTGGTCATCCGGAGTTTGAAAGTCAACTGCAGAGTCACCTCTCGCTTCGCCCACACTGTCATCACCAGCCAAATGGTCAACAACGCCGACCAGCCGAAGGAGGTGGCCTTCGACGTGGAGATCCCCAAGACGGCCTTCATCAGTGACTTCGCCATGTGCGTGCCCTGCCTGACTCCCCCACCCAGAACTGTCCCCTCACTGGGCCCAGACCAGGACCATGGCCCAACGTGGCCAACAGTGCCCCATCTCCTCCTCTCTTAAAGGGCCGCAGGCCAGTGCCAGCTGGGAGGGGAGAACAGTCCTGCAGGAGGTCTGTTTTGGGCTCCCATGGAGGACAGCACACTGGGGTCTTTGACCATGTTTCCAGCTCTAGGGCCCGAAGAGCAAAAGCTTCTCTCTGGGCTCTGGCTGTGGCTGCCCACCGCACTGGCAAGGGGCTGCGAGCAGAGGGAGGCCAGCAGGAGACGCACCCCCACCTCCCATGAGTGCTCACCTGCACATGCACAAGGCTTTCTAGGGTCTGGGCTGAAAGTACCTCCAATATGGGTGGTCAGGGAAGGGCCCTTCCCCTGAGTGCTTCCTCCTCCCTGCAGCACAGCGAGTGGGAAAGCATTCATCGGGGACATAAAGGAAAAAGCGATCGCGTGGAAGCAGTACCGGAAAGCAGCCATCTCAGGGGAGAATGCCGGCCTTGTCAGGTGAGTTCCGAGCCCTGCTGGCCGGGTGTTTGAGGCAGCCTTCTCCTCGGGATAGACCTGAGGGCCCCAGGCTGATGGGAGGTGAGCACCCTGACCACACGCAAATGCCAGCACAGGTGCCCTGGGCAAGGCTGGTGCTGACTTGCCCGTCCCCTAGACCAGCCTGCAGGAGAAGGGGGCCCTGACCTTGGGCCCTGACTGTGACCAGCCAGCTAAGACAAGGGGGCGGGCCAAGGATACCCGGAGCCACACTAGGATAAGCGAACTTGATTCGGAGGCCCGTGCTTTAGGTGGCAAGAACCACATGTCCCTTGACTTACCATCTGTCTGTGTTGCTGCCTCTGGCGGCATGAACAGGGCCTTGGGAAGATCGATGGAGCAGTTCACCATCCACCTCACCATCGGTCCCCGCAGCAAGGCCATGTTCCGGCTGACCTACGAGGACGTGCTGAAGCGAAAGCTCATGCAGTACGACATTGACATCAAAGTTAAGCCCAAGCAGCTGGTGCATCATTTCGAGGTAGATTGCACGTGACCGCAGGCTCGGGGGGACGGTCTCAGGAGCAGGGCTCCTGCCTCTCCCTCACTGTGGCTCTAAGCGTTGGCCTGGCACTCCTCGTGTGCCATCCCACACCTGAGCACACAAGGGAGGGGACTAACGCCTAAGAGCTCCCTGAACCTTTCAGCCTCCTCTCTGAGCCTCAGCCTTCTCATCTATTACATGGGGATTCCTGTCTGTCCCAGGACTTCCACAAGGATCACAGGAGATAATAAACGCCCAGGTAGTTTGTAAACGGCAAGTCCCGGGCAGCATGAGGACTGTGGTTGTCTCTGGCACCTCCATGTGGCCGAGTTGAGGGGTGCAGGCAAGCACACTCATTTGGCCAATATTTTTGGAGTGCCTACCAAGCCCTTTGCTGGGGGCCAGGTGGGCGCTGCACAGAGTAGGTGGCCAGGGCACATGCTGGCTCTTGGCTGAGACTGGATGATGGCCCAAATGGGAGCCTTGGTTCAGGAATTGC